GACGGCCCGACAGGGAACCGGCTTCAAGCCTTGGTGCTAGTCGGGCTTCGGCCCGGATACCTGGATTATAAAAAAAAAAAAAGTCAACTATTTTTGATCCGGTCTAGTTAGTGAGCCGATGAAGCTAAAAACACGAATATATTGTTACAAATTGAAGATTGGTCATCAGTAGACAGCCAATGGAACACGACTTGTGACATCAACCAATACATGGAACTTAATACCATTTATTAACATGTTATATATTTGTTCCCATGCACACAACGATAGTTTTCGAACGTTTGACTAATTAACTAGTCATTCAAAGCATATGTTAAAACCATAAAACCATAAAGCCTCGGTTCAAATCAACGACTTTTGAAATTTGTTTGCCGCCCAATACAAAAACGAGAAATCAGAGTTTCCTCCTCAAGCAGTACGCAACAATATTAGTGAGACTGGTCGGGTAGGTGACTAACGAGAAAATGCATGTTGACTATATATTTTCCATTTATTTATTTATTATTTTATTGCTTGAATCAATAAAATAAAATTGAACAAAGAATCTAATGGAGGAGAAACGTGCATGCAAATGTTGCGGAAAAAATATAATTGGTGAGGTAGTTAAGAGCATGCCGATTTCGTTGAATGTTTTGCTTAAGCACTTTACCCAAACCATTTTTTTCATTTTTTGGGTGGCTTTTCTACGTACTTATATCATGCACTTTATGCTTTTGGCTCAAATATACAGATTTTCACAACCACCGCACAATTTATAACATTTAACAACCCATCATTTCAAGACAACAAGGAATTAAAACAACGGGACATTATTTCAAGCTTGCAGTATAAGAAATAACTGAAAAATATTTGGTTTTATTAATTGGATTTGTGGTCAAACTATATGCTGGTATCATCATAAGTTAAATTTGTACATTTGAGCTCATTAAAGTTGTAGATACTAGATAGACCACAAAAAGAAAACGGCTCATGGAATTTAATTATTGCGCAGTCCCCTTGACGCTACTATAATAATTTAATATGCCAAATTTTTGTATATTATTTCCTACTATATATATATACTAGGGATTGACCCGCGGTACACCGCGGGACGATATTTTAGAACTAAAAAAATTAAAATTTTAAGTTGTATTTGTTTTTTTATAATATTGTTTATTTTGTTTAGTGTTTAAGATTGTATAATTTTATTTTGATTGTTAATTTTAGGATTTCACCCGTAGTATACCGTTCCATATTAATATTGATCCAAACCCGTCCCACCATATAATTATGTCCCGTAAAATTGAAAATCATGTTGTTATTTTCTATTTAATAATATTTTTTATTTAAAAGACATATGATTCGAGTTAATTTAAAATTTTGTTTTAAATGGTTCCCCATAATATATATGCATATTAATTTTTAATTGTTATAGAGTTCAAATATTATTAATGTTATAAACTTTATATAGAATTCAAACATTATAAATATTTTAAGCGTTTAATAAAGTTTAAATATTTATAATGTTTAAACTTCTTATAAATTCTTATAAAGTTCAAATATTTATAATATTTGAAACTTCATAAAAGTTTTAATGTCGGCATAAAATTCATAATTGTATTTTGATTATTAGTTCTATGATTTCACCCGTATATACATCCCGTATTAATATCGACCCAAAGCCGTCCCACCTTATACTCCGTCCCATGCAATTAAACATCATTTTGTTATTTTTCTTTTTATTTAAAAGACATATAATTCGAGTTAGTTTAAAAGTTTGTTTTAAATGGTTTCTATATTATATATATATATATATATATATATATAATTTTTATAAAGTTCAAATATTGTTAATATTATAAACTTTTTATAAAATTTAAATATTATAACTACTCTAAAATAGTTTTTGGTAAGGATATAGACCCTAGTATTGAAATAGGCAAGCACATTTAATTTATATTCTTTAGAACGTGAACGCCTAAAGTTGGTTCACAAATTCACAAATCACAAATTATACCGATCTAGTCAACAAAATTGTTGGATCTTGCTAGGTTTAGCCATTTGAAGTTTTTTGGAATTACAATAACCTTATCTTGTTTTTACTACAACCACAACATATTTATACTACTACTACTTAGGTTTAATTGTTTCCTTTGCCTTAATACAAAAACAACAACTAACCCATTTACATACGTGGTCTTTCATTAGTCTTTTGGCCCATCTGGCCTTTTTTTTTTTCTTTCTACTTTCTTCCTTCTTCTCTTCTTCTTCCTGCTACGACACAAAACGTTTCTTCTCTGCTTAACTTCTTCTTACGCTTCTTCTCCTTTTTTGGTTCAATCTTCATATTTGTCAATTGAGTAGAAAGTCAATCTCCAACAAAAATCACGTAAACCACACAAGAAACCAATTTGGTCAACATCAACAATTTCCTTTCTCCTCCAATAATTTTGACTTATCAAAGAATCAATAAATAATTTGGTCTTCTTCTCATATGCGAGTCTCTGTCTCTCTCTCTTGCAGATTCGACTGGAGCAAGTACAAAACTAAAAAAATTAAAAGAAAACAAAACTGAAAAAACAAAACATTAGAGAAGAACATGTTCTCAACTCCTCCGGAGAAAAGAAAAAAAATCAATGGCAATCTCGTCAACGGTATTCGTCGTTGGCTTTTTTCTTCTTCTTCTTCTTCTTCTTATTCTAATCACGATCAGATTCAAAATCCTCCTACTGTTTCTAATCCCGACGACGCTAACAACGACGGCGATATAAAGAAACGTGAGCGATTATTAGAGCTAAGACGTACTATTATCAAAAAATTTGATCCGTCTAGGCTAAGACGTCTTACCTATGGAGAAGAAAGTAGATTTTTGTTTGTGATTAGAGATGGGAGAAATGAGCGAGTATTTATAATGTTTTGATAGTTAGTAGAGGTTAGAAAATATTCAAAATCTTGATGAGCAAGAATTTAATATCTTTGAAAATCTTTAAATCGTCACAAAAAAAGAATATGCTACATAGATGCTTGATCAAATAAGAATAAAATCGTTTAGTTATGTGACATTTCCATTTCGTGTAGTTGAGATTGATATCGAATTAATATAGTTCAGAGTTTTTAGGAAACAAATGTTAAATACAATAAAATCTCTAGCATTAAAATAGGAAACGATTTGCTTTGTAAATATATGTTTGTTATGTAAATATATACGATTTCTATATTTACTAAATCAATCATTTAATTTCGATTTATATAATGCTAATTTAGATTTGATTTCGATTTTATTGTTTTATTAGTTTCCATTTGCTAGATATTCTCGAGATTATGTTTAATAGCATTTAAAATTAAATATTTGACTTCCATATTTTAGGATTTGAAATCTCGTTACCATTAAAATAGGAAATGTTTTAAGAGTTTATTTATTGATTTGTAAATTTGATTAAGACATATATTTTTTCCAGATTTTATTTGTAGGGACTAAATGTACAATATTGAAATTGTAAAAGGATTTTTGAGGCCAAATCTTCACCAAAAATGTATATATAGATATATTATGTACAACATTATGTGTACTGTTTCTACTTTCTACTGATGAGACATGTATCATGTATCATGTATCATGTATCATGTATGATACATGTGGCTTAAGGAGGAGGTCAGTATTGTTGGTGAAGAAATTTGCTACGACAACAACTCTTACCATAACGATCAAATGTAGTGTGACCTACGTAGGGATCTCCACCTAAGGGATACATAGGCAACTAAAATAAAATTCAGTTCAGTTTAGTTCTGTTTTACCGAAATCAAACCTTTTTAGCTCTGGTTTGGGTGCGTTTTGATATAATTATTAAACACTTCTAGCTCGGTTTGGTTACACTAAAATATGTTTGACTTGGTTTGGTCCAATTTGGAATTTAAGTAGGTTCGAGAGATTATTATCAAAGTGAAGCGATACGTATGATATTTTTTTATGTAAGCTCATTAATAACAAGATCGCTAACTAGAGGGCAGAGACTAAGCTGGGCCTCCTAAATTCCCAAATCATTTATACGTGCCGAAATTTATGGGCCCTTTATTAAATTAAAAAAGCTTCAGTAAAAAGCCCAAATCAACACATCTACATATTTTACTCTAGTTAATATTTAATAAAAAAGGTCCCATAGCCTACCAAAAAATAAAAAAGGTCCCATAGAGTAAAATATGTAGATGTGTTGATTTGGGCTTTTTACTGAAGCTTATTTAATTTAATAAAGGGCCCAATATCATTTTATTGGATCCGAATCCATCTATAATCGATATCCAAATTGTCATCGCAAAATATTACATTCTAGAAAGAAAAGAAAAAAAGACACTCACAAACACTAAACATGTAACACTTTAAACTTATGCGCTAGCTATGTTTTCTAAATTTTCTCGAGTTTCATATGACCTGAAAGTTGAAGAGTCTTCGAATATTATTAGGTTTTGATTTTTTCGTAATCCACAAATATTTCTTTAAGAAATTGAATTGTTTGGCATTCAGCAAAACATAAATCTAAGCTTACAAGCTAGTAAGCTACTATGATAAGGATATTGGTTGGTTAATTCTAATACGACCATCCACGATTACAGTTGAACATTCGTATATTGAAACATTCAAAACTTTTTTTGAAATAATCAATGCATATATTATTTGTTAATAGAAAAAGAACAAAAATCTTAGAAACTTTAAACCTTTTTCCGAAGAACAAATAACAAAGTTAGTGTACACGTGCTTAGAAACTTTAAACCTTTTTCTCCGAATCATTGCATTACCAAATCGGACTGTTTCCTTTGATTTTCAGCCGTCCATTCGTATCAGATCAGACTTGATCGGTTAAGATTGCTCTGTGGACAACCCAAAACCCTAATTGCATCGAATCGCAGGAAGTTAAAGGCTTATCTTTTTTTTTTTCTTTTTGGTTATTTTCTCACCCCGAGAATCAGAGAAAAAGTCGAAACCTTTCTTCGTTCTTTTTTCCGATAAAAGAAAAATCGAAACTTTCCTTGCCCAATTTCCTCTATTTGTGTTGTTTCTTTCAGCGAGCTTTAGGGTTTATCACTTTCCTTCTTCGATTCGATTTTCCGATCCTTTTTCTCGCTGTTGCTGGAGATGGCGGAAGAGAGGAGCTTGAACGGCGAAGCGACTGGACAGGAGGATGAGAGTTTCTTCGATTCTGATCAACAAGGCGATGACGGCAAGTCCACTGAACTGAATCGTAAGATCGGAGAGCTCGAGTCTCAGAATCAGGAACTGGCCAGAGATAACGATGACATCAGTGGTAAAATCGAGAGCTTGAAGGCGGAGATCGAGGAGCTGAGAGGAGCCGAATCCAAGGCCAGGCGTAAGATGGGTGAGATGGAGCGAGAGATTGACAAGTCGGATGAGGAGAGGAAGGTTCTTGAAGCCATAGCTTCGAGAGCTTCGGAGTTAGAGACCGAAGTTGCACGGTTGCAGCATGAACTGATCACGGCTAGGACGGAAGGAGAAGACGCTACGGCGGAGGCGGAGAAGCTCCGGTCTGAGATTTCACAGAAAGGTAATGGAATTGAGGAATTGGAGAAAGAGGTCGCTGGTTTAAGGACTGTTAAGGAGGAGAATGAGAAGAGGATGAAGGAATTGGAGACAAAGCTTGGTGCTTTGGAGGTGAAGGAGTTAGAGGAGAAGAACAAAAAGTTCCGAGCAGAGGAAGAGATGAGGGAGAAGATTGATAATAAGGAGAAGGAGGTGGATGATTTGAAGGAGAAGATTAAGAGTTTGGAATCAGATGTAGCTAAAGGGAAAGCAGAGTTGCAGAAGTGGATAACAGAGAAGATGGTTGTGGAAGAGGCGTTGAAAGATTCAGAGAAGAAAGTGGTGGCTTTGGAATCAGAGATTGTGGAGTTACAGAAACAGATGGATGATGCTGAGAAGATGATCAGTGGATTGAAGAATATGGTTGAGCCACTTAATGGTATTGAGTTCAAGTCATGGTCGCCGACTGTGACTAGTGCTGGTTCTGGTGGAGCTGTGGCAGCGGTTGCAGTTGCAGTGGCGGGAGCAGCTGTTTTCTGCTACATTTACCACTCAAGGAGGGGTTGATTCGAGGTAGACTTGTTATGAATTTGATTTCTTTGTTTCAAAAGTATTTCCTACGTAACTTTCTTGTTATGTGCTTGAGAATTTGATGGGTTTCACAATTTTGGAGTCTTCTTTATTGTGTGTTTGCTTACTTTTTCTTCATTACAAATGTTCTTGGCAACAATCAAAAGATTGAAAAAAAAACTCAGAAGTTTATGAAAAACAGCAAGAGGAATTAAAAGTAAACGACACAATCCGAAATCACTCTCAAGAAAACGGAAGTAAATACTCAGAACATAGTTTGAAAAACTGGGTGGGATCTTTTTCTCTGCTCTGTTTCTTCACATGGAAGTGTCTTCAAGTAGCTGATGATGATGATGATGCCTTGAGAAGATCAAGAACTCCACAACAGTTCTTCCACCATGGCGTCTCGACCTCACGATCACCTGCTGCTAGGAGTGGCTGCAATTATATTGAATAAGAGTATTATTAGACTCTTGTCTTTGTCTCCTATCTAATTTTGGCCCAAGACATATAAGAATTTGAAGTTTTCTTGTGTTTCGATTGGAACCTGATTGTCTGTGGATACGGGTAAGTCACGGTTTGCGGTTGTGGCTGCTGAGTCAGCGCTACCGGTAAAGTGTGTAACAGCTCCTAAGATTTTGGAGGAGACTTCATCTTTCTTCTCCTCCAATCCGTGCAACAGGGTTTTGGCTCCATCTATGCCTCTTGACACCACATTGTCAACTGCATCCTTCACGACATCGGTCTTGGCGGTTTCAGCAGAGGCGATAATGGTTTGTTTGGCTTCACCAAGAGCAGAGGTGGCCTTTTGCAAAAGGGAGTCGGCCATTGTTTTACTCCTCTGTCTCTGTTGCTTGTTTTATTCGACAAGACGCAGGAAATTATAAGAAAAAAAGAGGAGAGATATATAGTGAGAAGAAAAGTGAGATAAAAGGGGCAAATTTATAGCTGTCCAAATTGGCCGTGGCTGTTTCAACGACCTAAACGTGACTTCCTTTATCTAAACTTAAACTGAGGATTAGTTTTGTTTGTGTGGAGAAGACATCATTTGAGAATGATAACTACTATTGACTATTATTGGTAAAAACACCTGCGCTCTAATTATATCATGGCGACCAATGTTTTAAATATACATAAACCTTATTTAAACAACGCTGCATCGAGTGTGAGCCTCAAGCAACACATTATGTAATAATACAACACACGTGGAGTTTCAGTTTTTAGGATAAAGTTTTGAAACTGGAACACATATGCTCTATACTATCCTCGTACAGATGCATAGCCTGAAGTCTCGTATTTGCCTCCCCACCTGTGAGTTTCCAATGGCACATTATCAAAACATAAGGGATTGTTTTCTCAGGAATCATTCAGATCAAAAGAAAGTTTCAGAGTTGGGTTTACAATCCCTTAAACCGACCTGTTTTCTTCTGTTTCAGGGATTTGTAGCTCAATATCATCCTCGAAGGGCTTAAACAACGAGTTAATTTTCTTGTCATCCACCTCATCTAATGTCGCTGGATTCCACTGCACCAAACCCAAGCATAGAAGTTTGTAAGTTAGATGTGATCTCGGTACTAAGTAGACTCAAATTTTGCGTTCTCGAGTGGACACATACCTTTGGAGAATTGTCTTTGTCTATGGTCAGAGCCCTTATACCCTGTTATACAGAATCAGAAAATAAATATAGTAAGAGTAACATGATGCTACGATTTTCCTAAAACGCAAAACCATAAATGGTTGCAGTATTTGCATCTGTTTTCTACCTCATACATATCAGGGGATATGGTTTTCCTCAAGATATTCACGGTGAGCCGAAACTCTTTCTTCAGGCAATCACTCAGCGTTTGTTTCCTACCTTCACGGATCTGGAAAATTTAGGCAGCACAAGAATCACTCAATTCCAACACTAAAAGGAAATCTGCGGGGCAAAGTTTACGAAAGAATAGACTCATATATTTCACAAGTACGTAATAAGAATTGCTGATTTTTGTTGGCCTAGTGTTAATGCCATTTTACAACATTAACTCGGAAGTTATTTTCTCTTCCAATATTAGTGTTTTATGAACTTGACAGGTTATTCTTGTTCACCGTTAACTTTCAAGGGGGAGATACACTAAGAAGTATATGATAACAGGGAAATCATCTAACAAATAACAATTACCGATCGTAGTACTATCTTCAACCCCGTGGGTGACGATCGCTTTAGACCTTTGATGACTGGAGTAATCCATTCATTCCCTTCTTTGCTTGCTTCAGCTTCCTGTAAGAGGACCAGATATATTTCATACCGATGAATAGAGACTTCTGTTCCAAGAAAATCGGAAGACTTACAAATGCTTGTATGATCTGTTTCACACTTTCTTTTGAGAAACACTCATTGATTACAGACTGCCTGCAGATCAGCCATAGGCCCAAAGTTAATACCGTCTTCTTGCGTATATACACCAGTGGGGAAAAAGATTAAACAGCATCTCAATCATGAAGAAATGCAATATAAAAAAAAATTTACTTGTTAAGGATGCTGTCTTTGTCGAGGTTCACTTTCTCGGAGAACTCTTCAATTGTGGATCGGACTACATCCACGTCTCCTGAGTCTAAACTCATAAGCTGCGCCTCCAGATCCATCAATTTCTGACAATAAGAAAAGATGTGAAAGAAAGCATTCCACTCATCATTTCTAGAACAACTGTAGAATCTGTCCGCATTCAAGCTCCAGGATAATAGTCAGAGATTCCAAAAACATTGCTAAAGTTTCAGATGATAAATGTTAAGTTGCAAGACAGCTCAATAACATTTGCGGATATATGTACATCCTGAATCAATCAAATCTAAGGAAAGCATTCTCAAACACTTACACCAGAAGGTACAAAATGTGTTGCCATTCCAATTGCTACAAGTTCTTTGCCGTTCAATCTTGCCCCAGTTAAAGCCAGGAACTCTCCTGCAAAACTCAAAGTACATAAGATATTAGCCAATGCCTAGCTGGAACCAACATTTGTTTTTTTGTTACCGGTTTAGCAGTTACCTAAATGACCAGGAAGATGTGAATGGATGTAGGAGAACCCACAATCAGTGTGAAACCCGAAACTTGCTTCTGGAGTCGCGAAAACCTATCAATGAAAGTAGTTAAATCTGTACTTGTTACTGTGCCATTATATGCAAATAAAATGTGAAGCAGACTAAACTTAAAACTCACAGTTTTCTCTGTCACAACTGAAAACTTCATTGGAACCATCAATGATGCACCTCCACCCATCGATATTCCATTAACAAGAGAAACCTATGCAATTCCATTCAGTTAAATTCTCCTCAAGAAGACACTTTCATACAGTGAAATTTGGAGCACTACTAAAAGCCACCTGTGTCTTCTTGTATGTGTGGATATGATAACAAAGCCAGTACATCCGATAAACAACCTCAAGGCAAGAATCCTCTGTTACAAACGACATATCATCATTAAATTATGACCAAATCTCTTTGAATGTGTTCTTTTGATAAAACATGATGATTCTGTTAGCTTCTTACTTGATTCCTGGCCGTGATAAAACACCTTCAGATCACCACCGGCGGAGAAAGCTCTACCTGCACCCTGCACAAATAAGCTATGTTAAGAAATTAATCTACAGTAGTAGAAAATCATCAACAGCCAAGGACCAAAAAAATCAAACCTTGATCAATATAAGCTTTGTTTGGTCATCCTTCTCCCACAATTCGAGATATTCTGCAAGCTTGAGGACCTGAGTTTCAAATTTTCCGATTAGGCGGCTTTCAGCATCTAGAAGAGGACAATATTATCAGCTTCTGATCTTAAATCTTAAAATACCACTTCCGGAGAGATGACATTCAGCTGACGAGGGCGGTTTAGAACAGTTAATTTCACAGAACCTTTTTCCTCAATAACAACCTGTAACAGTGCCAGATTCCAAACGTTTTGATAATGGTTGACGACTGAATCATGAAGAACAATACACAGTATAAAGACTGAAATAGGCAAAGATTACCGGCTCATCAATGTTTTGACCTTCTTGAGACATGTTCAGCTTTCTCAAACGTCAACAATAACTTACTAATCTGGTAAAAGAACACATCAGTTCGAAAGAGTCGGATATGAAAAACAATCTCAAACGACCAAACTACACTGTCAGGAAATACCACAAAACTTCAGTCCCAATGTGACAAATGCCAAAATTTACGAACTTACAACAACCTAATTTAAACCTCCCCAGATTGTTCTATACAGCATCCACCAAGAACAAGAACACAAACTCTATTCAAAATATAAACTTTCTGATCGTAGAATGAGCATTTCAAACTAAAATTCTAGTCATCCAATCAACGAATAAAAGCGTAAAGACTCAGAAATGAAGAAACTTTAATGGGAACAGAATCCATACAAGGGGCAAAAATCAAACCCAACAGCCTCTCACAAAACAGAAGAAGCTAAAAGTGAAATAAAATGAAAGAGAGGGAAAAAGGGATAACCTTGCAAAAGGGGTCTGGTGGAGGAATGGAGCTCGAAATGTGAGAAACCATTTATATAATCACTGAGTATTTGTTCAGTCATTGAGAAAATGGCAGGTGAAGCTAATAATCATCACAAGGAGGGTTTGGTGGGAAAAGACTCTCATCAAACCTTTTAGCTTCTTCTACCTAACTTTTTGACCTTTTTATACAAAAGTAAATAAACAAGCACAGATGAATGTGATGGGCTTATTCTTTGCAACCCAAGGCCCATCCACCATTAAAGCTCTAAAACAAGTATCATCCCCTTCAAGGAGCTTTTTTTCTCTCTTCCGCCTTGAATGAGTAAAGCGAGGGTTCTGCTAAAACCCTCTTTGTTCACCACTTGCTTAACCAGAGCCACGACCTTCTTCTCCTCTGTTTCTCAGTTACGCTCTATCTCTCATCAGATGGAGATCGATCCTTCCGATTCGGAGCGTTACTGTTATGACCCGGTACTGCGATGGAATCCTCAAGTGGAAGACTACTTCACTAAAGCTTATGGACCTGATCACTTTGCTCGCATTTCAAAGGCTCTCACGTACTTATCTTCTCACCTTTCTATCATTCTCATCTACTTCTGAAGCAACATTACTCTCGAATTGATTTTGTCTCTTTTGGTTGTTGTGTGCATTTACCCAATTCCATTTACGCCTATGTGTGTGAGCTTCTACTTCATAGTAACTGAATTAACAAACTTTCTCACATTCTTCTTGCGTCTGCATTAGTTAGTGTTGCAACCTTTTTCTCGACTCCTATAGATTTTTGTTTTTGTTCCATATTAGGCGCCCATCTTCCTACTCCTGCATTAGGGTGAACACAGTTAAAACAACAAGTGATGCTGTTATCGAAAAGCTTACAAAAATTTTAAACGATTCGGAGGAGGGCTTGAAGCTTGTACAACCAGATGGAAGTAGTCCCGTCGCCAAGTGTCAGATACCTGGTTTGGATTATGTTGTTTTGGTCAATGGTTCAGGCCCACATAGAATTGAATATGAATCTGGTCTTGAAAACCCTCCCAAGGAAGTACTAGTGAGCAGGAAGTGTGCTGAAGCAGTTCTAAGAGGAGCCCAGGTAATCTCGACGCTCTCTCAATGAAATTATTCGGGCTTAAGGTATTCCATTGAGAGGTTTGATATTTATGTATATGTATCTAAGCTTCTATCCTGTCACTATGCTGTTGGGAGTTGGTTTGGAATATGAATCCCTATCTTGGTTGTATTTCGTTATATAGTTTTTGACAATCTAGGTGAGAAACACCGGGCTTTAAGTGAACAAATATGTACTTATTTCCCTTATGGGTCCTTTGGTAGGTCTATGTTCCTGGTGTACTGGCTTGCACTGCCCATGTTGAGAAAGGAGATGCGGTTGCTGTCTGTGTTGCTATGGAACAACCTGGTGATGAAGGTGACTGGAGTGTTAATATGACTCGTGGGACCACTCTCCAGGGTCTGCCAACAGGCAAGAATCAGAATTGTTTCTTTTGCTTTGGTCACTATAAAATAAGTGCAGGAACCTATCATATGATTGACCATTACTTTGTTTCACAGTAACTGAAACCCTAAGAATAGGTCTTTGATTTATTAAGTGTTTTACGTGTTAGGTTGTAATTGATCAAAGGTGCTATTATATGAGTAACAAATTATGGCAGCCAAAAGAGTCAAACAATTTACTCTGTGGAATGCATTCAAATTTTAAAGAGTGGCTTTCCTCAGTAATCCATTCGTATTGGATAAGCTTGCTCTCCAGTAGCTTTTCTTGAAAGTGCTATATTGTCCATGGTTGGTATATAAGTTTTAGGGTTGCCAGCTAACAAATCTTGTGAAATGTTTTTAACTCAAAACAGTTGAAATGTAATTGTAGATCCTTACTATCGTGAACGCAGTGGACTATATATCGGCATGGGAACAGCTATGTTGTCAAGGGCTGGGATGTTTCGTGTTCCTCATGGAATTGCGGTGGATTTGAGCAATAGAGTTTTCAGATTGCCTTCTTTACATAGTAAGATTCTTCTTTTGCTCTAGGTTTGCTTTGTACTTCAGCTTACAATTTATGACTCTCAGTATCTTATTTCATCATGGAGCATTGCTCTTACATTGTCGTTTTCGCTCCTTAGATGTCCTTGAGGGGGAAATCTTTCTTCAAAACCTGCCAAGTATTATTGTTGCTCATGCTCTTGGTAAGTCATATTAATTTTCGGCCTACAGTATGCTTTTACATTCATCCCTTTTAATGATTTAGTTTACAAATGTCCATAATTCAAATAAAGTAGATCCTAGATAGTAGATACGATGAGAAGGCCACAGTAATACAAGATTGACGAGATCCTAAATTCTTATCTTGGCTGCACAGATCCTCAGAAAGGGGAGAGAATATTAGATATGTGTGCAGCACCTGGAGGGAAGACTACTGCAATTGCTATACTTATGAATGATGAGGGAGAGATAGTGGCAGCAGATAGATCTCATAACAAGGTTCAGTTTCTTATGATTAAGTAATATTTATTGAAACAAACATGATTTCTGTTGGGGTTTACTTGCTTGCAAATTTACATTGAATGCTTAGAACACAACACAATTTCTGGTTTGGATTGCAAAATTACATGCTCTAATTAGTTCGTTTACTGTTTTCCAAAACGCAGGTGCTGAATGTCCAAAAATTGTCTGCTGAAATGGGATTAAGCTGCATAACAACATGTAAATTGGATGCACTAAAATCTGTCTGTCTTCCAAACCCACCCAATGATTCCACAACAATAGTTAACAGTGATAATAGTAGTTCCATGACCAGCCATTCTGAATTATCATCAAGCGAAGAAATGACATCACTTGCTTCTAGAAAATCCAAGGCTGACAAATCATGGGAGGAAAATGGTAATTAAGCTACTCTCTCATAGTGTTTGCTTGGTTTAGTTGTTTTCCTCCAAATGTTGGCCTCTTTGTTTACTAGGTGAGAGTACCTCAACAAATTTGCCATGTTTGACCTTAGTTATGACTTTGGCATCAAACAGATACAGAACATAACTTTACTAAATTGGTATCTGTAGCCCATTATCTCACGTGTATGCATGTGTGTATGAATTCGAATCCCTATATATATCTTCCGGTTGTTTTCAAAAACTAAGCTTGATTTTCCATTTTATCACCCATGTTTTAGCCAGCACTGAACAGCCAAATGGAGGGGATAATGTTAGCCAAGCTGACATCAGGAAGAATAAAGGAAGGTTGAAAAATGGTCGTGGAAGAACTCAATGCCAAGGTGGAAGGGTTGGAAAGTCACAAGGTTTCCCGCCTAATAGTTTCGATAGGGTTCTTTTAGATGCTCCTTGTTCTGCCCTTGGCTTGAGACCTCGTCTTTTCGCTGGACTGGTAAGATAAAAGTATCTACATCGCATGAGTTAACAACGTGTACACATTGTAGTTTTTGTGTCAACATGTGATTTAGCCTTAGCTTAAGCACTTGGATGTGGCGGAAATATGATTTCTTGTAACTTCTTGAAGCAATATATATACTGATATACATGTAGACCAAAATCTTAAGTGTTTGTAGTAATTCAGAGTAAAATCTGTGTTTCTTCCTTCTTCATGTTTCTAAGATTTTTCAGAGGGTGGTAACTTGTGGAACGAATTTGCTTATTTCTTGTAGGAGACCGTCATATCTTTGAGAGACCATGGACGGTACCAGCGGAAAATGTTGGACCAGGCTGTTCAATTGGTTCGCGTTGGTGGAATTCTCGTATACTCAACGTAAGTATGCGAACATAATCTTAAATCTGTTAAATTCTGAATTTGCATTATCCAAGCTATGCAGCTCAGTCACAGTCTTGAGGAACTGAGAGTTACTGCAATCTTACCTGGGATGATTTGTTTGCCATTTTGCTAGGTGCACGATTAACCCTAGCGAGAATGAGGCTGTGGTTCGCTATGCTCTGGATAAATACAGATTTCTTTCTTTAGCACCACAGGTTTGGATCTAAAATACCCCTTTAGTTGTCAAGTTCAAAGCACAGAAAATATCTAAGAAACTGTTTGAGATCTTTGCAAATATTGAATTAGGATCTTGTTCGTTGTTCTAATGTTTCTTCATGTGGTTCTGTCTTGTTGAAGCATCCTAGGATTGGAGGACCTGGTCTAGTTGGTCGATGTGAATTCCCCGACGGATATATAGAGTAAGTATATACACCCATTAGGGTCAAATCAACAAAGCATAGCTTAAAATATATTGATGATGATAAGAAGAGATGGCTCTCATTTACGGACTATAAATTCCAATTAACAAAACCGAGTTATGTTTTGCAGGGAGTGGTTAAAACCCGGTGAAGAAGAAATCGTTCAGAAATTCGACCCATCATCTGAGCTTGATACCATCGGGTTCTTTATAGCTAAGTTCTGCGTCGGCCCCAAGGATTAGGATCTCAAAATGCTGATTCCTTATCCTAGACATTCCCACACAAAAATGGTGGTTTATACATTTGTCTTTGAATTTTAGATTGTATTTTTTGATTGATCTCGTTTTTAAATGAGATGTAAAGACATCCGTATAACATTGTTTTGATAACATAAAACAGTTATACGTTAATTACACAACACTTTAGTTGGTTCTTCCTCTTGTTCATCCCACAAGCTGTTTGGCTTCAAGAGTCTTCTCGTACTCTTCAATGGACTTGAAGAGCTCAGAGAAATTGCCTTTGCCAAAGCCACCACATCCTCCACTCTGGTAAGCCTTCCCTTCCTCATCTTTCATCATGCATCCTACTCTCTGGATTATCTCTATAAATATCGTCGGCCTATTAACACAATTATAAACAAGAGATTGCTTAGTAAACTGTGTAATATGTTTATCATCAACTGGATTGTTAGGGAACTGTAACATGTTTTTCATCAAATGAACTGTACCTGTCACCAAGTGGTTTTGTGAAGATTTGAAGCAACGTCCCTTGATCATCTCTGTCTACAAGAATCCCTAATTCCTCACACTCCTTGATCTGTTCATCACTCAGCACATCGCCGACCCGTTTCTTCAGATTCTGGTAGTAAGTAGGCGGAGGAGAAGGCATGAAGTCGAATCCTCCAATACTGCTCCTCTTCCTCATCTCTCTCAGGGTCCTGAATATGTCTTCACTCATCAGAGCCAGATGTTGTAGCCCTGCGCCTTCGTTATGTTCCAAATACGTCTGAATCTGACTCTTCCTCTTCGTACCGTGTACTGGCTCGTTAATCGGCAGAAGAACCATTTCGTCATTGTTAGCCAGGACCGCTGAATTTAAACCGCTCTCGGCGGTTCCAACGTCGTCTGCTGTGAACTCTGCGAATTGGTGGAAACCAGTGAACCCCGCGACATAAGTCAAAGCCGGACCAAGCTCAGGAACGTTTCCCACGGCGTGGTCAAGCCGCCGTATACCATAATCCAATGGGAACGACGATGTATCCTCTACAGGCTCGAATCCTGGCAAGAATTCGGGTTTTTGGGTATCTTCTCCTTTGTAACTAACATATCGGAGAACAACATCGCCGTATAGTTTGACCTCGGCGATCGTAACTGCTTCGTCGAGGACGATAGGAGGCGACGAAGGAATAGCACCATTAGCGACACTGATGGAGAAAGCTGACTCTGCGTCTTCTACTTCAATCGCAACGGCTCTTACGCCGAGGCCATGGGAAGAGAAGAAGGAGCGGCAAGAGACGTGATCGAAACTTGGGATAGAAGCTGTAGTGGTCGGTTTAATTTCTCCGGCGGAGAGAGACGGAGAGTAAGGAGCAGTGAAAAGGAATCGGAGGTCGCCGGAGGTGAGTAGGTAAGAGGCGTGAACCATGTTTCCGGTGGAGAGATCGGATTTGGCGGAGAACCTCATCCCCAGACCCCAGGAGAAGCGACGAGCGACGTTGGTGGCGTCGCCGCACCAGAACTCGATGTGGTGGAAGCGCTTAACCTTGAATTTATCAGACTTTGGATTCTTCCTAACGAACTTGGAGAATCCGACGAGCTTGAATCCCGGCGACGACGCAGCGCTGTCATCATGGTGTTGAACTTGATTCTCCGAAACGGCGGCGTTCTCGTGGCCCATTGATTTCACCAACTCTGCTATGGAACTGAGTGTGTTTCGTTGAGCTGGAATAAGCTAACGATAGACACAAATTATGGATTTTATTGATTAAAATTATTTTAGAGGTAAGAAAGGAAAAAAGATCCTCTCGTCGTGTCTGAGAATGTCAGGTCAACAGATGTTGACTGTTAGTGGACATCGGAGGGTACACGTGGACGGTCAGATGTTGATTGAAAGATAACGTTACGTGATGGATCTCCCTGCTTCCTCTTTGGCTGATCCTTGTCCAGTTACGGAATGCTGACGTGTAAGACCTATCTACCGTTTAGAATATCAAATTTCACAATATCAAAATATTTCTTAAAAAACGAATGAAAACTACTATCCAATCATATATTATATGGACGAGGCAAACATGAAATCTAGTGTTTGGTAATTCGAGATTGGAGACTTGTAAAAGACTGAACCACTAATGTCATCTTTTTTATCTGTTAATGCCAATCTTCTCATACTTTGTAATTGTATATGTAATGACCCGTTTGGTCGAATCTTCGTTTGCGTAATTGCATATATGAAAATGATACAGTGGAAGTTAGATTCTAAAGTTACAGCATACATCATGCTAAATCAATATCAGCTTCTATGTCAACAAATGTGCTTATGAAAGAGACAACCTTTACATGTATGTACAAAACTACACCTGCAACATCTAATGCTAATGGCCAAACACTCCAGCTTCAACTCTTCACATGTCCAAACCAAATCAATCTACAAAATGCCATGAGAGTTGACACCGTATCCTCTCATTCCCACCCAAAATATGATTAAATCCATCATGCCTCCTAGCTTAAAGTTTGTCCAGTTTCGTATCATACTTTCAGCCAAACTTAAAAAGTCAGAAGCATCTGCGGAGGTCGAGGACCCTTACCTCAGCTATCTCTAAGGTGTCTCCTATTTACCTCTTTTATACGTCTACTTAATTGGCATAAGCCCATCATCTATTTTCATTTTTCTATACAGCTCATGCCCTTCACGCCATAGTCTTTTCTTATGCAAGCCTATCATCATTGTAGTGTACGTTATAACATCAGGACTTACCCCTTTGAGAGCGAGACTGCAAAATAAATACCAAGCATCTTCCACCTTATTAGCCTTACACATCCCTTTGATGATAATATTATACGTAATAATACCAACTACTGTTTCACTCTTTTGTAAATCCTCCAATTTCACCAATGCTTTTCCTATTTTTCCATGCTCACATAGACCGTCTAACAAAATGTTAAAGGTATAAATATCGGGATGCACCCCACAAGAAACCATCCGACCTAAAACCTTTTCGGCAGCATTAAATTGGCCCGCTTGACAGTAACTCTGGTAAAGAGTGTTGTAAGTGAATGTGTCACCATCCACTCCATCACGCGACATTACGCACAAGATTTTCATCGCATCATCTACCCTCTTGGACTTGCAATATCCATTTACGAGAGTATTATAAGTCACTGCATTGGGGAAGAAACCTTTACTTACCATAAAATTAAGCACTTTTTTGGCTTCATCTAAAAGACCGTGAATGCAAAGCCCGTTAATCAGTGAATTGTAAGTGACTATATTAGGATTTACTGACCTTTGAATCATCTCATTGTACTGCTTTTTAGCCTCTAAAAGCTGCCCCTCTTTCCCATACACATCGATCATAGCACTGAAAGTGATTACATCCGGGTTGATTCCCATCCTCATCATATCACTCAGTATTCGAGCAGAGACGCCCCATTTACCAGAATGGAAAAGGCGAGTAATGAGAGAGTTGTAGGTAACAACATCCGGTCTAATTCCCATTTTTTCCATATGCTTCAAAACGTCCAGCGCAGTATCTACTTGCCGGTTTTCGCAAAGACTAACAATGATAGTGTTGTAGATTACAACATTAGGTTCATATCCCAATCCCACGATTTGATCAACCAGAGACATGGCTTCCTGAATTCTATTTACGTGACAGAATCCATTGACGAGAGAGCCAAAGGTAACAATGCTGGGGTCAAAACCAAGCTTCATCATCTTTCCCAGACATGACAGAGCAGGAGAGAGTCGAGAGCATCGGCAGAAACAATCAATTAAAGTACTGAAGCTATAGAGATCATGTGAAATTCCCAAAATCTCTATATGCCGAAAGAGAGAGATCACAGCTTCATACTTCTTCAGCTTAGCAATGGCAATCAATAACCTACTGAAATCAACAATGGAAGGGAGGGGACGAGACTCAGCCATGTCACAGAACAAAGTAAGTGCATCGTTTAACTTAATAGAGTGAAGCCCACTTCTCAATCTCTCTCGGTAATCACTGCCACCAGAAAAAGCTCGGAAATTGCACACGCGTAATGAGAGAGCAGTTACAGGATTACCTTTCTCCAGAAGATGCCGATGAAGAAACCCCTTCGCCGTTAACGCAATCACAATCAAAACCGATCTCCGCATCCGACGGATTTTTGACAATCTAGTTCCTGGAAGAACCCTAAAAGAAGATCCGAAGAAGACGCCGAGTAGTGCTCCGGCGAGCAGGGAGGGATCTGATTACAGTCCCGTTGAGTTCAACAGAGAGGGTTTTGTGTTTGTGTATAGGTGATTTAATAGCATGTACGAAAAGTATTATTACATTTCCATTCTATTTCAAATACATTGGGCTTACGACAGGCCGATAATCATATCTTCGCCGCCGTAACACTTAAAAGCCCAATACGTTTTCAAACAAAATTGAGTCCCACATCGAAAATAATATAAACAGTTACTAACTTATGGCCCCTATAAATAAAAGGATCTCTTTGATTCCAAACTAAAAAAACAGCAATGGGCTAATTTACACATAATTAAATTTTTAACACTTATTATTTTTAATGTTTTCTTTTTTTTGATAAGTGTTAAATTTTTAAATTTTGTGTAAACTAATTGGATACAACATCCAAACCCCTAAGCGGTGTTCTAGGTTCAATATGGTTTACACATAATTAAATTTTTAATACTTGTTTTAAAAAAAATGTTTTTAAATTTATATTTTTATATTATTATTAAAACTTTAACGTTTTTTTAATTTGAAAATGTAGAACATTACATAAGGAAGATGTTGTTTGATGGAGAAATACAATACAATATGGATGCAAGAGTTCTTAATTTCAGTATGGGTAAGCCTCGTGTTCAATTCAATACCAGTAACATTCAAAGTGGTGGAGATGGTCAGCCTCAAGAGGACGCATAGTGAAACAACTCTATTTATAATCATGTAATGAAATTTTTTAAAAATTTTTGTCTATCACAAAGTAACATATGTATATATCATGAGATATGTATAATTATTTTTGTAATAATCAAATTTAAGTATCTTTGTCTCTTCGTGTTAATGTAAGGTCTAAAGATCATGTGAATATGTAATGTCAAATGGGGTTTCCTTAATTGTCAATTTGTCATTAGTAGTGTAATCTCAGTCTGTTGTTTCACATGAGTACTTGACAATGCTGTTCATGATGGATGAATGCGATGCTGTATTTATTCACAATCTTGTTTCATTTTCACACAAAGGAAGAGACATTATGTCAAATTTAACTTGCCAAAATTTCTCAAATTATCTTTTGATGACTTCCTCAGTCTCCTACATTTTAGAGAAGTTATACAAGGTTACATTCTCGACAAGATTCGGACATTAGAACGAGTCTTGGTAAGGACGTGATTACAACTTAAGTTACAAGCTTTGCACAATAAGCTTATTAAATAACATCTCAAGCCATGTTTTGTTCGACACCTTGAGGGTTCTCGAGAGCTATGATATGCATCTTAAACAAAGACGCAGCTTCTTCCCTCTCATCAAGCTGCCCAAGCTTGTCATATACCATCGCCATTAAGTATGAGGCTTCCGCTGCCAGTTCATGGTACTGCACAATAAACACAACTACTAAGTGAACCAAGATTCAATTTTTTTCAGTTATGGTGAGCTAAACGAAGCTGAACCTAATTATAAGAGTTCGGTTTTATTTTTGAATCAAAAGCAACATAGCATCTCTTAAGCGATGGTGTGGCGATAATATATAGCTCAGGTTTGTTTTTGAACAAAAAGATACATAGCACTCTTATTGACACAAGTTACCTCCAAAGCTTGAAGCTCATCTGAAGCTTGCCTTAGAGAATCCAGGACAGTGTCAGAATCTGTGGAAACTGGTAACAACAGTAAAAACAAATTAGAAACTCGCAATGAGCAAGATAAACCTTTATCCATAACAGTCAGATTCTATTCATTATGTTCTGAACATCCTCGCTTAGGCTAAGACAATGACTGTTCGATATTCCAACTATGACACATGAACTATACTCAAAGCAGTACAAGACAACAGAAGCTACCTGAAAAGCTTGGATCAGACAGATAGCAGTTTGCTTCAAAGATGTAAGCTCGAGCACGCAACTCCAAACCTCCATGGCCAAGAATCATAGGGAAAGCCCCATGCAAAAGGTCTAATGCTCGTTTAGCATGATTTGATCCAAGACCAAGCCACAGCTCGGCCAGCGTGAGAGTAGCTGATGCTTTGAGAAGATCCAAGTTGAATGACTGGCAAAACGAGATGCTTGCCAGCGCATATGGAAGACCCAGGACCGCATTTCCTGACTTCTGAAAACCAAAAAGGGGGGAAGCGAAAGGTGAAGTCCGGTCAGAAAACCAATAAAAGATTTGAAAATAATACCATAGTACAACACTTTTCTATGTAGTCTAAGACCAATCAGCAAAGAAAGAGGACATTCAGAACATATACATGGCTGTTAAGCTATGTATGCATGGGGACGGGAAAAAAATCCAGAAAAAAAAACTGTTTCTATTGCAATTTGGTATGGCGGAACAAATTTTCAATGAAATATCAGATTCCAATCAATGTGCTCTCAAGCTAGTGATTTCTTGTAGCCATGTCTTACCTTATGGATCTCTGCGAGCAGAAGAAGAACAGACGCCTTTTCGATTTGCAAATTGAATTTGTGACATGTGCAGAAGAGGGAGTGTGCCACATTTGCTGCCTGTAGAGAACGTAGTACCAAAGCAAAATGAAGATACGTTAACATTTCATAGCACATGGCCTGAAATTATAGATATCACATGGACTTAAAACAAATGGTCAATAAGAATTTTTTTACAAACCTGGCTATACTGTTTTGCTGCAAGCAAAGTCCGAGCTTCACGAAGACTTGCTTCTACTTTCAGCTCCATGTCTACACCCATGGCTGTTGATGCCAAGCCTCCTAGCTCATTACATATTCGTTGAGCTAGTTGTAGATTCCCACTAATGGATTTAACAAAGTTAGAACAGCTGACTTAAGATATAACGATTCCAGTACAATAGGAAGCCTCTGTTCATATTTTATACCCCAATGAATTTAATACTGTTTCAAAGCATTTGAATCTATCTATATAACCCTTAAAACAATACAGTAAGTGAGCACAGAGGGCAGATATTACATCAACTTTGTGGGTTTTATGAGGTTGCTTAAGCAAAATATCAAACAAAAGCATTTTCTTTAGAATTCATCAGTGCTGTAAAATAGTGAAACTCCGGCACGGAGTTACTTGTGGGGGAGGAACAGTTGATTAGAAACCCCCTTCCTTTCTCGTAACCATGAGGTTAATTGGGACCAAGAAACGGTATATAACATGAGGAGTGCATGCTTTACATGGGAGACTAGGAACCTTACCAATGCAAGGCACGCTCATGTAATATCTGCAACTTGAGCAACAATATTTTTGATTTTGATACGGTTAAGAACTTTTCCTCCGCGATCTTAAGAGCAGCAAAGGCATCTAGAAAAGCATTGGTTTCAGAAAACAGGTCAACATAGGAAAAGAAAAACCATGAAGCAAGATCTAAATAAATACCCTGCATGTAGTAGAAGCAGCAACATATAAACATGATCAGAAAAAATAGCAGAAAGTTCTGACTTTTTTACACTGACATGGCCTTCTTATTCATTCTACTGAAAGCTATAATATTTATTGCGAAGGATCATCAAGGTTCTTTGTATAGGTTTATTTGTGACTTGAAATACTGAGGCAGATATAACAAGGTGTGCATGACCTTGTGCACAGATTCTAACCTTTGTATCCCTTATATAGTGCCAAATGTTGAATGAGCTTCAAGTATGCTAACTCTGCGTCAGATGAACTGTAGATGCAAGAAATAGATCAAAATCACAAAACGAATGTAAGAGACTGTTTTAGAAAGAAAAAAGAGCTAGAAAGGGTGAGGGAGAGACAGAGAGAGGGACTGAAAGTAGAACATGAAATTGATATATTTAAATGAAATTACCTAGAAGAGTCACCGAATAAAGTTGCATACACCAAGGTATTCATCCGAGCCATAGGAGCGCTAACGAAAGCAAATGAATTAATAAATTACAGAAAATCTTCAAGTTCATATGGTTAGTTGTTAGAAAGGCAAGGTCAGCAAAGAAGAAACTGTATGAGTAATGAGTTCATCAACATTAAGGGTTTGATCAGTGAGAAATTAAACTATGGAATTTCTAGTTATCTTACTTAAAGTGAAATGCATAAGCTTTCAAAGGAGATGGAAGAAACTGTGACAAGATGAGTGGAAAACAACCTCCCAGGAATAAGAAAATACAATAAGGATGGAAACACAGATAAAGTAACAGCAAGTGGAGATAAGTGAGACGATCATGATTTCATCTCCTGGATGGGTACTGGAAGCATCAAAATCAACATGAAGACAATGCTATGGAATTCTAACTTATATATTAGCATATTTCAGCTCATAGTGGAATACATGAGGGAGACTCATACACTAGTAGTTTACGCAATTTCAAGGTCAAAACAAGCAATTTCACAATCAAGTAATATCCTCACAGTTTTCCATTTCTTTCTAAGACATAACTGAATGGGAATATGCAGCACCTATCAAGCAACTGAAACAACACAGGTCTAGGGAAATTGCGTGGAAAAAAGTGCCTACATCAAACTTGCAATAAACAATTCTTCACTAGTTACAATGCTGGTCAACACTCACAAAATTATGCAGGGGAGCTTTCTAAGAAGTAACAATCATCTTCAAACAGAAACCTGATATCAATCTTACCTGCCAAATAACTCCCATGAAGTAGCCCGGAGTAAATATGAAGCACCTATTAATTGTGCCACAGATCCAGGAATTGAGACTAAATGATCACAGAACTGGAAAAAAGTCGAACTTTTTCTAGAACCAGAGTCCTGGGAAATCACAGGTGGACCCCATGGTTTTTGCAAGTCTTTAAGCCAAGCCGAGCTTAGAGAACCATCAATTGTCATTGTAGAGCTTTCAGAAGAAAAGTCGCTGATTAGGTGTGCCCCTAGTCTTATTTCCTGCCATGGATTATTCAAGAACTGATTAGACCTGAAATGGAGATGTGAATATTTCACTTTAGTCAAAATAGTTGGGTGGTATATCAGTACCTTGCAGACACTAACTGGACACGTTTTGTGACGCGTAGACGCTTTGGGACCAAATGACAGTAGAGGTCTTTGCACATGCTGTATTACAACAAAATAACTATTCTGATATGGCGTATATCAAAGATTAGAAAAATAAATATATGGATTTTGTCTACTTAGTTGACATTACTTGGCAATGCCCTACATATAGGGCTAGCAGCACAAACAAATCAAACAGATAATTTGAGTGTACAAGTTCGTGCAAATTCAAGCTTTGTATGTCTACTTTACAGGAAAAAACAAAGACAAATATGAAATAGAGACACATGCCAAAGGCAAATTGATGATTTCTCTTTCTCTATAACACATCATATATTTTCGCATTAGAAAAAATTGTGACGCTGAAATCATTTTCTATGCAAACAAAAAATAAACAATAATTGCTCCAGCTTCTTCCTATCTATCTATCCTATGTGCTTCATCCCTTTTCTTTTGTGTTTTCTTTTTCTCATGAGCTACGTCACAAATTCTTCTATATATATTTCCCCACATGTTACATTTTCGAGTTCTATAAAGAACTTCTCTAATTGCTGAGAGCACAGTGATAATTCATGGGTTCTTTGTGCATCAAAAGATGTGAGGGACACACAAGGTTCTAAATGAAAAATCATACCACAGATTCTCAGGACAGATAGAGATATATCTAAATAAATAAGGAAAAAACTATGTTCATCACAGCTAAGTAAAGACCTTACCATCAACTCAAATTTAGCCATTGCAAGATGATTAGAAGCCACTAAGCGTCTTAACTTTAGACTGTCAGCTCTCCTCAAAGACTCTTTCAAAAGTATGTACACTCTTTGTTGTACAGATAATGAAGACGCAGTGCTAGTGACGGGTGAGTACGAGGATCCGAGAACACAGGTGGTACTTGCAATGCCCATTTCTGATAACAAGTTGCTCATTGCTGCTAGCGTATATGCTAGACAAGTATCGTTACTAAGCTGCAGAATCAACAAAAAAATTAAATATCATAAATGAATTAGAGCTTGACCAAACGTATCTTCAAACAATTTAAGCTTTAGTGTTGCTCATGTAACTGCATATTGAAGTCAAACAATAGATATGTGATCCTTCTAACATGTACTGAATACAACAAATTTCATATCTGCTAAGACTGCACTGCCACATGAGCACCCTAAAAATCAGTAGGTCACATATATCCTTTCAGCAGCGTTAAAACATCATCTAAAACTGCAAAATATGTCTGATGCTTCTAGATATGGGTAAAGTGAGAATATACCTGCTGCGATACACGCACAGCTTCTGTTAAAACCTGTGGTTGAAAAGAAACCATATTATGAGCAAACCAAACAATGATAAGACTCTATAGATATGAAGTTGATAGCAAGTCCTATAGTCACTCAATTCACCGTGAGCAGCGTGAAGGTTAAATGTTGCATCTTTGTTTACACTTTACACAAACATTGCTCACAAGTGTTTTGACGGATGTACCAAGGCATAGAAACCATAAAAGGAGAACCTTCAAGCACAAATTTTGCATTAAGTCTGCCCCACCTCAAACACATCATTGCTTGCATGGGCAAATTTTCAACTTTTTAAAAGTAAAATTTCGAAGGTGAGGAATAGTGTGAAGACTCACTCAAGATACATCACAAATGGGCATCTCTTATTATAAGCCTCACCAAAAGTCCAAAAAACTATCCAATTTACAATTTGGTCTATCCAGGGAGGATTTTAAAGATCAAGAACAATTCTTTAGCTATATAAGCTATTGGGAGAATGAATGCTCACCTCCAGAGCCAGATTAGGATGCCCAAAGCGGAAATGCATCATTCCCAAACATAGCAAAGCAATCTCGTACCTTCCATACATGCTGCAACCAGTTGAAGGAGGCACAAGATCAAATCCCTCAGTCCCTGCACTTTAAGGCAATGGATCATGGATCAGCTCATGTTTGAAACGAAGTTCCTAGTGCCAAATATCTAACAGGCAAACACAACTGGATATTTACAGGAGTCACATGCAAACAACAAAAGCTTTCGGCAGTAATATTATTATCATCATAAATTTTTAGGAAACAGAGAAAATTAGCAAAATGTACAGATTACCTGTAATCAAAGTAACGGAGGAGATTATCCAAAGCAGCAAAATAGTCATCACTGTGAAGTTTATTCAAGTAACGCAAAAAGTGAACCTGCATCATTGCATGTCGTAAATAACATGTAAGAATATCAAAGCAATCAAAGAATGATTAACTTCTGAATTCACTGCAAAGTAAAATACAAAGAAGCAAGACATTACGCGATGCAATTCAGGGGCTAAATTCTGAAGCTGCTCAAGGAAACTTTCAATGGAACTTGAAGAGAATGAACTTGAACTTCCATGGCTGTCATCAAATTACAAGGGGATGTAAGTTTAAAAACTAGCAATACTTATGACAGAAATATATTGGATACTAAGGAAATAGAGGCTTTACGTTTCAATTGCATCGGCCTGTTCCATTAAAAAGCCTTGTATCTGCGTATTTGTCCGAAGGAATAATGACTCATCAACCAGAGTATCCTCAAGTGTACTTGATGAGGCACGAGCAACTGGAGTAGCTTCTGTATCTTTCTTGCTGGTTCTTGATGTTTCCTTCCTAGTATGTAGCAAACCTGCAATTTTTCATTTGTTCTGTGCATTATTATAACATCGAGATCCTTACAAAACAAGTGAGTGTCAAAGCATAAGAATGAAACAAAAACAAAAAAAAAAAGAGACAAATTAATTTGATTAGAGTAAATCGTTAAGGAAATATATTCAGAAGCCAACTCTTAAACAGAAAAATCTAAAAAAGCTTCATGCAAACACTTCAAAAGACTTTGTATAAAAACTTTGACCCAACCACTGATGCTAATGCATCAGCAAAAACATATATGAGAAAAGTGGAATCTAAATTGCAGCCTGATCATGAATATAAAACTCTATTTCCTCAATATTTACTAGCACCTGAGACTCTGAGAAACTCTAAGTTTTCTCTGAGCAAAAATGTGTGAATACCATAAGGGATACCTTCTGTCGCTTTGAAAAGTGATTCTGGTGTATGAAGGTGAAAAGGGACAATTCCACTAGCACTTTTCTGAAACTCTATTTCTTCAGTTGCTTTATCCATTGCATAATTTTCCATATCCATCTGATCATATTGTGTTAATGACTCCAAATTATTATTAGATGCATCAAACTGAGCAGAGCTTGAATGGGCTTCTTTGCAGTAATCTTCAATGCTTGAAAAAAGATGACAAACTCCCTGCACATATCAATGAAATGGACGGTTCTTTCAAACACTCACTTATGTGTTTCTGCAGCAATCAAGAGGTTCGCTATATTCATTCTGAACACTACAGCTAGATATTACACTTCAACCAGACCTGCCAGAGTTCTGCCATTAGATCTCATATTATAATGTACTTATACATGCGTCTACATTTTAAATCTAGCCTAGACAAGTACTCCATCTTAGTAAGTCAAGAAACAAACAAACTTCACATAGATGTTTAGACACAACAAAGCGGCTGACGTTTAAGCTAACAAATCCGAGTCTTTCAAGCAAAACCTCAAACAAAACATCATGTTGAATAATATTACTATTATTCAGTCTGAAGATAAAACAAGAATAACAAAAACGTAAAAAGCTCAATACCTCGAACGATAAAAGGTTGAATGCCAAAATGCAACGACGAACAAACATTCCCAAGTTGCTGTTGGGATCCAAAATAATCTGATCATCTTGCACAACTCCTGAATCAAGGCTCCCAAGTATTCCTACATACAAAGAAATGATAACTAATAAGATTCAAACATGATTGAAAACAAGAAAAACAGACCTTAAGCAAACAAGTAGCTAACCTCGCATGTCATTAAAGAAATTTAATAGATCATCTGGTGAAGCTAAAGCGGAAAACCTATTAGTTAAATGGTCAGTTAGCCACGCATCCATCTCTTCGCCAACTTCCCTCAACTGGTTAATGAGCTCTTCCAACTTCGGCTCAAATATATCATCGCAAGACTGCAGCATGAATATCAATCTCGTCAGGGAAAAGAACAGTTAGCACACAAAACCAGCAAATCCAAACTCCATTATTCACTCATGAAATCAACATAAGTTACAAGATTTTCTTCAACTTTGAGCTGTGAAATCGGGACAACAGACATTGCTGAACTCAATCTCAAAAATTAGCAGAGCAGCTCTAAGAAATGCAATAAAGAAACTCGACACAACAGCATAGCGTCGAGAGGTGCCAGGAAAATCACAAGAATCAAAAGAAATTGCTGAATTAAACCTCAAATACCTATAAGATAATGCAATTCGAGAGAAATGGAAGAGTGAAACCTTAGTGAGAGAGAGCAAGTAGAGGCCGAGGCGGTTGTGCTGAGCAACGGAAGAGAAAGGAAAAGGAAGAGACATCTGAGAGGAAGGAGCGTATATCTGGAGGAGAATGCAAACGGAGATCTTGTGTGGAGTTACCGCAAAAGCACCGGCCGTTCTCGTTAATCCGGCCATATCTCTCCGTCGCTAAAACACTCACTCTCTCACTTTGGATTCACACTGTCTCTCACTTTGGATTCAAACTGTCTCTCAATCTCTCGCCGGATATTTTCCTCCGACGAGCAGCCGGGATTAGGGCAATTTAGAGGATTTATTTTGAAATTTTGACTAAAAGAGTCACCGGGAAAGTGAGCACTTTGAAAAGAAGAAACAAAGAAAAAATCTCAAGCTTTGAGAACCGGTTATTTCAGGCCGGTAGACGATCGGATCGTATTGACTATTGACCGCCGTCGAGTTATATGTATATATAACCCAGAGGCCAAGGCCCAAAGGTTTCTTTTTTGTTTGATTTGATAAGTGCAAGGCCCAAAGGTGAGAAATAAAAGAAGCTGAATAAACTAAGAAAAACGAATACTATTTTCTTTTTTTGGGCAAACTACGAATAAAGATTTTTACTTTTTTTTGACCAAAGGATAACCTCATGTAGTTGCCAACTTGCCATTAACCATGATAGTGACGAAGGCTTCCAAAACATTACGACACGACTCACGAGAGCCACCGTAAAAGTAATCCCAACTACAATCCAAGCTCCGATAGTCAGTCATCCAACAATACATACATACGTATACTTGAATAATATTATAATAAGAAATGAAGGTGGCTCATTCCAAAATAATTGTTGCTTGCTGGCTATACATTGAATTTTTTAAAAAGTCTTTCTGATGGCCAAAAATAAAATAATACTAACAAAACTCTATATAAACGTGACAAAATGAGCTGTTGAATTTATTTTGCTGTCAAAAAAAAAAAAAAAAAAATGAGCTGTTGAATATGTCACTCGCATTTGGATTTATTTTGACTACAGCTAGATGGATTCGTCATCGGGGATGTAGCTCAGATGGTAGAGCGCTCGCTTAGCATGCGAGAGGTACGGGGATCGATACCCCGCATCTCCATTTTCTTTATTTTTTGCTATAATTATCTGTCTTGTCCGTTCATTAATTTCTTTTTTTCGCACGTGGAAACGTGAATATTTTAATTTTTAAGACATGTACTTCTCATCCATCTTCGTCGTTGACTCGTGGAAACTTTTACACAAGTTGTATTATAAGATCCAACTTCAAAGCAATGAAAAATGGCATTTTCAGCTTAAAAGAAAAAACCAATGGAGTCATCACTTCCGATTACAGTTGCTGCACTTGATCGTTCAACTCAACTAAAAGCTTTCGACGAGACTAAAACCGGCGTAAAAGGCCTTGTCGACGCCGGAATCGCAGAGATTCCATCAATATTCCGTGCACCTCCGGCTACTTTAACAAGTCCAAAACCACCTTCCTCCTCTGAGTTTACTATTCCCACAATCGATCTCAAAGGAGGTGGCACGGACTCGATCACGCGACGGAGCTTGGTGGAGAAGATCGGAGACGCGGCTGAGAAATGGGGTTTTTTCCAGGTGATCAATCACGGGATCCCGATGGATGTGTTGGAGAAGATGAAAGAAGGGATTCGTGAGTTTCACGAGCAAGACACACAAGTGAAGAAAGGGTTTTACTCTCGAGATCCAGCTAGTAAGTTGGTATATAGCAGCAATTTCGATCTCTTTAGCTCACCGGCGGCGAATTGGAGAGATACAATCGGTTGTTATACGGCACCAGATCCTCCTAGACCGGAGGACTTACCGGCCGCTTGTGGGTAAGATTTCCAAATTTGTTAAATCACGAGTTTGAGTATATTTGCTAATGTAACATGTTATGTTTTCCTCGGTCCGAAGAAATTTTACATGGTCCAATAGTATATTTAAAGAAATTTCGAAAACAGTTGAAATACATAATCCAATAATAACTCATTCATCAGATATATATAGTTACAACGTAAAATAACTTACTTATAAGAGCTAGGATTCCATTAAATATTTTTACTAAGCATAAATCTGAATCTTTATCCAATATTCATAAGTGTCTCTTAAGGTTTCTATTGGGACATTTTTTCAGGGAAATGATGATTGAGTACTCAAAGGAAGTGATGAAATTGGGTAAATTACTCTTTGAGCTTCTCTCAGAAGCTCTAGGGTTAAACACTAATCACCTCGCGGACATGGATTGCACCAACTCGTTGCTGTTGCTCGGCCATTATTACCCGCCGTGTCCCCAACCCGACCTTACTTTAGGCTTAACCAAACACTCAGACAATTCTTTTCTCACTCTTCTTCTTCAAGACCATATAGGAGGGCTTCAAGTTCTCCATGACCAATATTGGGTTGATGTTCCTCCTGTTACCGGAGCTCTTGTTGTTAACGTTGGAGATCTTCTTCAGGTTAACTAAGTAATTAACCCTTTTGGTTTTTGATCTGTGGGGTCAATCTATGGACTAAAATAAATAAATCTGATCAGTTGATTATCTTAATGGGGCTTGGTGCAGCTTATAACAAACGACAAGTTCATAAGCGTGGAGCATAGGGTTTTGGCTAATGGAGTTGGACCAAGGATTTCAGTGGCGTGTTTCTTCAGTTCGTATTTGATGGCGAATCCTCGAGTTTATGGACCCATCAAAGAGCTTTTGTCTGAACATAATCCTCCCAAATATAGAGACACCACCATTACAGAGTATGCAAAATTCTACAGATCCAAAGGATTCGATGGTATCTCTGGATTACTCTATCTCAAGATCTGAGAATAGCAATTGTCTTATAAAGGTGCTTAATTGGGACTTTGATTTCCTCTGTAATAACTCCTTCTTTAATAAATCTCTGTCAAAGCCACTGGGCTAGAACTGTCACAGGCCGTTGTTTTTTCTATCATAGCACAATTAAAGGAGTCTTTTCCAAGTTTTTAAAAAGGTTTATCTCCTGATTCATTAGAAAATCAGTATTCCTTCTAGACAGATGTGTCATATGTGATTGCTATTTGTCTTAGCCAGAATGAATATAAACTTACTAAATTTCTAAAGCCATAAAAGAAAGTAATTTTATTGCTACAACTTCATTTTGTAAAGATTAAAAAAAAAAAAAAAAAACATGCAGTTTTGAAATCAAGTGTTCCTATGTAATATACAGTATTTTCTAGAATAATTTGAAGTAATTGATCATTTGATAGTTCTTGATTGAAATTTGTAATTTTTGACATTATTTCTCTTGATGTAACTGGTTTTTGAGATACAAAATGTTTAGACTTTCTTACCCAAGATGACATGTTCAAAGATGCACATGTATACCTCATAGTAAAATGCAAAGTAACCACCTATCTTATAATTTGCATAATAAAGATGCTTGTGATTTTATTTTTCTCTATAATAACTTATTGTATGATAAGACAGGAGCTGTCACGAGCCATTGTTTTTTTCTATCAACTTTATCTCTTATCAATGGTTTTGCTAGCAGTTGGTCCCATCTTGGAACACAAGAAAAACGAGTAATACCTTTTTTTTTTGTGTGGGTGCTTGTGCTATATATGATTGTATTAGATTGCTCTATCTGTCTTTATGAGAGAAAAAAACGATGGAGACGAAGAAGATTGATTCATTTGATCGTGCCAGTGAGCTTAAAGCTTTCGATGAGACGAAGACTGGTGTGAAAGGACTCGTTGACGCTGGAATCTCACAGATTCCACGCATTTTCCATCACTCATCTGTCGAACTAGCAAATCCTAAGCCACTTCCCTCGGACTTGCTACATCTAAAGACGATCCCAACGATCGATCTCGGAGGACGGGTCTTCGAGGACGCGATTAAGCGCAGGAACGCGATTGAAGGGGTTAAAGAAGCAGCTGCGAAGTGGGGTTTCTTCCAAGTGATTAACCATGGAATTTCGCTCGATCTTCTTGAAAAGATGAAAGATGGAGTTCGTGATTTTCATGAGCAACCCCCAGAAGTGAGGAAAGAATTGTACAGCCGCGATTTCAGCAGAAAGTTTATGTATTTAAGTAACTTCGATCTCTACACTGCTCCAGCTGCAAATTGGAGAGACACATTCTATTGTTACATGGCTCCAGATCCTCCTAAACCAGAGGATCTGCCAGAGATTTGTAGGTATGACTGTTTTGCTTTAGCTTGTCTCTTAGACACATTCAAGCCTTCCTTTTATGAACATGTAAGCAACTTGGTCGTTTGTTGTAGTAAACCAACTTTAATATCTCTATTCGCTGGTGAATTGTTTAGGGATGTTATGATGGAATACTCAAAGCAAGTGATGATTTTGGGTGAATTTCTCTTTGAGATTTTGTCAGAAGCTCTAGGGTTGAACCCTAATCACCTCAAGGACATGGAATGCTTAAAGGGTTTGCGCATGCTTTGCCACTACTTCCCACCGTGTCCAGAGCCTGACCTAACTTTTGGCACAAGTAAACACTCCGACGGCTCTTTTCTTACAGTCCTTCTACCAGACAACATAGAAGGGCTTCAGGTTCTTCGTGAAGGATACTGGTTCGATGTTCCTCATGTTCCCGGTGCTCTTATCATCAACATCGGAGATCTTTTACAGGCAAGTTTGCGCAATCAATACATGTTTGCTAGCTCAGATTTCACAATTTTATTTACAGTGCTAGATTTGTTTAAGCAATCTTCCTCTTGGTTCAAAGGTGTTTTTTGTTTCTTTAATTGGGTTGGCTGCAGCTTATTACAAACGACAAGTTCATCAGTTTGAAACATAGAGTATTGGCGAACAGAGCCACAAGAGCTCGAGTCTCTGTCGCATGTTTCTTCCATACCCACGTAAGACCAAATCCTAGAGTGTACGGACCCATTAAAGAGCTTGTGTCCGAAGAAAACCCTCCAAAGTACAGAGAGACAACCATCAGAGACTACGCTACTTACTTCAATGGCAAAGGACTTGGCGGAACCTCTGCTTTGCTCCATTTTAAAGTATGAATCATGGCGACCTAATACTTTCTCACACATATACGACATGACACTATGACCGTATATGTAACATGTTGGAGATGTGTGAACCAAGTGTGGAATTTATGGATTAAACAGTCATTTCGGTTTGGTCCAAATAAGGAGTAATCGGATATGGTTAATCGATTGTATTTCAATATCGGATTACGAACATGTTAGTTATACAAATATACTAATTTGGATGTCATTTATATTTTATGATCGATGGGTTGGATTATATGACAATACTAAGGTTGATTAATGGTTTACTGGTTGCCTGTTGTTTAAGTAATGGTCTCTAGATATGTTTGCATGTTTTTCATGATATGGTGTTATGTCATAGTTCACTAAATTCATGGATTTAAAGTTTTTGGGATTTTAGCAAGCATGCGTAAGATTAAGCTGATGCCTTTAATTTGCTTTTATGATAAATCATAAGGTTTCGAATCACAATATCATGCATGTTTTGGATAAGATCTCGAGAAAAGATGAATTTTGTAGTAAATATGGTAATTCCGCCAAATATTGAAAACAAGAAAAAATTAGTAATTAATTCAAAATAGTTAGGAATACAAGAAAACAACAATTTTAATGTCTGAACAAAACCAACCTAAATATAGAGACACCACCATTACAGAGAATGCAAACTTCATTTTGTCTCTGAATTCCATATACTCTTATCATTTTGTCTAATAAAGATAATCGGGAGTTTGATTTTTTATTTTCTTTTTGTGTAATAACTTCTTGTTGACTAAGAAGATCTGTCTAGCCCAGTCACCTTCACGAGCGGTTGTTTTTGTCAAGCAACCTTATCTCTTATCAATGGTTTTGCTCTAGCAACTGGTCCCATCTTTGCAGTTAAGGAAAAGTTTCATTCTTGTTTTATATGCTATGTGTGTGATCGTATCATATTGTTGTTCTGATTTTTGAGAAAAAAAAACTATGGAGACGACGAAGATTGCTCCTTCATTCGATCGTGCCAGTGAGCTCAAAGCTTTCGATGAGACAAAAACGGGTGTGAAAGGACTAGTCGACTCTGGAATTTCACAGATTCCACGCATCTTCCATCACTCATCTGTCAAATTAGGAAACCCTAAACCACTTTCCTCGGACTTGCTACATCTCAAGACGATCCCAACGATCGATCTTGGAGGATGGGTTTTCGAGGATGCGAGTAAGCGCAAGAACGCGGTTGAAAGGATTAAGGAAGCATCAGAGAAGTGGGGTTTCTTCCAGGTGATTAACCATGGAGTTCCACTTGATCTTCTTGAGAAGATGAAAGATGGAGTTCGTGGGTTTCACGAGCAATCCCCTGAAGTGAGGAAAGATTTCTACAGTCGCGATTTAACTAGAAAGTTTCAGTATTCAAGTAATTTTGATCTCTATAGTTCTCCAGCTGCAAATTGGAGAGACACGGTTGCTTGTACCATGGCTCCAGATCCTCCGAATCCACAAGATATTCCAGAGATTTGTAGGTATGACTCCATTGCTTTAACTTTATTTGGTGTGTAATCTCTATTCATATATGGTGAATTGTTTCAGGGATGTCACGATGGAATATTCAGAGCAAGTGATGAATTTGGGTGAATTTCTCTTTACGCTTTTATCAGAAGCTCTAGGGTTGAACCCTAATCACCTCAATGACATGGATTGCTCTAAGGGTTTGGTCATGCTTTGCCATTACTACCCACCATGTCCAGAGCCTGACCTAACTTTAGGCACAAGTCAGCACGCCGACAATACTTTTCTTACCGTTCTTCTTCCAGATCAGATCGAAGGGCTTCAGGTTCTTCGTGAAGGGTATTGGTTCAATGTTCCTCATGTTCCCGGAGCTCTAATCATCAACATTGGAGATCTTCTCCAGGCAAGTTTGCACAACCAATACATTTTTGCTCTGTTTTGCACAAGTATAAATTTTCCTCTTGGTTCAAAGATTTTTTTATTGGGATTTTGATGCAGCTTATAACAAATGACAAGTTCATCAGTTTGGAGCATAGAGTATTGGCGAACAGAGCAACAAGAGCTCGAGTCTCTGTAGCAGGTTTCTTCACCACCGCCATGAGACCTAATCCTACAGTGTACGGACCGATTAGAGAGCTTGTGTCTGAAGAAAACCCTCCAAAGTACAGAGAGACCACTATTAGAGACTACACTGCTCACTTCAGTGCCAAAGGACTTGACGGAACCTCTGCTTTGCTCCATTTTAAAATATGAAACATGGCCCGCTAGCTACTACTTTATCACACATATATGACATGATATATGTAACATGTTGGAGATGTGTGAACCACATGCATGTGGAATTTATGAATTAAAGATTGTTATTTATGTTTAGTCCAAATAAGGTGTGATTGGATATGGTGGTTAAAAGATATGTTTCTTTGTAGCTATGATTAAACTATTACAGAGTATGTAAAGTTCTACAGATCTAAAGGATTCGATGGTACCTCTTGATTACTCTATCTCAAGATCTGAGAATGCCATATACTGTATCATCTTGTCTAACAAAGATGTGTGAGACTAATTTGATTTTTTCTTTTCTGTAGTAACTTCTTGTTAATTACTTAAGACTTGTCTGGTCCAGTCACTGTCACAAGCGGTTGTTTTTGTCAAGCAACCTTATCTCTTATCAATGGTTTTGCTGTAGCAACTTGTCCCATCTTTGAACTTAATAAAAAAGTTTCGTTCTTCTTTTTTGGGGTTATTATGTTATGTGTGATTATATCATATTGTTTGTTTTGTTTTTTAAGAAACTAAAACTATGGAGACGACGAAGATTTCTCCTTCATTCGATCGTGCCGGTGAGCTTAAAGCTTTCGATGAAACGAAAACGGGTGTGAAAGGACTCGTTGACGCAAGAGTTTCACAGATTCCACGCATCTTTCATCATCCATCTATCAAATTATCAAACCATAAACCACTTTCCTCAGACTTGCTACATCTCAAGACGATCCCAACGATTGATCTCGGAGGACGGATCGTTGAGGACGCGAGCAAGGGCAAGAACGCGATTGAAGGGATTAAAGAAGCAGCAGAGAAGTGGGGTTTCTTCCAGGTGATCAACCATGGAGTTCCACTTGATCTTCTTGAGAAGATGAAAGATGGAGTTCGTGGGTTTCACGAGCAATCCCCTGAAGTGAGGAAAGAATTCTATAGTCGCGATTTCAGCAGAAGGTTTCTGTATTTAAGTAATTTCGATCTATTCAGTTCTCCAGCTGCAAATTGGAGAGACACTTTCTCTTGTTACATGGCTCCAGATCCTCCAAAACTAGAGGATCTACCAGAGATTTGTAGGTATGACTCTATTGCTCTAACTTGATTTCATGTGTAGTAGTCTTTGTTCATATGGTGAATCACTAAATTGTTTCAGGGATGTTATGATGGAATACTCAAAGCAAGTGATGATTTTGGGTAAATTTCTCTTTGAGATTTTATCAGAAGCTCTAGGGTTGGAACCTAATCACCTCAATGACATAGATTGCTCCAAGGGTTTGCTCATGCTCTCCCATTACTACCCACCGTGTCCAGAGCCTGACCTAACTTTAGGCACAAGTCAGCACTCTGACAACTCTTTTCTTACCGTCCTTCTCCCCGATCAGATTGAAGGGCTTCAGGTTCGCCGCGAAGGGTACTGGTTCGATGTTCCTCATGTTCCCGGCGCTCTAATCATCAACATTGGAGATCTTTTACAGGCATGTTTACCAATGCCCTTTTCCTCAGTTTTGCTTTGTTATAACCAGTATTGGTTATAACTAATCTTCCCTACGATTCAAAGTTTTTATTTGGGTTTTCTGGTTTTGATGCAGCTTATAACAAACGACAAATTCATCAGTTTGGAGCATAGAGTATTGGCGAACAGAGCAACAAGAGCTCGAGTGTCTGTCGCATGTTTCTTTACCACCGGAGTAAGACCGAATCCTAGAGTGTACGGACCGATTAGAGAGCTTGTGTCTGAAGAAAACCCTCCGAAGTACAGAGACACCACCATTAGAGAGTACGCTACTTACTTCAATGCCAAAGGACTTGACGGGACCTCTGCTTTGCTCCATTTTAAAATATGAAACATGGTGAGCTACTACTATCTCACACATATACGACATGACTATATGTAATAATGCATTTGCAGACTAATATTACTCCAGAAAAAGATCAAAAGAGTGAATGGTGAAAAGAATTCTCAAGAGGTTCATAAACATCACTGTTGATACTTTATTCTTTAATAGTATCTTTAAAGCTCCTTAAAAAGCCAGAAACAAGAGTATTTCGTTTGTTCATGAGTAATGATAGCCATATGTAAGTAATACTGTTCTGTACGAAAGCCGAGAGGACTTTCAGAAGGAAACTATCGAGTTTGGTTGCACTGAATGCTGCAGCTGCGATATGTCTGTGTCCCCTTCAACCTCCTCCATCATCACTTCAAGTTTCCTGCACCACAAACATTTATTGGGGTTGCTTATGTATTTTTCATCACTTCTCCTTGGGAAATCATTGAGATTTACGGTTCACATACCTTTGAGGGAATAAACTCTGACCACCTTCTTCAGAAAGTGCCTTCTCCAGTCTCACTTCAAACGGTGTTGCATGCCAACTCACTTTCTGATCCTGCATAAGTTATAGTTTCTGAACATTAGAGGAGCTGAACGAGCCTAGAAAGCGGAGATGAAAGGCAGGGAATATTACCTCCTTGTATTTGGTTGTCGAATTTGGGATCCCATTTCCATCCCACAATTTGGGTGAAATCTCAGTTTGCTCATTCTCGATCCACTGAGCAGCAACCAATCCAATGATAGGCCTGTCACCGGGGGTTATGGCAGCTACTCCTGGTGTCCTTTCATTCAAAACTGCAATGTTTTCGTTACTGTCTTCGTTGATCTGGTTTAGCCAAGGAGAAAAACTTGCCTCAAACTTAGACAACTTCTCATCAGAGCTTTCTTCCACCTTTTCACCATAAGTTGCTGAAGAGGGTGTATCACCCTCTATTTGCTCTTCGTAATCTAGGCTCCCATGTGAATCCATGTAGCACTTATATAAGGATGCGTTTTCCATTATATTGGAAACTGAATGCACAAACTGCGACCTGATTCTAGGCCTCCCCCTTCCTGCTGATTCCATGTTTGCAGGATATATGGTTCCAGGAGTTTGCATCTCATCAGATAGCTTCAAGGGGGTTGGATTAGGCGAGCTCACTGTGAAACAAATTTTGCCACCCATCTCGGGTTTTCTTGAACTGCTATTCTCGGAAGAATTAGAAGAGTGTGATTGATCAAGATCACATTCAAACCGAACGGACTTATTCTTTCCAGCTGTGAACGTTGGCCTAGCAGTTCTATCCAACTCACCCTTGATTGCAGTACCAACGCTTTCTACTTCAGTACCATCACTAGAAGCAGAAGAGATCCTTGCACTGTCCCGCACATCGATTACACAACTAATATGAAAAAAAGAAAGAGTGAATTCCAGATCCATGAATCCTTAAACATTAGTAAGATGTGAGAATAATGTTAGCATAGAAACCACACCAGTTCTATCAAGAAACCATGCCAATTCTATCAAGCATAGCAAAAGGAGCAAAATGTCTGTTTTATTCACATAGCGATTTGAACAGATGTTTATTAAACAAAGTAACGTCTCTACCTGCTAGCTGTTTGCTCTGAAGTGAATGATGGTCTTCCCACCTCTTCACAAGCTTTCATGGGGGTTGAGGATTCAGCCAGATGAGACCCAATCGCGGAGCTACTGGAAATCCATGAGTGAAAATGGGAAGATCCAGAATGTTGAGGACTACTTAGTTTTTGGGATGCTTTCCTAATTTCAATAGGTGTCTCCGTTATAGTACCACAAGCTTTAAGAAACCGTGCCTATGATTCCACAAGTAAATGGAAAAAAAAGCGTTAGATTGTCAGCATGAACAATCAGATTCTATTGATATGCAAAGAAAGGATCCTCTGAATTTCAGAACTTCCACAACAAAATTACAGACAGTTTCTGAAAAAGAATCCCAGCATTCTAATTAGGAAGAGGGGGAAAAAGAGGAAGAAAATGAGAAAAGAAAGCTAAAGGCTAGAAAATCTATAGCAACTTGTTATATTAATAAAACTAAAGACCAACTCAGTAACAAAAGACATAGAACCAATCGTAAGACTCGCAAGAACAAACTCAGGGTTTAAAAAATTAGAAGTTGTTTCACTTGCAGCTAAGTTGAGATTTCAAAATCAATCCAAGGGAACAGATCTTGATCATGATAAAAGAACAATACGAATCAGTATGGTAAGAATCACATGATTAGAGGTATGCTTTGTAATCATACCTCATCCCTTAGGCCTTTGTCAATATGAATAGAATCCAAATCAAATCTTTCTTTGTCAAAGCAAGGCGAAGAAGCTGCTTTCTCTAGAAAAATCAAGAACAAATTAAACCCTTATAATATTAACACGACGATACAAAAAACAAGTAATCATCTCGATTCCTGACATAAACACATCAAAAAGAGATTTACCTTCAGAAAGAAACAAAGCTGACAAATCATTCTGCGAGTCCTGAGCTTTCTGAAGATAAATACGAAAAGAAACAGAAAGTTCTGGGTCAGATCGATATGATCTCAATCAAGAAGATCAAAAGAAACGATCAGAAGCCAACAGATTAAATCCATCACACACAAAATCCAGCTCAAGGATCAAACAGGGCATTGCGAATTGCGATCTATTTCTTCTACGACCATTGACACCAAAATTGACAGGATCATGCATGCGGAAAAAGGAAGAGAAGCGAAAGAATTACTCTGGGATTGGCGAGTGAAGAGTGAGAGACGAGATTACTAGTAGAGCGATTGTCTCTGGCGCGGAAGCAGTCGAGAAAACAAGCCATGGCTCTACAAACAGATAAATCGATGAATCTGAGCACGGATCTGCACAAGGGACTTAGGTTTCGATTCATCAACAAGCGTCTCATATCATTTGATTTCTTCAAGAGCGAAACAGTGAGTGACCAAGATAACAATCAGGCGGACGATTTTCCCGAGAAACACGCAGAAAATGAGAGAGAGAGAGAGATTAGAGAGAGAAAATGCCGTTTTTTTGAAATTTGAAACGAAAGGGTGCGAGGGAATGAATCAGGTGTGGTGCAGGTCTTCCTGATCACTGTTTTCTGTTATTTTTTCCTTTTGGCCCAAAAGGCCTAAAAAGCCCAATAAGGAGTTTTTTTTTCTTAAAAATAATTAATAAATTAAATTTATGAAAAAGGAAAATAGGGCCAGGAGGAGGCGGAGAGCAAAACTGGAACACTCATCAACGAGCTTCTCTCTGGAAGCCAACACAGGCCGCCGCATAGTAGTCTCTGCTCACAAGTATCGAGAGATATAGAAACCTTAAAAAGCGATGGCGAAGAAGAAGAAGAATTCGAAGCATGCTAGTATCTGCGAAACCACTGGGGCTTGGGCCACCAAGCTCCTTGAGGATTTTCGCGCCTCCGGGAACGATTGTGAGTTTACCTCTTTGACCGGGAATTAAAAAAGTTTCTTCCTTTGTTCTAAATCAAAGTTTCTTCTGCTAACCCTCAGATGAGCTCCAATACTCTCTACTTGCAATGGGTTTTAAGTTATTGTTAGCTTTGGTGATTTCTATCTGGATGTTGTCTTTTTTTGTTTGGATTGAATGAAAGTGTGTTGGCTTTCTATTTGTGTGTAGCTTACGTCTTTGAGCAGCATCTTACAAATAGCGAACGTGGCATAATTCATCAGATGTGCCGAACTATGGGTATCAGATCAAAAAGTCACGGGTCAGTCACTGCTTAATGCAATTTTGTTTGACGTTTGGGTGATATGCGAGTTTTGGGTATCTATCTACTACTTGAGAGCGCCCTAGTTTCTGATCCTCTTGGATTTTGTGTAGGAGTGGGGAAGAAAGGCGTCTTTCTCTTTTCAAAAGAGATGACATTTCAAAGTCAGACAGCAAGCGTAGGTTTGAAACCAGAAATCAGAAAGGAAGAGAAGGAGATGGCTTGTCAAAGTCATACAGCAAGCATCAGTATGAAACCAGATTTCAGAAAGGAGATGGCTTGTCAAAGTCATACAGCAAGCATCAGTATGAAACCAGATTTCAGAAAGGAGCCGCTATAAGAAAGTCACAGAAGCTTAAATGTGTGTCATTTCCACCAGAGGCAAAAGCTGTCCTGCACGACTTATTTACTCGCTATCCACCTTGTGACGGCGATACTACAGGGACATCATTGGGTATATATACTGGAAACGTCCACAGTAATTGGAAAGATGACTTCTTCAAGAAACCTCAATTGACAAAAAACGATATTCAAAATAAAGTGGCATCTCTGAGTTCTAGACTGGAAAAAGAAAAACGTTTTCGAGAGGTTAGCAGTTATATGTATTTTCAAAAGATTATAATATTCTCTATACAGAATCCAGTTTCAGAAAGTACAAAGCATGCACTGTCGCCTATATAAATATTCTTGTATTTTAATATTGTTACAGATCACTGAAGCACGATCAAAGCTTCCCATCGCATCTTTTCGCGATGCCATTATATCTGCAGTGGAATCCAGTCAGGTTATATGGGTCTTTAGATATATAATTTGTTCCTCTATAGTAGGATTCAGGATGTGAATTTCGTAATTGTGCTTCCAGTGGGGATTTCCACTGATTTTGAAAGAGTCTTTATTCATTCTTATTCAAAATGCAGGTTGTTCTTATTGCTGGTGAAACTGGTTGTGGGAAAACTACCCAGGTGCGTCTTTCCTCTGGTTGTTTGTAGTTCACTATAGTCAAACGCTTCAGTGTTTTTCACTGATGCTCTTTATTCTGTATTGGTTTCTTCTGGTGGAGTCAAGTATAGTTATTCATCACAGGTTATGATTTTCTAGGTTCAGCTTGTCAGTTTTCATGTCCAAAGTATTGTAAAAAATCGAGTTTAAGTGTCGTGGAATAAGGGTTTCTGTTCTTGTACATGGTATTACCATATCCCTTGGTATTTATAAATTGTATTCTGTTTCAAATAGTAGTTTTTTTTTTTTTCTTCATTTGTGAGGTTTCTCAGGTGCCTCAGTTGTTGATATTTTAGGTGCCTCAATATCTTCTAGATCATATGTGGCATAATAAGCAAGAAGTGTGCAAAATCATTTGCACCCAACCACGTCGTATCTCAGCTATTTCAGGTTAGTATCTATCTGATTCAACTCTTGTGAAGTTTTCAGCCTTGTAATTCAAATGCATGCCGTATAAGCAGCTAACTCCTTACTTAATGCCTTTTTTTTTTTCCTAATTTGAAGTTTCTGATCGAATATCTTGGGAAAGAGGTGAAACTATTGGGAGAACTGTCGGCTACAAGGTAAGGGGTCTTTGTTCTTAAACATACTTATCCACATTATAGACACACAAGTTCTCAGGGCTACAGGAAAAATCTTCTCTCAATATATCATTGTCTAGGTTCGGCTGCAAAGTGAAGGTGGAAGAGGGTCATCAGTTGTTTTCTGCACGAATGGCATTCTATTGAGGGTGCTTATAGGCAAAGGCGTTAACAGCTGTGTTCCTGATATAACTCACATTATTGTGGTAACACATTCTTGTTTGATTCATAATATGTTTTTCATGTGTTTATTAAGTATGCTTTTCCATTCACTGCATGTCCTGGTTCCGCGGCAGGATTAGAATTTTAACTGAAAAAAAAAAACATTATATTTTTAACAATCACTTTTATCTGCCATCTGGTTTCTGTTTGTTTATCTTAGGTTTTCTTCTTTGTGCTCTTCTGCTGTAAATTGATTTTGTAGTTGTCTATATTGGTCACTGACCCGTGTGTCACTTTGTAGGACGAAATCCATGAAAGGGACTCCTACTCTGATTTCATGTTAATGATTTTAAGGTACACTCTCTGGCCTTCTTAAACACTAAGGTGCTCAGCTTGTCAAAATGAACCAAAAAAGTCAAATAGATTTGACGGAAAAAAGTTGATCATATGGCTATTGTTTAATTGGTGTCGCACTATAATTTAGATGTTAAATCTGGTATACTTGTACACTTGTATTTTGAATTCTTTATTTGAAGCTAAGTGATGAAAACGATAACTACCAGGATATATACTTTTTTAACCTTTGGGTGAGTGGCAGAATTCAGATCAATTTGTGATGTTTTTTATTTGCAGGGACTTGCTTCCGTCTAATCCTCATCTCCGACTGGTTGGTTATTTTTGCTCTTTTCTTTTTCCATTGCTATGATACATTTACAATATAAGAATAAATATTTTCAATGGTAACAGATTCTAATGAGTGCTACTCTTGATGCTGAGAGGTTTTCTGAGTATTTCGGAGGTTGCCCGGTTGTCCGAGTACCTGGATTCACTTATCCAGTTAATTCCTCTCCCTTTGTGTCTTTCTCTATCTATCTCTTTCTAGAATTTGCTTCTTAGTCTCACTGCATTGGAAAACAATATTCTTGCGTCCGTATCTACAGGTGAGAACCTTTTTTCTGGAAGATGCGCTCTCTGTCCTGAATTCAGACAGGAATAATCATCTACTTTCTGCTGACTCGAACATACCAAGTGACAAGCGTGATTTTAAAGATGAAGATAAAGTTTCTTTAGATGAAGCAATCGACTTGGCATGGACAAATGATGAGTTTGATTGTCTCATAGATCTAGTTTCATCTGAAGGAAGTCATGAGGCTTACAATTACCAGAACTCAACGACAGGCCTAACTCCACTTATGGTCTTTGCTGGAAAGGGCAGGGTTAGCGATGTCTGCAAGCTCCTTTCATTTGGTGCTGACTGTACACTGAAGTCCAAAGAAGGTATAACAGCATTAGAATTAGCTGAAAAGGAGAATCAATTTGAAACTGCTCAAATAATCAGGGAACATGCGGGTAACATCCAGTCCAATTCTCAGCAAGCACAAGACTTACTTGATAAGTATATGGCGGCAATCAAACCAGAAGAAGTAGATGTGGGTCTTATAGTGAAGTTAATGAAGAAAATATGCAGCGATTCAAAAGCTGGTGCTATTCTTGTTTTTCTACCTGGGTGGGAGGAAATAAGGAAAACAAAAGAGAAATTGCTTGATGATCGCTTTTTTGCAGATAGTGCCAAATTCATCATTCTATGTCTTCACTCAAGGGTTCCAGCTGAGGAACAGAAACAAGTTTTTAATCGCCCCCCTCTTGGTTGTCGCAAAATTGTGCTTGCGACAAATATTGCTGAATCAGCAGTTACCATTGATGATGTGGTTTATGTGATAGATAGCGGCCGGATGAAGGAAAAGAGTTATGATCCCTATAATGATGTGTCAACGCTCCAGTCTTCTTGGGTATCAAAAGCAAATGCAAAACAGAGGGCGGGTCGAGCAGGCCGTTGCCAAGCTGGCATTTGTTATCATCTATATTCTAAACTCCGGGCAGCGTCTTTGCCCGAATATAGAGTTCCTGAAGTTATGAGAATGCCAGTGGATGAACTCTGCTTGCAGGTACTGTTCTTTCTAACATAGATTTGTTCTATGATGTTTAATTGTCATTCAGGCATGGTAGCATCCTGTTTGAGACTTCTTGCGTACTTGATTTCTTACTGATGTGCTTCAATAATATGTTCAGGTTAAGATGCTGGATCCGAATTGCAACGTAAATGATTTCCTTCAGAAATTGATGGACCCGCCTGTTGCTCAAAGTATTGCAAATGCCTTAATCATCCTTAAAGATATTGGAGCTTTGACTCCTCAAGAAGAGCTGACAGAACTTGGACAGAAATTTGGTCAGCTTCCAGTTCATCCTCGGATTAGCAAGATGATTTATTTCGCCATATTAGTGAACTGTTTGGATCCAGCACTTATTCTGGCATGTGCAGCCGACGAGAAGGATCCGTTTACCATGCCCTTGTCGCCAGGTGATAGAAAAAAGGCTGCTGCCGCAAAACACGAACTTGCATCGCTTTATGGAGACCACAGTGATCATCTTGCCATTGTTGCAGCTTTTCAGTGCTGGAAAAATGCAAAAGAAAGTGGTCAAGCTAAGGAGTTTTGTTCTAAGTACTTCATATCCCAAATTGTCATGAAGAGGCTGGATGATCTGCGTCGCAAGCTTCAGGGAGAACTTAGTAGACATGGGGTCATCCCTAGCAGCTCAAACTGTAGCCTGAATGCTCATGATCCGGGTATTCTCCGTGCTGTTATAGCAGTAGGATTGTACCCTATGTTGGGAAGGATGTGCCCAGTTTCCAAGAATCAGACAAGGTCTGTAGTAGAGACTATTGCTGGAGCCAAAGTTCGTGTGCCCTCGCTATCAAAAAATGTTGACATGTCCTCTACCAAGTATGACGAAGCTTTAATTGTTTTTGATGAGATCACTCGAGGAGATTGGGGTGTGCAGATAAGAAGCTGCAGTGTTCTTCCCACTATACCTTTGTTACTGTTTTCAAGAGAGATAGCCGTTTCTACTACAGAGAGCTATGATGCTGTTAAGAGTGATGACGAGGAAGACCACGAAGTAGAAAATGTAGGAGACGCGATGGACATAGATAAAGTAGGTGGTAGGCCTGGAGAGAAAATAATGCTTGCGCCGGAAAATTCAGTAAAGGTAGTAGTGGATCGGTGGCTGCCTTTCAAGGTTACAGCTTTTGAAATTGCTCAAATGTATATCTTGAGAGAGAGACTAATGGCGTCCATTTTGTTCAAGGTACATGAGTTATATCACTATGATTTAAGATTTTCATAATTCTATTTTGGCAATGGCATCCTTTTCAACCTTCCATTCGCGTTTGTAGGTAAAACATCCAAAGGAAAATTTGCCGCCTCATCTTGGTGCTTCTATGTATGCAATAGCTTCTATTCTCTCATATGATAGCCTCGCACAATCTTCAGTTCTAACTGTAGCTGTGCAACCTATTGCTTCAGTGGTAGATGCAACGAGTCCCAGAGATGATGATATACCTTCCGCTAACCCCAATGAGCTACAGGAGCATGACCCGAACACTACTCCAATGGGGTCAAAGCTCGAATTAGCCAACAAGTTGGGTTTGGGTAATATGGAAGAGAGCTTGCCTTCAAATTTCGCTGATGGGAATGAGCAACCTGACCCAAACACTTCTCCAGTGGAAGATGTTTCGGCGGCTACAAAACAAAAGAAGATGCAGTCAGAGTCCAAAAGGTGCAAGGCGCTCAACAACATTGATTTGGGAAATATTGAAGAGAACTTTGGGAACATGGAAGAGAATGCGCCTTATGATCTCGCTAATGGGAATGAGCAAACATTGCCGAAGTCAGCTAGCAACTTGGACATGGGGAACATGGAAGAGAACACGCCTTCTGATCTGGCGAATGGGAATGAGAAAACAGAGCCTAACTCAGCCAACAGCATGGATTTGGGGAACATGGAAGAGAACACGCCTTCTGATTTGGCAAATGGGAATAAGCAAAAAGAGCCTAAGTCTGTCAGCAAGTTGGATCTGGGTAGGGAGAAAGAGAGCATTCCTTCTAATCTCGCCAATGGAAATGAGCAACGTGACCCAAACATTGCTCCAGCTGAAGATGCTTCAGCGGCTAAGCAACCAGAAAAGAAGCGATCAAGGTCCAAAAAGTGCAAGTCAGGCAACAACCTGGATTTGGGGAAGATGGAAAAGAGCAAGCCCTCCGATCTGGCAAATGGGAATGAGCAAACAGAGCCCAAGTCAGCCAACAACTTGGATTTAGGGAATATGGAAGAGAACACGCCTTCGGATCTGGCTAATGAGAATGAGCAAACTGAGCTTAAGCTACCTAACAACTCAGATTATGGTAACATGGAAGAGAGCTTGCCTTTCAATCTTGCTAATGGTGATGAACAACCTGACCCAACCACTGCTCCAATGGAAGCTGCTTCAGTGGCTAAGCAACCAAAAAAGAAGCGATCAAGGTCCAAAAAGTGCAAATTAGTCAACAACCTGGATTTGGGGAACATGGAAGAGAACAAGCCTTCTGATATGGCTAATGGGAATGAGCAAAAAGAGGCTAAGTCAGTCAGCAGGTTGGATCCGAGTAAGGAGAAAGAGAGCATCCCTTGGAATCTTGTCAGTGGGAATGAGCAACCTGACTCAAACAACACTGCTCCAGCGGCTAAGAAACCAAAAAGGAAAAAGAGCAAATTAGCTAACAACTTCGATTCGGGTAACAATATTGAAGGGAAAATGCCTTCTACTAATGGGGTTGATCAGCCTGACCTAAACATTGCTCTGACAGAAGCTGCATTAAAGGAGAACAATTAGAAAGCAAAACCAAAAGTCAAGCCAAGATGGTTACTCGTAAGGACAAACAAGAAGAGAAGTATGATGCCCATTTCACTTTGGTGTTTTAATGAGCATTTCGGTGTTTTAATGAGCATTCTCAACTTTCAACAATTTTGTTAGATTATTTGTAGTCACTCTCACTTAGTGCTCCCGTCGTTCTATCGTTATAAATGTTTTAAGATATACACGCATGTAATTGAAAGAAGAAAAAAAACCATTTTTGATCCAGAACTGTAGTGTGAGCAGAAAAATATTTGCTTCTAGACCAAAATACTAAAATAGATGACTTATGAATCTGACGTGGAACAAGAACAAAGCGTATCTGCCACGTGGCACATTGCAACACCTCAACAGCCTTATCTGGACATCAAGAGAGAGATCCTCCAATATCCGAAACCAACCAATCAGCTTCACTCTTGGTTTCACCTCCATACATTAACACACTCCAACAATCCTCAAAAAACACTTTCATAACTTAATCACACACAAAAAGAAGAGAGAAAGAGAGATATACAGAAGAGAGAGAATGGCGTACAGTGCGTGTTTCCTACACCAGAGCGCATTGGCTTCCTCAGCCGCACGATCATCATCTTCCTCCTCATCCCAGCGTCACGTGTCACTCTCCAAACCTGTTCAGATCATGTGTAAAGCTCAACAGTCTCATGAAGACGATAACTCCGCCGTCTCCCGTCGTCTTGCTCTCACTCTCCTCGTCGGCGCCGCTGCTGTTGGTTCCAAAGTATCTCCTGCTGATGCCGCCTATGGTGAAGCTGGTGCGAATTTTTTTAAGAAAGTCGAATAGCCTTGGATCATTTCATTTTCAGACCAAATCTTGAAAACATATTTTGTGGTTGGTTTGTTGCAGCAAATGTGTTTGGGAAGCCAAAGACGAACACAGACTTCTTGCCATACAATGGAGATGGATTCAAAGTGCAGGTGCCAGCAAAATGGAACCCAAGCAAAGAGATTGAGTATCCAGGACAAGTCCTTAGGTACGAGGACAACTTCGATGCTACTAGCAATCTCAATGTCATGGTCACTCCTACCGACAAGAAGTCCATCACTGATTACGGTTCTCCCGAAGAGTTCCTCTCTCAGGTCTTTTACTTTACTCCATCATCTATAAAGATGATGATGTTACAAAATATAATGAAGTGTGAGACTGAGTGGTGGTTTTGGGCTTTATGCAGGTTAATTACCTCCTAGGGAAACAAGCTTACTTCGGTGAGACTGCCTCTGAGGTAAACTTCCCATTGTCATTTGTTTGAGTAACCTGAAGCTGATAGAATAGAATATGGGAATCAAATACCAAAGAGAGAACACATTCTCTCCCTCGTTGTGAACTGATAAAACAAAGCTTGAAACTTTTTTCAACTGATAACCTCCAAAGATTTCTCTAGTTTTGGATGAGTCTTACAAGCAAGATTGTTAGCTTATGTGGAGTTGGGTTGTCAGGTCCTAACTGTGTGTGTGAATTTGATGTTTCTTCCAGGGAGGCTTTGACAACAATGCAGTGGCAACAGCAAACATTCTGGAGTCATCATCTCAGGAAGTTGGTGGGAAACCCTACTACTACTTGTCAGTGTTGACAAGAACGGCTGATGGAGACGAAGGTGGGAAGCATCAGCTGATCACAGCCACTGTGAATGGAGGGAAGCTTTACATCTGCAAAGCACAAGCTGGAGACAAGAGGTGGTTCAAGGGAGCCAGGAAATTTGTCGAGAGTGCAGCCACTTCTTTCAGTGTTGCTTGAGTGAAAGCAACACAACATAACAATGCTCTGCTTGCTATCTTCATTTGTCTCTTGTAAAAAATGGAAAATGAAACTGAGCTTTTGAGAACTATCAAGATGATGTCACCTTTGCGGCTTCACTTGTGTACCTGTGATAACAGACTCGTTTTTTGAATTTCTCAAAAAAAAAAACTATCCAATAGATCTTTTTCTCAAATTAAAGACACTGACCCAGAAAGGAGCTACAGACTAAATGTAAATCCTTGAAAACCTAAAGATAGTGAAGAAAGCCTGCTTGAAGCTGATATGACAAGAGGTAAGAATGAAATGCAGATGAATTTAGACGCCTGACTATAATTAGATCTTTTGAAGCAAGGGCCAAAGGCCCTCTTACTTTTATCAATCATTTGTTTGGTTACTGTAAAGTTCTCGAAGAGGCAAAGAGATTTTATTTGCATAGTATTACAACAGTTTACTATCATCTATGTACTACTTTTAATTCATATTGTAACTTTTAAGCTTTACAAATGCTACAAACAGAGTGTTTAAGAGTTCAGAGATACTCAACAGGGAAACCAATGACGGGTTTTATCTCAGAGGCCAGGGACCGTAGCTCACTCACTTCATTGTCTGTCAGACTCCAACCTATCGCTCCCGCAAACTCTTTGGCTTGTTCTGCGTTCTTGGCTCCTGGGATGGGTATCACGTTCCCTTGTGCCACCAACCAGTTCAACGCTACCTGCACAGCACAACACAACAAGAAAGGCATATGATTTGATGCAACTCGAGGGTGTACACTTGGATAGCTTAACATGGATCACACAATTACTCTTTTGTATTTTTCTTAACGTTTTTGGACTTCAACTTTGGACAGGGAAAAAGAAAAATAGAGTGCAGAAGGAAAAGTGAAAGAACCTGTGTGGGCGTTTTGCTGTAGTTTTCACCAATTGTGATGATTCTATTCAACAGGGGTTGAAGCTGTAACGTCACAAGTCAAAGTTAGTGAAGAAAGAAACCTGGCACTATTATGCTACCTTTTGATAATTTATGTATAGGTACATTGATTGGTGTTGTGTGTTTTGTATAAAAGTGTATACATTGTCTCAAAACATAACTTACTAAGAATTAAAAAAGCAGGACTAGAGGAGAAAATCGGCAGGTTTATAACAGTGAGATACAAGTTATCAAAATCCAAAAATCTGTTTCCTAGAAGACTCAAGGTTATTTAGATGTAACTAAAGTTTTGCAGACATACACGCCTGTGTTAAATAACTTAGATATATGCAGTCAAAGCTATTACCTTTGTTAAAAACTCACGCGTATAAATGCGACCCCGAGGACCTGAGGGTGGGTTCTCTGGGGTGTATTTACCAGTTAGAGCACCTGGAAAAAAAGACAAAAAGAAAATAACGGAAAATGTGTGTGTTCATTGGCCAGGTTGTTTTGCTCTTAATAATACTATAAGAGCGTTATGCAACTTTTCCAGAGAACGATAGACATGACCACAAAGCAAAAGAGATAAAAGGCAAATCACCTTGAGCGATGGGGGAATATGCAATTAACGTAACTCCAAGCTCATCACAAGCAGCCTTTACACCAGTCTGCTCAGGAGCTCTGTATATCAGACTGTAGTTGACTTGATTTGAGGCCAGAGGAATTCCTCTTTTTTTGAGTCTTTCATATGCATCACGTAGCCGCTTCTCTGAAAATTCGCACAACGGTAAGCATAATAAATTTCTTTTCAAGTCTTGATCATCCGTGAGAAAGGAAAAACAGACTGAAATAATACCGCTGTAGTTAGAAACACCAACAGCCTTGACAAGTCCTTGTTCAACAGCATCCCCAAGACCATCAAGATATCCTAAAAACATAATTCACCGTGTCATTGGATTTGATATAACTACCAAAAGTGACAAGACTCTTGTTCAAAAGTAGTAGCTTCAATGCTGCTTTAAGAAAAAACCTTCATTCCCCCATAGTCCCGGCCTGAAATTTAAGACAGCAAATAGTGAGATTGTTCCGATTAGAGTGCTTACTCCAACATGAATAAGGGGTACATACCAATGGAGTTGATAGAGATCTACAGATGAAAGCTCGAGCCGGGAAAGGGAATCTTTAAGGGCAGTGATAACACTTTCACGACCCAATCGCCATGGCAATGCAGCAAACTTGGTTGCAACTGAAATCTCAGCTCCAGGATATCTCTCTTTTCTCTCACGGATGAATCTGTTCAAAATCTCACCAAAGACAGTCAAGAAGAACATGTATGAGGAAATGAGGACCAAAGCGCACTAATATACATGTTTCCAAAATACAGTGAAAATGTACCTTCCTAAAAGAGTTTCAGAGCTTATAGCACCCAGAGAAAACTATAAAAGAAGATAATGTGAGGCTTCCAATTAGTTTCAAAACAAACCACCATACGAAGGAAGAGTAATCAGATTTCTGATTCTTACCTTGGAACCATAAACTTCAGCGGTATCGAAAAAATCAATACCGTTGTCAAGACTGGTATCGAAAGCACCTTTAGCAGCCTTCAATTTCCTGTCTACCATCACAGAAACATAAAATAAAATAAAAAAAGAGAAAAAATTTATTCATTTCAATACTTGTTGCTGCTTCTTGATACATGAAAGAGGAGAAAAATATAAGAAGAATAGAAAAATCAATTCTTTGGTTCACAATATATATATGTATAAAATTGACAATCGAAAATAAGTAAGTGAACTGACCATCCCACTGGAAATCATTCCAGTAGCTGTTATCACCCCAAGACCAGACTCCGATCCCAAGCTTTGTCACTTTCAAATCCGAGCCACCCAATTTCACTTTTGATTCTTCCGACGTGGCCGGAGCCACTGAATCACCGGAGGCTACAGCTCTGACCAGCTTACGGACGAAACTTCCTCTTCCACGAGAGCCTTCGGAAACAACATAGTTGAAAGGGAAGGTGAAGTGCGTAGCCATGGCCATGCTGATTCGTTTTTTCTTTCTTTTTTTTTTGAAATTGAAAAAAGGAGAAGAAGAAGAAGAAGAGGTTTGTGGCACTGCGAGAGGTGAGAGACGGTGGATATGGACACGTATGATGTTGGCGGGCCAAACAAATCAAAAACAATTCTTTAATTAATTCAAAAAACCGAAACTGGTTTTCTCTTGGGCTTGGTTGGGCCTTTGTTTATTTGCTTTTCAATTGGGCCTTTTGGCTTTGTTATGCTTCTTGTTTCTGATTTTTTCAAGAATTAGGGACGACAGAAAAAAAAAGAGAGGTGAAACTGACATTTTTAGCTTACAAAAGATTTGTTAAGAAAATTAAAACATTGTACAATTATCAAACATGAACATAATACTAAAACAAATATTCAATTACCAAGTTATATTATCCTCTCTTGGATAAAATAAATTGTACAAAATATATTGTGAGTTATTCGAATTTTTGAGGTTAAATTATCCAAAAGGTAGAGAGAAATAGAAATAAGAGGGATCGTATAAATAAATAAGAGTTCCTCTCTCCCACTCAGCAAACGGCAAAAATAAACTTAGCCATCAATTATCTCTCTTTCTAGCACAACAAAATTTGTGTGCAAAATCAAATGAAACATAATATCATCATCTTTAATATTTATCACTCTCAAAACCAACCTCATTATCATTTATGGCAATGGTACTATGTAGATTCGTTCTGATAGTTGCATTGGAAAAAAGATAAAAAAGAGTTTCAAGATTCTGGTGCTGGAGCTGCGGCTGGAGGTTTCAGGAGAGGCTGTAGCGCCTTCACAACTATGCTCATATTTGGTCTAAACTCTGCTTCGTATTGCACACACAATGCTGCCACTGCTGCTAGCTGCATTATCGCCCACATAACATTTTCAGTCAATCTCAGAGACATGAATATATCGAAAAGGGAAGTTCAATAGACACGAATATCAAAGTATGGTATACGTATCTCTCGGATACTGAAAATTGTTTCAATCTTTTACATGTTCATGGCAAGGAGAGAGGTACCTTAGCAACTGCTTTTGGAGGGTAATCGGCTTTTAGCTTTGGATCAATGCACTGTTTCACTTTATCTTCACTGAGTCTTGGTGTCGCCTGATCAGAGCCAATAACATTAGATTGTAAACCCAAGGGGGCAAGAAATATGAAAATTTATGGTCCTGAACGTATGTATACTTACCCAGGTTACAAGACTCTGTTGACCTCGAGGCATGGTATGATCCACCGGTTTCCTCCCTGTAAGAAGTTCTAGGAGTACAACCCCAAAGCTGTACACATCACTCTTCTGAGTCAACTGTCCAGTCATTGCATATCTGCATAAGAGGGCGGATTAACATTTTAGCTGTTTATTAGACATTCAAACGCATACAAAACAATAAGGGCTTAAGAAACATTACTCTGGAGCATGATAACCAAAAGTCCCCAAGACTCTTGTCGAGTGAAGACGGGCAGCATTATCCGGTGCTTGATTCGAGAGATTGAAATCAGCAATCTTTGCTTTGTAGTCTTCAAAAAGAAGGACATTGCTAGATCTTATGTCTCTGTGGATTACAGGAGGCTGAGACTTCTCATGAAGGTATTCCAAACCCCTAGCTGCCTCAACCGCTATCTTCACCCTTGTTATCCAGTCAAGTGTTGGACCTGGCTGTGCCCCTTGAACTCCCTTCCTACCTGTAATCGCACAATAAGAAACCAATTACATGGAAAAATTATTGTTTGGCACAAATATGAATACTTTTGGTCAAAACAGGGACTTTATTTCGTTAGAGAATTGAGCAGAGAATCTTAAAGTCCAAAAAGCTTATCTTACCATGCAAGATGTCATGCAACGACCCCATTGTTGCAAACTCATATGCAAGGACGCGTAGGTTTCCATCAACACAAAAACCAAGCAATTGAATGAGATTTTCATGCTTCAGCCTAGAGACCATGGAAACCTAAGGAAGAGCAAACTATTAATATGACAAGTTGAAAGAGGATGTAAACACAAGCTTCCTTGAAAAAATGCATGGATACTGGTACTCATCTCATCTCATTACAAAGCAAGTGGATTAAAAGAGACGGAAAGAAGTTGAAGAAGATTAATAACCTGACTCAAGAATTCGGCATCTGTTTCAGCTTCAGGCGCGACATCAAGTTTCTTCAGAGCAACCGCTACACCATCATTTAGTGTCGCATAATATACTCTCCCGTAAGACCCTTCACCAATCAGTGCCTTTGATCCGAAATTTTCAGTCTTTTCCTTCACCTCATCCAAAGACAAGGGAGGGACCTCGATCGGAAGAGCTTCCTTCTTCATCTCGTGTTTTGCAACAGGTGCTGGTTTTGGATTCTTATGATTTGCTACATACATGAAGATACTCAAGACAGTAAGCATAAACAGAAAATCAATGTCTAAGATACACAACACGAAGTCATTAGATGTTTAAAGTTTAGACGAAATGTCAACTTATTTCCCTCAGTTGGAAGCTATGATAACTGCTATACAAAGGTGGGCATGGAAGCCTCCAGTACGTGACCACTACCGCCAGAACATATCCCTCAAAGATGACCGTAACTAGGTGGCATCTAGATAACATACCATCAGATTGCTGCTGCGAACTTTTCAGTTGTTGCTCTTCATTTGAGTCTTCTATCTGACATGTACAACAGATCCACTTGCGCATCCTTGTTCACTTCTTCAATATAGATCGCCAACAACCTTTGGCTCCTGCAATAGATCAAGTAACTGAATTTAGATGCGAAAGAGATAGGACCAGATGTGTGAGCCAACATCCCCGCAGGTAAAAAGTTGGAGATATTAAGAACCTTGTAACAGATGAATTATAGAAAAAAAAAAAACTCGCATGATAAGTCTTCATAAGAGGGTACAATTCCAAATTTCAGCAAAAACACAAACTGAGATTAAATTTACATCTTGATAACAATTTGATTGAGCAGATTCTCTGAGAAAAAAAAAATGTATCCAAGTTGATAAAAATTAAAATTCTCAAACAAGGAAAAACACATGATCCAAACATCCACTAGATTGAAAACATTTGTTTATGGCCAAACCATGGATCCCTACATGCAAAATCAAAAAGAAAAAAGGAACAAATACCTCCTCTACCACCAAATACAGCCAGAAGAATAATCAAGGATCACAATTTACCATCCAAAAGACTCAACATTTACAAATCAGAAACAAAACCCAGATGAAACGAAATCGAATGGTAAAACTTGAAATCTAAGAAAGCAAAGATGCGTCAAGGATTAGAACGGCCTCAGGAGCCCATTTCTACGAAATCCAAAATCAGATACAAACAATAAAAAAGAATAAAAGAGAAATCTTTACCGGTCTAATCTCCCTGAGACACCGACAAAACTCGCTGTACCTCTCAATCTCTCTAGGATTCGTCGCGTACGATCGTCTCCTCTGCGATGATGATGAGAGAGAGAGAGAGAGGGTTGCTTGATGGAGACGAAGGGAGAAAGAAAGGAACAAGAGAGAAAAGAAAAGAAAAGTTAACAGCTTTGCCGTTTTTTGTAATCTCTAATTTTGCTTTAATTGAACTCTCTCATCTCTCTCTAATCTCACTCTCCTCTCTTTCTGCTTTCTTGTTTCCTAATCTTTTTATTTATTTTTAATCTCTACTTAATTTCCAGATATGAAATACCTTATCACCACCAAATAAAGATATATCGAATTATTATTACCTGACCAACGAGAATAACAACGAATTACGAATTATTTTCTTCTCATTTTCCGGTCAATGGTCATATTGTTTTTTAGTAACAACATTTGACTCAAGTCTTTCTTTACCAAGTTGGGATTTTATACTATGAAACTAATTATAAGGAAAAGTTCAAAAGTAAAACAATATGGGTAAAAGATAAGTATAGCTAAGAGCATCTCCAATGAAAATATCATATAGATTATATTTTTAATTATTTTGTTGATTATCTTCATTAAAGTTTTTTGTATGACATGCTATAAAATAGTCCATATACCATATTTATATGTATAATATTGGTAAATCATAATATTAAATCCAAGCAACTGTAAAGTGTTCCAATGTCAGAAACCAAAGCATAAACATATAATCCAAAAGAAGCCAGACATAAACAGAGGGGAAGATCTCATGATTATTTAATAACAAAAACAAGGGATACATTATTTATTGAGTCCCTTCATGCCTACTATAACTAGTTATTTCGGTTTTCTACTAGCAGCTTTAACTATACATTGATCTTCAGGGGTAAATTTGTAATTTGACGAAGATCTCTGTTAATCTCAAGTAATGCTGTATAGATGTACTTACTAAAGTCCCGTATAATAATGTGATACAAGTACATGAACAAAAGACAAGCACTGGCCTTTAGGCGTATGATGTCTGACAGCTTATTGGGGCTTCATTCATCAGCTAGTGTTGTCAGGCTATGTGTAAGAGCAACCAAACTGTTTCAAGCAAAAAAAAACCAGCTCCTGGTTAGAATCCAGACTAGATTCGCACAAGCTTTTGATGATACCTGGGAAACTATCGTCATGTGTACCCACCTCTATATGGACTCTCTTCTCAGGTAAACAACCAACAAAACGATGAGTGTCCCAATCTACTTACCTTGTGTCTTCGGACAGAACTGGATCCTCAAGCTATATTTATCCAGGTAGTTTGTTAATGTTTTGAGATCTTCTGGCCCCTTTCCTATGTGTCCGTGTTCATCCAAGCTGATTTCGCAGGAACTGAAACATGTTATGGCTGGATTAGCAGATAATACAAGATAATAAATTTCAATTCAAAAGCATGGATTATATACTACTCAACTATGCAAATACCTTCTTTTCAAGATACAACATCCCAAACATCATCAATATGGAAAGGTGCATCAATCAAGAACATTGCATTAATCGATTACAAAACAACTATGAATTCATCTTTCATAGAGATTTTTAGCTGACAATTAACCTAATAAAGAAAAGGCTCTTATAAGAGATTCCTAACAGAAAACACAGCATCTAAAAATGTTTGGACTACAAAAGAGTGGGAAACTGAGTATAATATCACCTCAGAAACAAATACTGTGATCTGAGAGAGAAGCTGGGCTCTGCATATCTGATGCATAAGAGATGATTATGGGAAAACTGGAAGAAAATGTGAAAAGAGAAATGCCTTTAGATATAACACACACAGCATACATAGTTCGATAGAACTCACTCTTACACGTTTTAAACAGTTTACTCATTTATGGGTTCCCTCATATGCTCCAATGTGGAACTTAGGAGACCGCTGCCATTATAATCAGTGAGAACTTTTATCAAGGACTCAAGAGTTAAAACTATTGGCTTGACTAATCATTAAAGCAGGAAATCTATTGGTCTTTTGGTAAAGATCTTACATACTCTACCAAAGTTATGCTTACCTATACAAAGCATTATTGCAAAGGAGGCCATTCAACTCTGTTGAGAGTCTTTAGAAGTATAATTTTACACATCATGTACAAAGCAGAACCTGCATACATAAACATATGCATGTCACAAATTCAGAGGAAAAAGACATGAATCTAAGTAAATTCTGACTATGTGATCTAAAACCAATGAACTTACAAAGTATTTTGGTGAAAAAAAACCAATATGCCTCATGTATTATCCATAGCTTTCAACCTTCGAAATTTTCAGGGTTTGACTAGGATGCTCAACATCAGATGCACCTAGTAGCTGAGAAAATCAGAACTAGACATCAGAAACCAATATGCCTAAGTCCCATCAGATGTTTTCTTTTCTTCTATCCACTGAATTTCCTGCAAAATTGAGACAATTTAGCAATGAAATACCAGAAACAAGTACCAATCTGCATCACAGTTCACAATGATGGAGAGAAATACATAAACAATATAAACTACCACGTGTAAATGCCTTTTTTCCACTAGATAATTAGCTCTAGCCAAATATACATAGATTCAAGTGAACATCGCGAAGAAATAAAGCTTGACAAACATTAACGATTACTACAGTTTTCAAACTCAGAAGAAAGAGTCAAAGAGGACAAACCATATGAGATATGAAATCTAGAAGCAAGAGTGCTTCACTGATCTTGCTGTTTCGGAAAAGTCCCTTGATAAGACTACAAAATGTTTGCATCTCCGGAATGACACCTTTCTTTGTCATTTCTGAGAACAACGGAAAAGCCTTGTCCACTTTATTAGCAAGGCAAAGGCTTTCAATTAATGAATTATATGTGCTACTGTAGTCGACCAACGTGGCTGAAAATGTTGCAACCTCTTCAAGAAGCTTAAGAGCCATTTCCAGCCTTTGAGCTTTAATAAGATTATCAATCAAAAGCCTATATACAGAAAGAAAAGGGGCAGTATCATCCTGGCCTATCTCATCAAGAAGCCCTAGAGACTCTATGAACTCTTTATTGAATCCTTCAATGACTTTTCGATATCCGGCTGCGTGTGTAGGCCAATGTGTCTGTTTCATTTCTTTTAGAAGATTGTGGGCCACATCCAGTGCACCATTTTTGCAACAATGATCTATCAAGACCCTATAAGTAACATAATTTGGAGCAACACCTTTGGAACCCATTCGCTCTAAGAGCTCAAGGCATGTTTCTATTTTACCAATCATTCCAAATCCATCAATCATCGCTGTATATGTCACAACATTGGGCTGACACCCTTTTTCTTCCATCATTTGCATAAGCTTATAAGCTTCATCAGTTTTACCAACCTTGCATAAGCCATCAATCATCTCAGTGTATATAACCACATTGGGCGCACAGGAATTCTCAAGCATCTTAGACAATACTTTTGAGGCTAAATCTTGGCGCTTGACTTTGAAATAACGATCAATTAGAGAACTGTAAGTATATAAGGTTGCGGGGAATCCATGCTCAGACATCTCAGTTTTCACTTCTTGTGCTTCGTCTAGTTTCCCAACCTTACAGAGTCCGTTGATGAGAGCATCATATACAATCTGATTCGGTTCACAACCTTCCATACACATAGCATCCAACAACTTACGAGCTTCTTCAACCCTATGCGACTTGCAGAAACCATCCAGTAAAGCTCCATATGTAACTACATTTGGCCTCTCGCTGTTGTCATCATCATACTGCTTGAAGTACATATCTACATCTGGGACATCTTTGCTGCCGCACATTCTTTCAAAAATCTGGCAAGCTTTCTCCATTTGTCCAGCTTTGCAATGGCCATCAATTAAGGCAGAATATGTAACAATATTAGGGAGACACCCTTCAGACAGCATCATTTCAAACAGCTCATTTGCATAGCTGACCTTCTTAGTCTTAAGATAAGCATGGATAAGAGCGGTATATGTGACGACGTTAGGTGTACAACCAACCTCTATCATTTCATTGAACCACTTACGAGCCTGTTCAATTAGACCAGCTTTACAGAAACTATCTACCATAATAGTATACGTGTAGACATCAGCAACAAGGCCACCCCTTTTCATTTCTTCAAATAACAGAAACGCTAACTCCATTTTCGAAGCATTACATAAATAACCAAGGACTTTGGAATAGGTACTGGTATCTGGTATAAAACCCTGACCAATCATTTCACGGATAACACTAAATGCCTTTTCATATTTCCCAGCACTACAAAGACACCGTGTGAAGCTGCTGACATTAATCTTATTCAGAACAACCCCTGTAGCAACCATTTCACTATAAGCTTTCTCAGCTAATTCCAACAGATCACAACTAAGGGAGTCTTTGTCACCACAAATACTCCCAATCAATATATTGTAGACAACATATCCTGGCGTGTGACCACATTTAACCATTTTCTTTAGCAATTTGTATGCATATGAATGATCTCCTGATGTGCAATAAGCATGTACAAGAGAATTAAAAATCTTAGGACTTGGATAACAACCTTCCATCATCATCATATTAAGCACCCTTTTACACCTACCCAGCTGTTTTTTGTTCAAGCATCCACACAGCAAAGTTGAATATGTTACAACATTTGGAAGGCAGGAAGTAGCTCGCATCCTATTCAGGAAATCCATAGCCTCTTCAAAAAGCGAAGCTTCACACAGACCAGATATCATTTTTGTATAAAACACAGTATCAGGCACAAAATTTTCCGTTTCCATCAATATTAGAGCTTCCCTCCACTTTCCTACTCTACAGAGAGAATAAGCATAACATCTAAGCGTAAATCCATCCATCCTAAGATTTGCAAGGGACATTTCTCGATGGACCAACGAAGCAGAGTCCAAACGATCAGCCTTGAGAAATGCCTGAATCAAACAATTATAAGTAGATCTTGAAGGTCTAAACCTAAAATTCTTGAGCCTCCCTAACTCCTCAAGTGCAATGCTAAATGACCCACTTCTGCAATATTTCCTTACCAACACATTGAGAAATTCCCCAAACACTTCCTTATCATCATCTCTAATCTGCTGCAGGAGTTCTTCGGGAACTTTTTCGTCATCATCACGTACAATAAGGTCTACCAAAGCGTTATACACAGGTGATGTATGCTTATAACCTATCTGCCTACCTGCCCAAACGAAGAAACTGATAACAGCAGACGGTCTTTCTATCAAACGCAACACCTCAATCACTAAACTCTCACTCAATTTCTCTCTAAATTGCCTAAGAAACTTCTGGGATTTGCTCCCAAACACATCTTCGCCACCAGAAACAGCATCTGCAATGGCTCTAGCATCAATAGAGGATTGAGTAATAATGGGCACTACTTGGTGAAGATCAACAATTCCAGAGTCTCCAAGAGAATCGTGCAAAAAGGAGTACTCTTTAGTCAAATCCACAACTTCCCGCGACTCAGTGGGGGAGAAAGGATCGTCGAAACCAAACATTTCATCGGGCGGAGGAGTGGACATAAACCTAGTCGTGAGATAACGGCTACAGGTGAAAACTCTGTGGAGAAGAGATAAATTGGTGGAGAAAGGAAACAAAGGATGGTGTGAACGAGAAAGAAGACATCTTACGACTGTTTTGTTCATAGCTAACCGATAGAGAGAATTTAGGGTTTAGGGTTTATACGAAGAAGAAGAAGATGAACAAGGGGAAGATGATGTTCCCACCAATTCCCTTGTCAGCTTTTTACCAGTTTTGTTTAATTACAATTTTTAACATTTATTAGCAAATTCTAACATTCTAGTCACATGATTAATCTATTTTTGCTTCCTTCCCATACAGATAATTCATGGATCATTTTATTTCCATTTCACAACAGACAAAAGTAAACTTATGTAACAGGCAACATTTGTAAGAAACACTTAAACACAATTAGTTGGTGCACAAAGCTTAGTAATAATTAGACTAACCAATCAAAGTTGCAGTCTAAGAGTATTTCCAAAATTTTGGGGCTCATCCCAGAAATGGTGAAATTGTGAAACAACACAGTAGAAAGAAGAATCTCTCAGTGAAACATGAAAACAAAAGTTTTAGTATCACAGTTGAAATACTTGGAATGAAGCAAAACTCAGGTATTAATTAATCTTGGCTTCTTCTCGTCTTCTTTTTCTGTTTATCTTCCTCACGGTATCTGTCACGTCTCTCCTCTCTCCTCCGTTTCTTATTTATTTCCTCATTCTTAGCTTTCTCTGCTTCATACTCTTTCCTCTTCTTCTGTTCAGTTGCCTTTTTCTTCTTCATCTGCATTTTTATTTCTCCATCAAGTCAGAGACAAGATCAATCAAAGATTATGCTGCATCATATAGCACATGCTATTAGTTTTTAAACATTACCCTGTGATGTTGCAGCAGCTGGAATTGCTGGATTATAGCATGCTCTTTTCTTTCTTTCGGTTCCATTATAACTGCTCTTTTATCATCTAGTGATGGTCTTTTCCGCTTTGGTATATCTTTGGGTTTCGATGTAAACGGTAAATCTTTTTGTAGACTCTTTGGAATCTTTAGTGGATAGAACTTCTTTGGCTTTCTTTCGATTGCCTGCAAAATGTTACACAAACGAGAGAAATTAGTGAGATCAGCGCTCCTTGCTTCCCCACCTACACAATGCTACCGCATTTTATGGGCTTTACCTTGTAGAGTGAATCCTTATTCACTGGAACAGGAATATTCAGCTCTCTACGGAGTTCGCCAAAGGTTTTCATCCCATTCCAGGTCTTATCACGGGGTTGCAAGGCTGTCGTTAGAGGATTGTAAAATTGTGGAACTTCCACTGTAGTCCAAGCCCTTAAGAAGACCATGTCACTCATATGGATTTGATCTTCAAAGGTACACCTCGCAATCCCTTCTTCAGCCTTGTTATCAAGCATGTTTTTTCCAGCCTGACAAAAGGAGCTTGTTAGAAAACCGGAGAGCCAACAAATCTGGAAAAACTAGGAATTACAAGGAGATCAAAAGCATACCTTTTTAACTTGTCCTCTAATGCCACTAACTGTCCGGACAGATGAACCTTCAAATCGAGCTATTTCTAGGTCAGAAGTGAACATGTCTTTGATAAATGCAGTCTTTTTCTTGATCTTGCAGGGAGTCCCAACCATCTTAATTTTCTTTACAATACGGGCCTGGTGATTAAACTCAAGAACAACAGATGTCGCTGTTATCCTAAATCCTGCCTGAAGCACACACCAGGAGAGCTACTCAGCGGGAGAAGAATACAACAGATCTACCCAGAGCAACAACCAATAAATTCTCCTTTCATGATGTGGGCCATTAAGGGTTTCTAACTAAAAGAGATATATATGACCACTAATGGATGAACAGTTGCAAGATATCGCAACACTAAACAATGGAGCAGAATGGACTGATATGTGTACTAAATCCTGCTCCAACAATATGGAAGTATAATTGTCATTTTAGGTTGTGACAACGACTATAGGAGGAAGAAAGCATCTTCTATTTTTTCTCACATGCAAGTTTCAGCATATCAAAACACAAAGTATGCATACGATTATTCACTATTGGTCAGTCATAAACTCACACTTCGCTTTACCAAAGATAGATGCTCTATCACAAAAGTTCAAACACACTCCAAGGTAAAGGTCAGCATAGTGCATTCACATACCTGATTGTTTGACAGGTTCTGGAAAGCGACAAAGCCGGTGTTGGGTGGGACAAGAGGACCCCAGAACGTAGCAAGGCAGTGCATGTGTTCTGGAGTATACTTGAGCATTCGATGCCTGCCATTGCGATCTTCAATGGCATATACAGGCATTGTTTGATAGCGTCTCCATCCGATAGACACAATAATAGGATCTCTTGTCTTTAGTACTTTCTTATGCCACCTATGTCTCTTCAACCGGGCCTGAGTACAAGGATACATATGATACAATAAGCATCTTTCAAATAAAGGATCATGTTTCAACTACCTTTATATAAGAAAAAGATATTTCATCTTTTAAGATGAAATGAGCAGTGTGCCCTATTGGACTTTCTTTTGGGACAGAAGAAAAGAAGACCGTTGTAGCCTTACCTGCATATATCCAACATTGTCCTCACCGAAACCAATACCTCCAACCAGAATTGGATGACAAGGATCAAAGAATTCAACCATCTCATAAGGAACATTGTGAATCTCCAGCCTCAAGTATGTTCCAGTCCGGAATCCCGCTAACTCAATTCGAGTTTCCTCGTCAAGATCATTGTATTCTAACTCATTTCTCTGTTTTATAATTTCAAGCTCTTCCTTCAACTGCAAAGCAAATACAGTGAGTTTTAAAACAGTGGATAGATTAGATACCTTAGCTGCCTGCAGCAAAATCTACATACTTTATCAACGTATCCTGGTTCATTGGCTTGACTACGAGGATTGTTCCCATCACCTTTATCATTGTCATCCTCCTCTAACTCGGATTTATTGCTTGTACAACGAAGTTAAGGTTGAACCAAAAGCAACTTGCCAAAATGCAAATTGACATAGTAGCATAAAACCAAATATGACATATAAGACATGCAGAGGTAGAATATCTAAACAGCAACCATGAACTCACTGACCAGAGCGATATATGAACTTAGAACTTAGTGACCCATTTGATTGACTAAGCTATAATTTTTCACCATATTTTCATGTGAGTTGTTTCAGAGAATAATAAACACAGACAGCAGTAGACAACTTATTTGCCTAACACACAGATGAAACAGCAAATGATATCGTGCCTAGATAAGTTAAATGATGTCATTCGGGTAAAAAGGATATTCTGCATCAAACTTTGCTCGACGAGCCAGCTTTTTTAGCCTACGCTCAACGACTTCTGCATCTTCATCTTCATTTTCATTTGCACCCGATTCCATGTTAACATGGCTTTTATGCTTCTCTCCCGTCTCTAGATCCTCAAAATCACCATAAAGTTCATCATCTTCTCCCTCACCGCCAGTACCTAAATTTTTGTCTCTCAGAGCAGCTTTTGACCAATCACCAGTGGTAAATCGATCACGAATGCTCTCGCAGACTTCTTTCTCTTTCCAATTCTTTAGGTAACCATAATTCACAAATTTAGAACAATCCTCTGAGTTGACATATCCCACATCCCATTCACCACCCAGATTCTGGATTTATATGAAAAAATAACGAATGAGATATTCCTTTCCAAGAGCAAGAAAGGATCACCAAATTTTGTACAGACTTGAGATGACAAACCTTGCTTTGTTCTCCTTTTGGCTTAAAGAAGTCTTCATCATCACTTTCTTCATCATCACTAATGTCATGGTTCTCATTTATCAAGGGAGTAGCTGATGATCCCGATGCTCCATACACAATCTGCATCAAGTTGGGGTTCTTCTTTCTGGCTTTCTCCTTCAAGGGTGCTTTCCATTTTGATATGTTACCAAAGTCCTTATCTGACAGGCCATGTAAGGTAAATGTTTAGGAATGAACAAAATCTCAAAAGGGAAAGGACAATGTACTTTCTCAATAAAATCTAAAACCTTCTCATAGAAGCCCCATAACTCTCAGGACATCATCTATACAAAAATAAATTCAAACATAGAATTAATATACCATCTATCTGATAATCCCCTGCCTCATCATCTGGCGAATCGGAAGCAGAGTCATCTCCACCATCTTCAACTTCATTTTTGTCCGATTCAACATCGTCTGCTTCCTTAAAACCATATATATTTGGGTCATATGAGTCCAATTCAACATCATCTGCTTCCTCAAAATCATCTTCATTTAAGTCCTGCCTGAAGATAGCTTTCCTCCTCAACCTTCCACCATGAATCTCAGTTTCCTGCTTGATTTCACTGTCATTACCTACTACATCCTCCTCATCATCGCCAGATTGAGACTCACTGTCAGAACCTTCCGGTAAGGATTGATACGCATCTTCAGCCTTAAGTTTTGTTTCTGAACTGGCACTAGTCTTTTTGCCAAAAATGTTAATGAATGTCTTATCCAGTTTCTCATCAACAGAATACTTTGTGTTATGCAACGACTTTACCAAATCTTCACCAACATCTCTGCCCTTTCCTGCCAAGAGAAAAAATGTCACAATCAGAGATGCTAGAGCTACAAAAAGTGAGCAAAAACTATTGGTTTTCTATCATGGAGAATGATGTAAACCAAATTCTAAATATGTAGAATTTTTTAAAACATGAAATGAGCAAGACACTCAAAAGAGACTACTGCAGTTACATACAGAACAAGTATATGACAATAAAACTTGGAAAACCCCATAAATAACCTTTATTAGTAGGTTCTCCCTTTCCATCGTCAGTTTTAGAGTACTGAACTTGGTGATCATTTATGTTGATGTAAACAGCATCTTTGTCATATAACAGATCTCCAATCCCGGACATAGGAGCATAGAAAAGCTTATCCCTGTCCCTCAGCCCTTTTCTCTTGCCAGCTGAAGGTAAAGGACAAGGATCAGGTAAAGCAGTCACCCCAGCTACACTGTAGTCGCCAACTCCAGCAATATGAACCTGATAATCATAAGAAATTATATCAGATGCATGTTAAACATGAAAGAGAGGTAAACTGTAACAGCTAAGATACCATTTTGCACACAAAATCGTTCAATTAGATAAAGAAGCAAAGACAAATTCAGGTACAACACAGAAGTCAAAAGGTATACAAATTTATGCTCCTCCTCTTAGAACTTCATTCGATAAGAGAACTAGCTACGGGTTACTTTCGGTTACTATGATGCAATAACTAGTTCTAAAAATATGTGAATCGCTAAGAATCTATGGACGAATACCAGTAAGGAAGACCGTATATATAACATCAAATTGACATCAAATCAGCTCATCTCTAGGCCCAATTTAAAAATTGGTCTTTTACCAAAATATTGAGTACTTATGCGCCACATACTGCTAAGCAAACAAGTGGGTCAAGAATTCAGGCCATAGAAAAAGGCTAAGATGAACCAGTATCTAAGGACAGTGATGACGAAATATTTGATGACATACATACCTTCATCCCTTTTTTGAAGTTACAGCCACGTAGGTAACCATACAAAGTGATATTTCTATCGCATTTCTTATCCATCTGAACTTTCTCCGGAGGGGTAACATCTTCAAGGCGATCAGCCAACACATAAGGATGTGATGTTCGCCATGTCAATTGCTGAGGCTTGATAACGGATACAAAGCGGGCAAGGTTGTGAACTTCACGCGGCGAATACCTAGCAATAAAAGATAAATCAAAGGTGAACGTCAAACGCTCCTTGCACATGTCATCCATGTTGGTGAAGTACCAATTCAGATACTTACTTCCCATGAATAAGACCAGATAAATAGAACAATTTGGCTCCACTATATATTTCGGTCCAAAACCGATGCTTGAGATGTTGTTTAGTTTTCCTCAGCTTCTTTACATTGTTGAACTTATCAAGGTGAGTGAGGACACCCATAACTCTAGGAAATCCATGCACTTGCATAATATTGAGGAATTCAAAGGTTTCCTGAGGGTCAAACAGATTAAAAGACAGTTTACGTATCAAACCTTAGTTGTTTATCACAAAAAAAGGCCCAACAGTGATCTTGTATATATAATAAAGATACGTCACAAAACCAAATAACATGATGGAAAAGAATACGGGATGGCAAAAGGAGAAAGCTGCAGAAAAATGGTATCTCACCATCTCAAAACCATAACTCCCGTCTACAACAAGTACGGCTAGATCAGCAACCTTTGCACAATCCACCATGGCATTGATATCATTCGGGCACTCCACAAATTGAAACCTTGTACGTTTACCTAAAACCATGACCAGCCAAAAATGAGAATAGGAATAAATTCCAACCCTAAAATTCACGATAGATACATACAAGAAAAAAAGAAAAGAAGAAGAAGAAGCAATGAACAATGCAGCACAGAACCTTGTACAATGGTAATAGGTCCTCGAACCTCCGGTACATTTTGTTTTGTAAAATCCTTCACAAGAGACTTAATCACGAGAGACTTTCCAACCTATAGGAACAAAATCACAGTGGAAATAAACAATCAAAACTTGTGAGAAAATAACCAAAACCGAGAGTGAAAACGCAACATCAGTCTAAAACACAGTACTCCTGGGGGGCCTTGAACTACGACGACGAAAGGAGGAGCTTCGCCAAAAGTACGGTCAATTTTCGGAAGATGAAGTCGTTTTTGATCCTTCTCAGCAGCGCGAGATTTTGCTCGCTGCGCCCTGCGAGCCGATTTAACACCAAACGCCTGCAGAACCAAGTAAAATCAACAAAATAACTCTCAAAAGACATTGACATAGAGAGGACAAGTAGTTACTCACCTTAAAGTTTTGCGTCTTGTTAACCTCGATTCCACGCTTCTTCTTATCTTGTTCAGATTTCTTCCTCGCGGTAGGACCTGATTTGGGAGTCCTGTGTGACCTGTGAGACGGCATCAGTTCGTCGGCGGCCATGGCTTGCAGTGAGCTCTAAACGATGAACAACTTGGTGTCCGCCGTCGACAAGTATAATCAGGTAAAGATGAAAAACCCTTTCTTTATAAAACCTCCAATTTTTAATTTTAAGGCGGTTTAAATAACCGGTTCGGTTTAATTTGACATTCTAATTTCACTCCGGTTTAGCTTACCACAGAACAGAAGCCTTCCTTCCTTCTTCCTCAAATGGTGAAGAAGAAAAAGAATCTCATTTCAAGAAGATTGAAGACGAAGAAGAGAGGAGAAGCTGAGAGAGAACGACGACACAAATTCAAAATCAACTCTCTTTCTTCTTCTTTCTTTCTGGGTTTTTCTGAATGTATCATCACGCTTTTTCCCTGAAATTCCACTCCTTCTCTCCTCACTATGCGTTATCCCTCTCCAATTTCTCCACCCAAAGCCCTAATCCTCTCCTCCCTAATTTCCCGCCATTCGCTAGAGTTCCGAATGTGAGCAGCTCCCTATGCCTCCGCTGCCGGAGCAGCGCCGCTGATGTATCCCCGGTTAGATACGCCGATGGCTCCTCCTCAATCGGCTCTCTCGGGGAAACTGGAGGTATCGTGGTGGCTGAGAAACCTATCGATGTCGCAACTTTGGGTAATCTCTGCGTCGACATTGTTCTCAGTGTTCACGAATTGCCTCCTCCTTCTCGTGAAGAACGCAAGGCCCTCATGGACGAACTCTCTCTTTCTCCCCCAGATAAGGTTTGGGTTCTAAATGTTGACATTAGCTGCTTCTTGGTGTTTCAATGGTGATAATCAAGCATTATATGTATTATTTGTTCTGCCTAAGTTCGGGTTGAAGGAAAGAACTTCTTGGGTCGATCTCTTTGATGAGAAAAATGAACCTTTGTTTTCTCGTTTCAGTTGAATTAGGGTTAAAGTAGTGTTGAGTCATTTCTTTTCTTGTTTCTGATCCTGATGTTAATAGTGAAGTTTGTCTTCCCTGTTTTGCTTATAGAAATACTGGGAAGCAGGTGGCAACTGTAACATGGCTATAGCTGCTGCTAGATTGGGGCTTCATTGTATTGCTATTGGTCATGTGGGGGATGAAATCTACGGTGAGTTTCTTCTAGATGTGCTTCATGAGGAAGGAATAGGTACGGTTGCATTGGATGAAGGAACGAATGCCAAAGATACCAGCTCATTCTGTGAAACTCTCATTTGCTGGGTTCTTGTGGATCCTTTGCAGAGGCATGGGTTTTGCAGGTACTGATTTTTACCATGCCAAAACTTGAAATGATCTATGTTAGAGGTGGTTTATGTGGGATTACAATTGCTAATGGTATATAGTGAATGCATCATCTCATTGATGTACAGTGATGGGTTTCTAGAAATAGAAGATTTCTTTTAATAGAGCTTTTTCGGAAATCAAAGTGTAGTCATAGGAGATTTTCCGTCGGAGAGCCATATTTTTCTTGCTCATAGTTTTCTTAATGCTATATGTTTAGAAATATATGGATTTCTTGTTTAAACATCTTGTTTCTCATAGTGAGACAAACGCTAGAGAATGATATATGGCTTTCTTGTTTAAACATCTTGTTTCTCATAGTGAGACAAACGCTAGAGGGTGATATTTTCATACTTGCCTCCAATGCTATTTCCTAGTTCTTTGAATTCTTTGACTCAGGAACGTATGTCCCATTTTATTCCTAATTCTGTTGTCTATTTGTGAAATTCTTATGGGTAATATTGTTGTATTTACTTCCAATCCTGATTATTCGTTTTAAGTTCCTTAAATTGTATTACTATAGGAACTTATTCTCTCTAGTTGTTTCTCTTTTTTAGTCGAGCTGATTTCAAGGAGGAACCTGCTTTCAGTTGGATCACTAACCTATCTGATGAAGTAAAGATGGCAATCAGACAGTCAAAAGTTCTTTTCTGCAATGGTTATGACTTTGACGATTTCAGCCCTAGTTTTATAATGTCAACGATAGATTACGCTTCCAAAGTTGGGACTGCTATCTTCTTCGATCCTGGACCACGGGGAAAGAGTCTTTCCAAGGGAACTCCTGATGAGCGTCGAGCACTTGCTCACTTCTTAAGAATGAGTGATGTTCTTCTTCTAACATCTGAGGAGGTACATTGCACTTCTCTCCATAATGTTGAAAATTTCTCTACTGGGTCAAATTATTGTTGACTTGTTTAATGAATTACTTAGGCGGAGGCTCTAACTGGCATCAGGAACCCTGTAAAAGCAGGACAAGAAATTCTGAGGAATGGAAAGGGAACGAAATGGGTGATTGTAAAGATGGGCGCGAAGGGTTCAATTCTAGTGACGAAATCTAGTGTCTCGGTGGCACCTGCGTTTAAGGTACCTGCTTACAGATCATCTATATCGTTTATTTTGGCATTCACATGAAGGTGCTGAAATTGAATTTTTATGTATGTATCATAGAGTAAGTTTGTGTAGTGATCTAATTTTCTTTCTGAAAACATCATCATCATCAGGTGGAAGTGGTTGACACTGTTGGATGTGGAGACAGTTTTGTGGCTGCAATTGCATTAGGTTATATACGCAACATGCCGCTTGTTAATACGTTAACAATTGCAAATGCGGTTGGAGCAGCAACTGCAATGGGTTGTGGAGCGGGTAGAAATGTTGCAAAAAGGCATCAAGTGGTGGATTTAATGAAGGCCTCGAAACTCAATGATGAAGAGAAGTTTTTCGAACAACTCCTGGCTGAAAATTCAGAATCTCCTAGAATCAATTTACTTTCAAAAGGGATGATAAAGGATGGGAGCAACAAGCAGCAGATAGAAACAATCTCTATGGAAAAAGTGGTTTCTGAATTGCTTGCAGAGCTTGAACTTGGGAGGTGTTGTGTGAAGGCTTCATCTTGATTCATTTGAAACAAAGTAACAAACTCGCCTGACACATAAATTTTCTTTGGTGGCGTGATTTAGAGGTCTTTGATAGCTCTCAAGGATTTGCATAGAGACTTGTAAACCAGAAGATAAACCAGGGTAATGATGGAGATTTTTGTTTCAGCAGACTCTTATTAGTGGATGAAGAAATATCAGGTAAATGATTGGTTGGCAATATTTTTTTCTTTGGGAGATATGAAAGAGAAGGTGATTTTACAACATTAGTGATAATAGTTCACATAAAAGAGAAGTTTGGTACTAGTATTTTCTGTTTGTCTTCTTGTTGTTTAAAGTCGTTAAAATGCGAATTTTTGGTCGGGATTTTGTGGAAGTTATGTTCAACCTTTAGTTTATTGCCCTCAAAAATTAACTAAAGTGTGGAAGCGCATAGTGATTGTAGTCAAATGTCTCTGTGACGGTGCGTGTTGAAATCTTAACTCGTCACACGTAAAAGGGTGTTTATAAGCATTAGGAAGAGAAAGAACCAAACTTGAGATTTTTAATTCAATCCGAGGAGTTTGTGTTAATTTCGCCAATCGCCATTAATAATGTCAAAATCTACAGAAAATTTAGGTCATTGTAGACGCGTTGAAGTCATTAACACAAACAAGAATATCTTTGACTAATCAATCAGTAACTAATTAGTAAATTAGGGGTTGGGCCAATGTGACCTCGAATAAAGTAAATAAATCTTAGGCGATTATACCAATGAGATGCTATTTCCAACTTAGGCGACGGATCTGAAATGACTAAAATACCCTTAAACCACAGAGTTACCTTTTTAACCTGATGGTATCAACCTCGTCGCCTCTTCTTCTTCTCCTTTGTCCAGAATAATTTTTTGTTTCCCCTTGAAACAGTTAAACCCTACACTCTATTTCTTACCCGCCAAATTCCTTCTCTTTCAATGCTTCTACTCGTTTCTTCAATTGAGTTTCCATGGATTTAGATTCTACTCAAAATCTTCGATTGTAAGTTTCAAAATCCTCCCTTTCTTTTTTGGTTGTTTGCTTCCCTGCAGTTTGATTCTGTTCTCTGTTTCTTATATTCGAAAGCATTGGATTTTGGGCTTGTTTATATTCTAAAGTATGTGCTTGCATGATCAAGTTTGTGAATTTTCGAATTGGGTTTGTTTTGGCTAATCCTTATAGGTTTAATCACTTTGATGATGTTTGGTCTCCTCCATTCATGCATTGTCTTTTACATTGACAGGTAATTAAGTGAGTGTCAGGATCTTCTGTGAACATCAGATTAGATTCTGCATTGTTTTGTTTTTGTTGTTGGAATGGCAAACGACGAGCTGGTGAAGTCTGAGAACCGTGATACCTCTTTTAGGCAGGATCATTTTACGGGTATTCGACACAACTATGAACTCTTCTTTGGTCATGACTACAATTCCGCCTTCGAACAGCTACTCGATATCAACCTCCAGATTGGTCCCTCCTATGAGGGAAATGAGGTCTGGAACCACCTCCAGGAACACAATGTGAACGATGAAAAGAAAGAAGAGGCATGTTTAGATGTTAACCAAAACGATGGCTATCTCTCTTTTCCTGATAATGATGACTCTGGAACTTCTGAGATTGATAAATCAATTGTAGCTGGAGCCACGGGCGCTATCCAAAAGCAAGAGTCTCAAGATATCGATGATAACTTAGAGTTGGAGATGAGTCAAAGCATCGAGTTTTCTCAGAAACCTGTCATGGCTTCTCCTAGCCCTCAATGCTGGTCTACTGACCATGAAATGGTCGTTGGTATGGAATTTTCTGATGCCAATGCTTGTAGGAAAGCAATTAAAAATGCAGCAATTTCTCTACGTTTTGAGATGCGGACGATTAAATCTGACAAGACTCGCTTCACCGCAAAGTGCAACAGCAAGGGTTGCCCATGGAGGATTCACTGCGCCAAAGTTTCTAATGCGCCAACTTTTACAATAAGGACTATTCACGGGAGTCATACTTGTGGTGGGATTTCACATCTTGGTCATCAGCAAGCTTCAGTCCAGTGGGTTGCTGATGTTGTGGCAGAAAAGCTTAAAGAAAATCCGCATTTCAAACCTAAGGAGATACTAGAGGAAATTTATCGAATTCATGGAATTTCACTTTCTTACAAGCAGGCCTGGAGGGGGAAAGAGCGTATTATGGCTACTCTTCGTGGGTCATTCGAAGAAGAATATCGCCTTCTTCCCCAATACTGTGATGAAATCAGAAGGTCTAATCCCGGGAGCGTCGCTGTGGTTCATGTGAATCCGATTGATGGGTGCTTTGAACACTTGTTTATTTCTTTCCAAGCATCAATCTCTGGTTTCTTGAATGCTTGCCGGCCTGTTATTGCACTGGACAGTACTCTTTTAAAGAGCAAATATCCAGGGACGTTGCTACTTGCCACTGGATTTGATGGAGATGGAGCTGTATTTCCTTTCGCATTCGCTATTGTTAATGAAGAGAACGATAGCAACTGGCATCGGTTTCTCTCCGAGCTTCGTAATATTCTAGATGTTAACTCTGAGAATATGCCAAAGCTTACCATATTGTCCAGCGGAGAGAGACCCGTTGCTGATGGGGTAGAGGCTAATTTCCCAACAGCATTTCATGGCTTTTGTGTCCATTATCTCACAGAACGGTTGCAAAGGGAATTTCAAAGCTCTGTTCTGGTGGACCTTTTTGGGAGGCTGCACATTGTCTCACTGTTCTCGAGTTCAAAACAAAAATCAACAAGATCGAGCAGATATCCCCGGAAGCTTCCTTATGGATCCAAAACATCTCTCCTGCTCGATGGGCATCTTCATACTCCGAAGGAACAAGGTTTGGACGTTTAACTGCAAATGTTATTACCGAGTCACTCAGCAATTGGATTGAAGATACCACAGGTCTTCCTATAATCCAAATGATGGAGTGTATCCACCGCCATTTGATAAATGTGTTGAAAGAACGCCGTGAGACGAGCTCACATTGGTCTGATGTGCTTGTTCCTTCTGCCGAGAGACAAATGCTTGCTGCTATAGAACAATCTGGTGTTCACCGAGTTTACAGAGCAAACGAAACAGAATTTGAAGTCATGACTCATGAAGGAAATGTCGTTGTAAATCTGGAAAACCGTTCGTGTTTATGCGGCCGGTGGCAGGTTTATGGTTTGCCGTGTAGCCATGCCGTTGGAGCTATCTTGTCTTGCAAAGAGGATGTTTATTTTTACACAAAGAGTTGTTTCACTGTGGAGAATTACAGAAGAGCTTATGCAGAAACTGTAGAGCCGATATCAGACAAAGGTCAGTGGAAAGGAAATGATTCAGAGAGAGATAGCGAAGATGTAATAAAAACACCAAAGGCTATGAGAGTTGCTCCTAGGAAGAGGAGAATTAGGGCAGAGGATCGTGACCGTGTGAGGCGTGTGGTTCATTGTGGTCGGTGTAATCAGACCGGCCATTTCAGAACAACTTGCACTGCTCCTATGTAATGTAACAGTAGTAGTATTTGTGGGGGTTTTTAGGTTTTAGGAGATTTTTTGGTAGAGGATTTGCTCTCAGTAGAAAGAAATTATAATTTACTATGGTTTTAGACTTTTAGGTACTTCCTTTTTCGACATGAACTTGATCAACTTTTAATTTGAGCAATTTCTCAATGAACTATGAAAAAAATTATTGGGTCGAATCTGATAATCTTTTACTATCCTTACCTGAGATACCGGACACCTAAAGTTTGGTACTTGATTTTGCATACACCTATAATTAGAGTTTCCCAAGACCAATTTTTATCTCCTCAGGTATTTTTAGTACCGTAGGACTGAATTGGATGGTGGTAACGAAGTCAGATTCCTTAATCTTCGCCGCAGATTACGGAAAACAAAAACACAATGAAGACTCAAGAAACAACAACAACAATGGTGACGACGAACAATCTGAGTTTCATCAAAACACACTCCAATTGATCCTTACGAATCCCACTAATCAATCCATCGTCATGCAGAGAGGTGAAGTTTTTGATAAAAAAAATATTCTTAATTACTCCTGATCTTGTGAAACTGAATGTGTTGTTGTTTTGACAGAATATTCCGGCAACAGAACTTCGACTTACTCGCAGATATTGGTGGTGTCATCGATAGGTTTGATGATAGCAGCCGCAGTGCATTACCGCCTGCGGAGGATACGTGACTCCAAAATCATCCCTCGTCTCAGATTATCTCACAAACACAAAGGCCATGAGAAACTCGAGAGATTCTCTCATTACGTCGGTAAATACATTTATACACATTGATGAGCAAGCAATGCCTTGTATCATAAGTTAATGCTTTTTCTTTTTTTCCAATTTACGTGGAAGCGTAGCAAGGCAAATGGGATTCAAGGATAGAAGAGAGTGTCCAAATCTCTGCAAGTTAGCAGCAGAATACATAAGCAAATCTGAATGTTGTGAAGAAGATATCTACAGCTTTTTCTCTGAAGAGCCTGATGCTGACACCCTCTTCATTAAGCTTGTTGAGGAGTTTGAAAGATGCATTCTCAGCTACTTTGCGTTTCACTGGAGCCACGCCGATCTCATGATTAGTCAGGTTTGTGTGAAAAGAAATAACCATTCTCCTGTTATAACATATTTTAGACCGAAACATTCAGTGTCATAATATATGAATCTCAGATACTGAGCGCGGATGCTGAGCCAAAGAGGAAGCTGAAGCAAATTGTGATGGCAGCGACAAGGTAAGGAACAAAAGCAGGATTTTTGTATTCGAAAGCCGTGTGTTCTGTTTTAGTGATTTTTGAATAATTGATTTTGTGTGTATATGTATCTAGGGAGCAGAGGATTAAGAGGGTGACTAAGAACTTAAAAGTGGCAAGAGTGTTCAACACTTTGGTAGAGGAAATGAAAGCAATGGGGCTCGCGTCTGCTGATGACTCGCAGTGTACAGAAGTTATGGCACCAGTGGCTCACAAAGACCGAAGTCCGGTTCTGCTCCTCATGGGTGGTGGGATGGGTGCAGGAAAAAGCACTGTTCTTAAGGACATACTCAAAGAGTAAATAAATATCTCTTCCTTTTTTTTTGATAAAACATCATCACTTACTAATACACACATAGAAAGAGACATATATATAGATGTCTAGCTGAAGCTAACCAAATGGTTTTCATTATGGATTCAGAGCATTCTGGGCAGGAGCAGACTCTGTGGTGATTGAAGCTGATGCTTTCAAGGAATCTGATGTCATTTACAGAGCCTTAAGCTCTCGTGGCCATGTCGATATGATCCAGACAGCTGAATTGGTAAGACATCTTCAAGAACCTGTCAAGTCATCAAAATGTTGATTCTGAGGTTTGAAATTTTTTGTGAAAATATATAGGTTCACCAGTCATCAACAGATGCAGCTTCATCACTGCTAGTGACGGCTCTGAATGAAGGGAGGGATGTGATAATGGATGGGACACTCTCTTGGGTACCTTTTGTGGTACAGACAATAACAATGGCGAGGAACGTGCACCGACACCATTACAGAATGGGAGCTGGATACAAGGTTGGTGATGATGGAGTTATCACAGAGAACTATTGGGAACGGATTGGTGAAAGGCAACAGCTTCAAGAGGATGGTCGTAGGAGAAAACCGTATAGAATAGAACTAGTTGGAGTTGTATGCGATGCGTATTTAGCAGTTATAAGAGGCATTAGGTGAGTACAAGCACCATCTTCTCTATCTATCGTATCAATCTATCTTTCAAGTTTGTATCTTTAACTTGAAGAGTGTTTTTGGCTGAGATTATAGGAGAGCCATCATGTGCAGAAGAGCAGTTAGGGTGAGATCACAGCTGAGATCTCACAAACGGTTTGCGGATGCATTTCCTACATATTGCAGCCTTGTCGACAATGCTAGGCTCTACTGCACCAACGCACTGGAAGGCTCTCCAAAGGTTAGTGTTGAGATTGGAACCTATAAAACTCGTACTTTTATTCAATGTACCAAAAACTTAACCAATTGAACAAGACAAGTCTCTTAACTCTCGACCAAGATCCTAGACCAATTGAACTCATTCACATAGGTCTCCAATAACCTGCACCACCCCTAGGCTAGATGAGAAAATACTAATAGGTGAAGTGTGATTGTGACACAGCTGATAGGTTGGAAAGAAAAGGAAAAGACGTTGCTAGTGGATACAGAAGAGATAGACTGTTTGAAACGAGTAGGAGGGTTAAACGAGAACGCAGACTCCATTTACGAGCTTTATAGACAACCCAATCCTGCTTGTGAAACTGGATCAATCTGGAAAGACATTGTTCTTTCACCTTCAAGGTTTAACATTCAACAAGAACTCAAATACTCCATTCAGAAAGTTGAAAGATCTAAACAACATCTCAACAACACCAAAATCTGAAAAGAAAACAAGAGCAGAGTCGACAAAGAACAGTGAAACTTGTTGATTGTATAACTTCAATGTTGTTGTTGCATACAGTACTAGGAGTAAAAGTTTGTTGATTGTATAATAACTTCCATGTTTACTTAGTATAACTCAACAAGAACAGCAGTAACCTGACACAAATTAGCTGCAAATAAACTCGATTTTGCTTCATTGATGAAATCTATATATGATTTTAAGGGATAGAGACCAAAGGAACTGTGAATTACAAGAACACTGAAAAGAAGAAAAGCAAACAAGTCACTTAAAAGGATCATTGAATTATACAAGACTAACCAACTATCGTTAACCCTTCTTCTACCTACAAACCCTAATTTTACTTCTTCACCCTAGAAGAAGCCCTCTTTGCTGGCGACTTAACCGTCTTTGGCTTCACAACCTTCTTCACCGGAGTCTTCTTCTTCGTGGCCACCGTAGCAACTTTCTTCTTCGCAGCAACAACTTTCTTCGCCGGAGAATGTTACCTTGGCCGTTTTGGCTGCCTTGGCTGGTCTACCCTTAGCCTTGGCTTCGCGTCAACAGCTTTCCTCTTAGGTGCAGCAGCAGTGGCACGAGGAACAACCTTAGCCTTAGCCTTGGTAGTCACTTTCTTAGCAGCAGCTGTCTTAGGTTTAATGGCTGCTGATTTCTTCGCTTTGGAAGCCGCTGCGACCTTTCCCTTCGGCTTAGTAACCGCCATAGCCGCCGGTTTCTTCTTCGCAGGAGCAGATGTCGTCGCAGCCGCCGTCTTAGGGGATGATGCTTTAGCCGACGCCGATGGGAGTTTAAACGAGGCTTTGACCTTGACAAGCTTCCCAGAAGCAACAAGTCTCTTCAGATTGAGAAGCAAGAGCTTTCTGAAAGTTGGAGGAAGCTCCTTACGCTTCTCCTCGATGAACTTCTGAATCGCGTATTGGCTAGATCCAGTTCTCTCCTTCAACGTAACAATCGCGTCCTTAATCATCTGAAATCACAACAACAACAAAAAAAAACGCAAAATCAATCTCTAATTCTGAAAATCTGAATCCGGCAAAAGAAACGCGAGTAAACGAAATCTGAATTTACCTCTTCGTAAGTAGGATGAGAAGAAACAGTTCTCTTCTTCGGAGCGGCAGCAACAGTCTTCTTCTCCTTCACTTCCTTAACTTTCTTCGTCTTTCGTCCCTTCGCTGCAGGCTTCTTCTTCTCGACTGCCGCCTCCGTCACCGTCGCATCCTCAGCGGCGGTTCCGTCGATCGTAGCAGCGTTCTCTAACTCCACCTCTGACATCGTCTTTGGAACTTAAGATCGGAAAATTTGATTGCTAGAAAACGTAAATGTAATTTCGAAAGTGATTATGAGGATTGTGAAGAGTTCATCGGAAACGTCCGATTTATATAGTTAGATGTGTATTAGACGGCAATTCATATCTCGCTTCTGATTGGCTGAAATAATGTTACGCGGATCGCTATTGTTTTCCCAGGTTTGAATATTAATCGTTGGATCAAACTTTATCAACGGCTTAGAAAGAAGGAGTGTGGATGGTGGGATGAGTGAGTTAGTGGATGTGGATTAGATGCTTTGGGCATATTTGTTGTGCTTTTAGACTCGATTCATTTTATCATAACTCGTGATATACTTGATGAAATTCGTTTTTGTTTTTTGCATTATGTAGAAAATTCTGTGAGGTTTCTTTTGATTATCTAACCGTGAAAAATGGATTATTATGCAATGAGATATTTGGTTATTAAGCAAGATATGTCAAAACTTTTGTTTTTCTTGCTAGTATTACAGTAAATTTGGTATTTCGAATAATGCAAAAGAGAAGTTCGATGAAAATTATGTTGATATAAAACTTAACTAATCAAGGAGTGGACCGAACCATTAAACGTGGAATTTCAATTACTTTTTGACACAAAATCATTTGATTGAATACTACCTAAGATGACCATCTTCTAGAATATGTTGCACACTACTTGTTCATGTGTGATGTGTCTATGTTAAAAAGAATCCGGATTAAAGATAGATTCAAATATTGGGATTTACTAGTTCAAGTATTTGATCAACTATTTTAAATTAATAGTGGAATGTGTGTATAACTTTACTTTTGTTATGATGCATAGAGTTACATTTCTTATGAGCAACACATGTACATGGGCATCTAGTCTAGGTTATATACATAGACTAATTCACTCATCATTGATTTTTCTCTTCTTTTGAATATCATATGTAAGAAATGAATTAAAAGAATGTATTAAAATCCACACTTGTAACATTTTTGAACATCATAACAATTTGTGATATGAATATGTTTACTCATACATGTTTGGAATAAAGCACGATGGTTGTCACCACATAATGGTTCTCACGATAACACAAAATGGTGATAATGAATTTCATTTGTCTTTGTCAGATGAGTATTATGTTGTTAATTTGGTAGAGTTTTCTACCTCCATATAGGTCATTAAAGTTCTACATTCGTCATCCATTGTCAACACTTGAACAGTAATTCTTGGAAACTATAGTTTCCAAAAAAATGATGTTGTACCCATATAAATGCATAGACATCAATCTAAAACATCTAAAACTACAACACTTGATTAGAAAGTGATAACAACATTACATGCAAGTCCAGAGAGGGCACATAGTAGAGACTAGAGAAGAAGAAGAAGAAGAAGAAACAACAGAAAAAGAAAAAAACAAATTTTGTATTTCCTTGAACAGAAAAGCCTCTCATGAGTGTATATTTCGTTTATATAAAAACAATTACTACTAATTTCACAAGACATTCGACCGCTCCTGCAGTTGTAGTAATGTTCCCTCTTGAGAGATTCCATAAAGAGAAAAATAGATTACCCTGTCTCCACAGAATCTTCTTCTGCAACAACAAGAGTCTTTAAAGTCCTTTACTTGTTGCACTCTCTGGTAGCTTCCGAGCATAGTCAAGCACCATCATAAACTCCTTTGCAGAGGAACCTATAGATGCAGCAAACCGTTGGTGCTTTGAACTTTTCTGCAGCCATAGATCCACTACTTTGTGAAGCGTCAGCGTCGGGATCACTGCTTCTCCCATACACCTTACCTCTATCTGAACACAAACCATAAATTATGTCAATTTATGATCAACCAAACATCTAAGACCATACTTCCTGTTAGCTTTAAAGAACTGACAAGACCCATAAGCCAGCTTCCATTACATTCAAACTCAATCCTCTATCGGGTCATAGTGCATATAAAGACCCTTACCTCAGTTTCATTCTCGAGATCTAGCTTCCTCATGAGGTACTTTTGGATGAAAGAAACTGGAATATTTCCATCCCTGTCATGGAATGAGACACTGGATTATCTTCCCCAACAAAAGAATTCCTCATAATAGAAAAATGAGGGACTACGAAATTCAGAGTTACGATGTAAGATGCAGCAACAACACAGGATATATAAAACAAAGAATATCTAAACTGGTATGAAACCTACCTTATTCTCAAAAAATTTGCTGGAATTTGAGGTAAAGAAGTTCCTCCTTCCCTGGAACCAGTAAGCCCTTGTCAATATACCAAGAGAATAGAAACAAAATGAAGAAGAGAAGAAGTATCATGAAAAGAAATAGTTTGAGATATGAGAGCAAAAAAATCTCACTGATCACTGGACGCCACAAGTGAGAACCAAACGGGACCATTTCTCCTCTCCTGTTTTGCACTTGACTCATCTGGTTGTGGCAAATTTCTTGAATCGCCTAAAGTGGTGGCAGACCTTTTGCGTTGAGCTGTACGCATTCTTTTCGGAGTAGCAGTTTCTGATGTTGTAGGATCACCATTACTCTTTTCATCCTCACGTTTACATTTTATTTTTTTATCCTTAGTTTTGGTTTTACTCCCTTGAAATTGATTGTGAGATGCATTCACGTGCTCAGATTTTGAGCCTGACCCTTGAGAAGCAGAAGACTTCAAGGGCTTAGTCCTATTTGCCACTTCAACAAGAAAATTTAAAGGTTTCCAATCCAATTTGGAATCCCAGGGTTCATCACCATCCTTGTTTTCTTTATTGGAGAAGGACTCTTTACATGACTGCAAAAAAACATGAAAAAACTTAAATGAATGGAAGACCAATAACACTATCCAAAGTTTACTGACTATTACTTTCATGCTAGAATATAAAAAAATATGTAACCACCAGAGCTTGTCAGATATGAAATGAAGTCATTACGAGAAAGTAGAGTATTTCAGTGATCCACCTTCTTTAAGTGCCTTTTATTCTGAGTGAATTTGTTAAGAGTGTCGGGTGAGCTTGTGCTCTCTAGAAGCTCATCCCCAGAAGATTCTTCTTCTTCACACGTCTCTCAGCCAAAGAGCCATTACGTAACTCTTTTCTTGTTGCCGCTTTAGTTCTTTTTCCCGTTGTTCCAGCTTGTGATGACAACCTAGGTGTGGTCACAACCAAAGACGATATAGATCTCTCCTTCCTCTTTGCCGGTAAGGACACAATTCCAGGAGCTTTCACTTTTCTTCGTTTTAGAGGAAAGATGTTGGCCCTCAAGTCTTGCAAATTGTGGTCAGGCCTAAAACCATGCATAAAAATGGCTCCTTAATTACATTTAAATCAACTACAAATCTCCCATCAGTTCAATAAAGAGTAAGAAAAAGGAAAGTACAAAAGAGATTCCATAATTAAATTCTATATAGATTCTCCTACAACATCCTATAAATCGTTTGTCTCATGGAAAGCATTGTCCTCAAAAGATACCATTTACACGAGGAAAAAAAATCGAAAAAGGCACAGTTTCACATAAATTGAATTAGGAGCAAATCAATTTATGAATGCTTAACCAAGCTAAACCAAAGTTTGATGAGAAAAGGTGGAGCTGAAATACAGGACAAGCTAAGCTTACCTCAGCTTCTCCAATGGGGTGCCACCGAGGTCGATATTGCACACGGGACAAGTCTCTATCTCATCCTCTGTGATCTTTTCATAGATGCATTTCCTACAAACTGCGTAGGAAAGTAATCTCAGAAGTTATTTACATTCCAGTAGATAGCAACTAAACAAGATGATGATTTGTATTAAATGTGACCAAATTTCATAATTGGCATAACAAACTCAAACTGAATTGCATACTAGTAAGAAGCAGAAACCCACAAGGAAACTCTAGATGAAATGCTGATTTCAACTAACACTATACAGACGAAGAAGGAGAAATTGAAGCAGTCAAAATTGCATATTTTTTGGTCAACAAAAACTATTCATTGACCCGCTTTCAATTGTAATAATAGGACGAGACGAAGAAATTTGAATCCTAGGCTATAATCATCCAAATTGAGAAGAAATTAAAGCCAATGTCAGTGAAATTCGAAACATTAGGTGGGTTAGAAGAGGAACTGACATGTGTGAAGGCACTCGGAGATAGTGGTGGCGTCACGGAGGATATTGTCGCAGAGAGAGCAGCTAAAGCATGCCCTCATCGTCTCCTTCTTCACCTTAATCATCATCATCTTTCTCTCTATCTGTTGGGCTCACACGTGCTTATCCCCAAAACTGCATGAGCACGAAAACGGCAAAGATGTGTCGTCTCTTTCGCTCGGTCGCTGGTGATCTGAGGAATAGATGTTATGGTGGAAGAATTGACGTACGATTCGGACAAGAAGAGGCCGTCGTCGTCTATTATAATTTTAAGAGACGCGATGTGTCACTTCTTTATTTTATTGGAACAAGGGTTTTTTGTGTTCTGTCTAAAGAGCTTCTCGTCGACAAGAAAACGAGCGCTTAAAGGCGTTTTTTTCTTTCTTTTCTTTGTGTTATTTATGGGAAAACTAGGTCAAATATTTTATTTTTTTTGGTTAATCTAATTAGGAAAAAAGAGTTTTGTAACAAAAAATTGAATGACATAGATTTCCTTTTGACTTTTTGGGTGAGAAATTGTTATTTACTATCCTCAAGTTTTGAAAAACAAACGGTGGTGAACTCATCATCTTAGAATCAGATGGCGGTAAAAATGATTTGTACAGCAATAATACAAAATGGATTGGCTTACTTAATTGATGAATACAGAATATGCAACATGCGGATCCGATCAACAGCCAGAGGTAAGATTCTTGTATTGGGGTACGAGCACCTCTAGATAACATCGGATTAGAGGTTTTTTTTTTCCAAAGGGCCCGTAGCAGGCTTATTAAAGCATGAAAGTAAGGTTTCATTCAATATATATATATATTTTTTAACAGAGGTTTCATTCAATATTGACACCTTGATTTCAATTGTTTGTTCTATCATTGCGTATATTCATTTACTTTTTAGTGCTTTTGACCGACTTCAAAAGTTAAATTTTTCGCCAACAATTTGATAATATAATGAAAAATACATCAACTAGCGTTTTTGATAATTCAAGCATTATATTGCTCGTATTACGTATCTGTATATGATACTGTCATGATTTATTAAACCAAGTGTGATGTACTCATCTACACCTTACTCTACCTCCACCATTTTACACAAATGATACAATACAAACCCCATCCCCCAAATTTAATCTGACTTAGCCAAAAAAATATCTATAGTCAATGTTTTTTTTCTTCAATAACTCAAGATAAATTCTAAATCTACGAACGGATTTAGACTAATTTTTGGGAGAGGTGCAACCCCACATATAAATTCTCTTTATTTAGATATTCAAATAGACCGTAAACATGGATTTATATCCGTGTGGATGTAAAAAAAAATGTATTGGAATTTCTCATAGCAGATGGATCGAATTTGAAGCATATTGGCACTCCAAACCTATTTCTTTACCACTCGACCACAATCTCTAAATCCATAATCAATGTTAACTCCCGTTTGACCTAGTTAAACATTTATAGGACAAACTTTTTAATAGAAACCTTAACCAATTACAGCCAACATTTTGTTGAAAAATAACGAATAGAATCGGCAAAAGTCATTTTTCGTTATAATTATTTATTTTCACATAATTAAAAAACAACTATTTATGCCATAATTTGTTTTGGCCGACATGCTGGATATATTTTTTCATAACAGGCTAATTTTCCATTGATGTGAGACTGAAGTTCCTTTCTTGTCTTCTAGGAGGAGGAGAAAAAACTCCATCCACGTGGCTTTTTATGACTGGTGATTAATAAAAGTTTCCAAAGAAGACTGATCATCCCTATTAAATAACTTACAGCTTCATCGACGGCATAATCACATGTCTTCACATGTACACCTGCCCGCACCTGATCCATGCGTCCTTCACACACCCTAATAACATTTGACATGTCAACACGAACACCCAAAAACCTATATAAACAAAGTAATTTCGATTCGACCTATATTAATTAAATTTGATAGACCTAACACAAATTAAACAATGATTATTTCTGTTAATTAAAAAATATATAAGTGAGCACAATCCCCCGATGATGCATGAAGAAGCTCTGAATCTAAAACTCCTCTCTTCCGACCCCAAACCCAGAAATTGAAGCGAAGAATAGAATCTCCCACTAGAGGAAAGCAATCCCAGAAACCCTAAGTTCTTCATCGTTTCGTTCTTTTGCTTGTTGATCAAGCAGGAAATCTCCGAGATTTGTGAGTCTCTTTCTGGACGTTGCTACTTCTTCCTGGAGAACGATTCAGGGTTTGATGAGATAGGAATAGTTCTCGAGGAAGATAGATTCGGTAGAGAATTTTTGATTGTATATTCATGAAACAAATTCGTCGATGGCAGAGGATTTTGATCCTCTCTCTGCTATCGATATCTGTCTTCGCTCCGCTTATTTTCGTCTCGAATCGGCTTAAGAGCATCACTCCCGTTGGTCAGCTTCGTCTCCTCTCCTCCTTATTTTCATTTCATTGTACTGGACGATCGTGTGGAAATGGCTTTGATTTTTGATTGATTCTGATGAAAGTGGCTTGCTTTTGTTAGATGTTGTCTTAGTCTTGGGATTTTTTGATCTGAGATTTGTTTTCATTTTCCATTGCGGATTGTTTTTCTGGCAGGTCGTAGAGAATTCATTGAAGAGTTATCCAAAAGTGTAAGTGTGGTTTCAATCTCTATATTCCTCTGTCATGATAAAGATAGTAAAATCCAGATATTTGGATAGAAATTCCTTAATCCGATTAGATAATCTTCAGCATGCTGTTGATTTGTGCCAAGTTTTCAGATCTTAGTCTTGTTGTATCATCGTCTTTTATGCTTTATATTTCTCGAGCAGTTCACTGTAGCTGACGTGCTACCATTATTCTGCAGAGATTCAGGACAAATGACCTTAGACTTAGCGCTATTGAACATGTAAGTTGGAAGTTACCGGTTCCTCTAAGTCATCTCCTTAAAACCTTTTGACCATTCATTTAGTTGAAGTTGTTTTCCTCTGTGAATTTAGGAGGATGGAGAAGGCTTGAAGGGGCCAAGGCTCATGCTCTTCAAGGATGGGGACTTTAATTCTCTAGTACGGGATAATTCGTCTGATCAAAGTGATGGTGGTGGGATCATGTTTTCAATCATGCATTGTATGCTATTAACTCCTCAGATTTCTTATCTGTACTAATCATTGGTTGCAGGTAATAATCACAAAAACAAGGAAGAACAAGTGATAGTTTCACAGAAGATGACAGTTAGCTCTGATGAAAAGGTGTGTATATATAAATCCAACAATTTGAAGATAACATGAACTTGATTAGTCCAGCTGATATAAAGTAACATGAACTTGATGATTGCTCAGGGTATGAAATAACTCCGATATTGAATCCTAGAATCAGATTACAAGACATTGTGGTCCATGTTGATTAGTTGATCTAAGGAATAGAAAAGCCAAGTTTCACTTTCCATCAAATTATTAAGATCAGATGTTTCAAGATTACAATTTTTTTTTTTTTTTTGTGTGTGTCAGGGTCAAATTTTACCAACAGTCAACCAACTTACTAATAAAACGGATTTCAAGCCCCCTTTATCTAAGGGTGAAAAGAACACAAGGGTTCAGCCCAATAGAGCAACAGATGTGAAAATAAAGGAGATCAGAGACAAAATTATTCAAGCTAAAGCCTACCTGAATTTCGCTCCACCTGGAAGTAACTCTCAAATTGTGAGGGAGTTGAGAGGTCGGACGAAAGAGCTGGAACGGTCTGTTGGGGATGCAACAAAGGATAAGGACTTATCAAAGGGGTGAGCACAACTGCTTGATTTAAAAGGAGAGGATACCATAATTGCATTCAGAAACTTGCTGTTACAACTACAACCTTTTAGTGCCAAAAATCGCGCTGTTTAAGAATATTCTTTAAGTAACCTCTGGCATGATTGTTTCTTTCAGCGCTCTTCGCAGGGTGAAGCCCATGGAAAATTTGTTATACAAGGCTAGTCGTGTCTTTAACAATTGCCCTGCCATTGCTACCAAACTCCGTGCCATGAATTATAACACAGAAGAACAAGTTCAGGCGCAGAAAAATCAAGCAGCATATCTAATGCAGCTTGCAGCAAGGACCACCCCAAAAGGGCTTCACTGTCTCTCAATGCGGCTGACATCAGAATACTTTTCACTGGATCCTGAAAAAAGGCAGATGCCTAACCAGCAAAATTATTATGACCCTAATTTCAACCATTATGTTGTCTTCTCTGACAATGTTTTGGCTTCTTCAGTCGTTGTTAACTCTACGATATCTTCTTCAAAGGTATCATGCATTTCTTTTTACAAATTTCTACTTGGTTATCATTTTATATTACGTTTCAAGTGTCTTACACTATACCGTCTCATTTACTTCAGCCACTTTTTTAATCTGGCTTCTGATTGCTGCTTGCAGGAGCCGGAAAGAATAGTCTTCCATGTCGTGACTGATTCACTTAATTACCCAGCAATCTCAATGTGGTTTCTGCTAAATATTCAAAGTAGGGCTACCATCCAAATCCTCAACATTGATGATATGGATGTCCTACCTCCAGATTATGATCAATTGCTGATGAAGCAAAACTCTAATGACCCAAGATTCATTTCTCCCCTCAATCACGCACGCTTCTATCTGCCGGATATATTCCCGGGTTTGAAGAAGATCGTACTCTTTGACCATGATGTAGTAGTTCAAAGAGATTTAAGTAGACTGTGGAGTATTGATATGAAAGGAAAGGTGGTTGGAGCTGTAGAGACTTGTCTTGAAGGTGAATCTTCATTTCGATCAATGAGCACATTTATTAATTTCTCAGACACATGGGTCGCTGGGAAATTTAGTCCTAGAGCTTGCACATGGGCGTTCGGGATGAATCTAATTGATCTCGAAGAATGGAGAATACGGAAGTTGACTTCTACATACATAAAATACTTCAACCTGGTACGCTATACACACTCACACTCTACTGCACTTGCTCTCCCTATAGAACTAACACTGTAGCCATATCAAAGTTTTCAAATGGGTTCTTAGATTTGTTTATTCGCCATTATATATGAAAAATGTTGTAATAACTATTGGGTTTTAGGTTGGCTGTCTCGGGGATGAAAGGTTTTGAATTTAGAACTCAAATAACATTGCTATAACTAGCAAACGAACATAAGCAAGCTAGTAATAAGATCATCTCCTAGAAGAAGAGTGGTTACAAGCAACAACATATCTTTTCTATGTATATACACATTGTCATTTGTGTGTAATGGACGTTAACCTAACAAGAGTTTTTGGATTTATTTTTTTGGCAGGGAACAAAGAGACCATTGTGGAAAGCTGGGAGCTTACCAATAGGTTGGTTGACTTTCTATAGGCAAACATTAGCATTGGACAAGAGATGGCATGTGATGGGGTTAGGTCGCGAATCAGGAGTCAAAGCGGTTGATATCGAACAAGCGGCGGTTATACACTACGATGGAGTTATGAAGCCGTGGTTGGACATTGGAAAAGAGAATTACAAACGTTACTGGAACACACACGTCCCTTACCATCACACCTACTTGCAACAGTGCAATCTTCAAGCTTGATACGAAAAAAGCAAATTCAGACAGCTTAGGTTCAGTTTAGATTATTTTTGTTAAACAAGCTACTCAAGCATGGTATCAGTGTTAATTAGCTTCATTCTTTAACCCACCCTCAGTGTAAATCTTGGTTCTTCCTTTTTCATACTTTTCATGAGAGCTTAATACATATTACTTGGACTTCAGTTACAGCATCAGATTGTTTTCTTACTTCGGAGAAAATTACGTTATTTCCCAATTTCCATTTTTTGGCCACCGGAATGAGTGAAAAGAGTGCGGTTTTCGGTTCGGTTCGGTTCGGTTCGGTTCGGTTCGGTTTATAACCATAACGATTTTTCAATTCTGACATTAATAACTAAACCCTAAAATCATTCTTCTTCTTCTTCTTCCGCATCTTCCTCACTCGATTCTTGGCTCTCTCTGCTTCCAATCTATTCTCACTTTTCCGTCTAATCGTTGTCTTCATCACCATCTCTCGGAGTTCCCTCGAGCTGATCTTGTCTTCAGTGGTTAGGTGTTGCTCGATTTTAGAATTTTTTTCTTCTCCTATAGCTATGATAATGGCAGATTTGTGTACGCTCTCTGCATATGCTTAATCTTGAGGATTGGACTTTTATTACGTACTAGGATTTAATGAATTTTTAGATTTGAATTTTGGAACTTTTGTTGATACGCACCCAGAATGCTCCGAATTTTCTGTTCGTTTTTCGAATTCTACTTGTTTGATTGTTTTGTTTCTATGCATCTGCTTGTGAATTTTAAAATTTTGAACAAATTTCCAGAAAATGTTTTATCTTAGCGAGCTTGAACACTCGCTAAGAGTGCCTCCGCATCTACTTAACCTCCCTCTCGAAGATGCGATTAAGTCAGTGCTTCAAAATGTGTTCTTGGACAAGGTTTGCTTATTGCCCTTTTCTTTTACTTTTATTTTATCCATTGTCTGCTTGTTTATATACACACCTGGCTAATTTTATCAATGTGGATTTTTGATATGAAAGGTTTTAGCTGATTTGGGGCTTTGCGTATCTGTTTACGACATTAAATCAATAGAAGGAGGGTTTGTCTTACCCGGTGATGGTGCTGCGACATATAAGGTATATCCGAACTACTCATCTGTCTTCTTTTTATCAGTTGAACATGGTTTTTATCAAGTTTATGTCCTCCCTATGTCACTGTTAGTGGCATCATTGTTGACCTATCACCGTGTATTGCAATTTTTGCACTGTATTAAGTTGGCTCATCATCATCTTACTAGAGTTTCAAATGTTCCCCTAAGAATTTAGTTCTGTGGACTCAGTTATCTGCAGTCTAACTTTCACTGCATGATTCTTCATCACAAACTTTCACTCTATGGTTTTTGTAACGATATTTATTTTCAGAAGTTTTTATCATACCTTGATTCAATATCTCATGTTGTGTTGTTAATACTTGTAGGTAGGTTTTAGAATTGTTGTGTTCCGTCCATTTGTTGGTGAGGTCATAGCTGCAAAGTTCAAAGAATCTGACGCCAATGGCTTGCGCTGTGAGTACTTTATTCTACTATTCCCTGAAGAATTCCAATGTTATGCACTGTCTACATCCTGTTATTCTAGTACATTGTTAGCATATTAGCGACTTATGAATTAGCTTCATACTTTGAAATCATGGATATTGTTATTCATTTACATGATTACGATATCTCTATACTTGGCAGTAACACTTGGATTTTTTGACGATATTTATGTGCCTGCTCCACTTATGCCGAAACCCAACCGCTGTGAGCCTGACCCTTATAATAGGTAAGGAAATTGTGTCCTGCAGTTTATGAAATAATACCAGCTCTCCAACTATGAGTAGGAGATTGTACCAACATCTGTATGTATCATTTGATCACAAAGTTTTTTTTTTTTTGGTCAACAGGAAGCAAATGATATGGGTGTGGGAATATGGAAAACCGTTAGAAGACTACATAATCGACGATTCCTGTCAGGTTAACTTTTGGTTCCTCAATGTCTCTTTAACCATTATTTTCTGAATGTGGTCTGTTTTATAACGAGGCATTGTAATTGGCAGATCAAGTTTCGAGTAGAGAGCATCAGCTATCCATCAGTTCCAACTGAGCGAGCAGAGGACGCAAAGCCTTTTGCTCCAATGGTGGTCACTGTAAGTTAATTCATCGAACTCATTCTCTAAAAAAATTCCACTTGTGTATGCATAATAAATAAGGCTAGTTAGGTTAGATAAGCCTTCTGATTCCCTCCTCTCTTCTAGATACTAAACTTTTCTTTTGAGACACCATAATTTTTTGTTTTGGTTTTCCATTTCGGTCCAGTGATCAATCAACTTTGGTGAAATGTGCAGGGGAATATGGATGAGGATGGTTTGGGTCCTGTTTCTTGGTGGGATTCTTATGAACGGATTGATCAAGAAGAGTGAGAGACTGAGACTTAGTCTACCCATACTCGGATAGAATCATAACCGATGATGATCAAGCCAGTTTTGATGAAAACCAAAAATCTCTTTCAAACTACTTTTTTTTTTTAACCTAATATAGGAATGTAGGAACACATATTTTTGTTTCTATGTAATGTAAAAAAGCAATGACACAAATTAGGAAGATAAAAAAAAAGAAAAAAGAAGAAGAAATCGATTAAAATTACAAGAGTTGTGATGGATGGTGGAGTTGGGTGAGAAGTTGATGTATGTCAGGAGCATGATGATCATCTGCACGGATGCGATCTGGTTGAATCCAACGGCCGTCAGTGTTCCTGACCATCCCTTTGTTTGCGTCTTGGCGCCAATAGGGAGGGACCATGAAATGGTCTTTCAAAAAATCAGATGCTTTGTTCACTAACGCTGGATCTCTCCCACTTGATAACACAAATCTCTTCCCTTTCCCATGATATCTGTATTTTTAAATCAATAATACACTCTCATCAAATTGATTTTCTCCATATATAAAGACCAAACAAAGTTCATGAATAATGTCAGCTAGTAGTTATATCGTTTTCCAGATTCATCACTTCATATTAATATTTTTATGCTTTTAACGACAAAAATGATCTAGAAATACTGAAATAGCAACCAAAGTTGACACGGAAGATAATTAATTCTCTCCAACTACAAAAAGATGTTTACCGAATTTTAAAAATCGTATTAATAAAGAATGATGTTGGAAAATGTGACACTGAGATCTGTCTCCCTCAAGCCTTTAGACGTGTCCAAAGATTAGCTGGAAACTTTGTGTTCATACTAGTCATATTTTCTTCACATAGACTTTTTAAGTAAAAAAGGATCTTAAAAAATGACTGACCCGTCAAGGAGATGGAGGAGAGCTTCCAAGTTATGAGCAGTTGAAAGATCAACGGTGGGCTTAAGGAACGGCGACTTCTGATGATCCAACGGCAGTATTTCCCCCACGTGGCTGTAGCACCACGGCAATCCTCCCGCCAATTTCATTAGCGCCTGTGGCGCACGCTCGTTCAGAAACAGTCCCGGCGACTTAGCCACCACGTCATGCTCATTCACCACCCTCAACACCTTCACTCCCAATTCCTCAATTCTCTCCTTGAATCGTATGTTCCCAACGCGCGGTCCTCCGTACGTGAACGCCGTTACCGGGATCACTTTTCCTTTCCTAGTTCTGTTCAGACCCATCTCCGCCACGTCGTACGCGCTAAGTACCGCCAACGCACCGCCGAGACTGTGCCCCGTCACGGTGATGCTCAGTTCTTCTTCTTCCTCGTCGCCGTACCTTTCTACCAGCCGCTTCACTTCCGTCAGAACTTGCTCACGCGCCGAGAATTTTGAGAAATTGCAGGACGTGTCTTTGTCCGTGTAGAGATCCAGAAACCCGGATTCGGCTTTAACGGCCGCGTCGGGGCACCGGAATCCGTTTCCGGATACCGGTTTTAGGAAATCCTTGAGATCCGCTATCCACTCGAGCCGCGTGACGGTCCCTCTCCATGCGATCGCGATGTCTCGGCGTCCTAAACGGCAGCGCGTGGCTTCGTCGTCGTCGGAAACCGCCACGTAACCCATCCAATTGGCGTTCTTGCTCCACACCTTGGACCATCTCGATTTCGAGAAGAAGTTAGGGAGGTTGATGTTCGACGTCGCGTAGAGATAACGCGCCACCTCGTAGCCGGAATCGAGTATCCCGAGCGAATCGAACAGGTGACGGCGCGTGAATCTGCAGCTCCCACAGTACTTTGAGAATGGATCGAAATCGAAGGCGTCGTAACAGGCCTGGGCCATTTCACCGTACCGGATCAGTTCGGATCTCAGAACCGGGTCCATAGGATCCATTAACCCGGCCCAATCATCTTCCCCTTGGATCTTCCGCCACGTGTCACTCAACCTCTTGGATTCTTTAGCTTCTCTATCCCGTCGGCGAATGTCCTCCGCCGTCGTCAGCCCATAGTTTTCTGGCTCGAGCCTTGTAGATATTGAAGCCTCCTCGTCCGTTGTGGACATAGCCCTCGCCGCCGATGCTCTCGTCGAAAAAGTGATAAGAGAAGAGTGTGAAAAGTGTGGTTTGAGGGAAAGAGAGTACTGAGTCCTCTGGTTGATCATATGAGGAAGACGAAGGTGAAAGTTGTGGGAGGGAATGGTCGCCATTGTTGATAGCTTGATGAGTTTCAAAGTCGTAACGAAATTTATTGCACTCTTGTATATAATAAAATAATGCTCATGCTGCATGCGTATATATCATTTTCAAATGTATGTGAAAATAAGATGTTGAACTTAACATACAATAATTCAAGTGCTGTCAAAAAAAAAAAAAAAAAATTTGCTGGTTCACAATCACAATCACATCACATATTATTATTAAACCAAGAAAACATAATAATAAAAGAAGAAAGTGACCTTATACGTGGAACAGAATGAGAATGAGATTGATAGAATCATAGAAGATACTTGCAAGTACTCCATTTTTTAGGAAATGGATTGTTTAAGTTAATCCATTACCGTATTTTGGTACAATTTCTAACCGCCAAAAAAATCATGAAATGGTGGCTACCAATCTGACCCGATTATACAAACATCTTTAGCATATGGATCACTCTTTTGCCTCCTCAACTAACTCACCTTTAGACTTTAGCACAATGATCACTCATTTGCCTCCAACTAATTTCAATTGCATCAGCTTTTGTGGTCTCTGAATAATTCTAGAAGTGAGCACGTTCTCAGTTGAGAATATTTGGCAATCTCATTACGTATTAATTACTAGGCCGAGTAGTTGAATCGAGTCAATTGACTGTATAGCTTGGCCCACCAAAACTATGGGTCTATTATTCAACAGTATAACAAATCAAATGGTCCAAAAGCATGTCTATGTGCAACTCTTCTTGGTCCTTAGCCCCAAAAAAGGATAAAAAGATCAAGAAAAGGTTGGTCTCATTTTATCATTTTGTTCATAGTAGAGCTGTTATTATAGACTTGGGAACATTTCCATTGACTTGTGATCTCTCTCTCTTCCAGTCTAGCTTTTTAAGGACAACTATCATCACTAGAGTTATGCGAGTGTCCTTAGCCAACCAAGTAAACCAAGAAGGCCAACATCAAGTACCCGTGATTTCTTCTCAAGCCCTAATAATCAAAACACGAAAGTGATTGTTTTTTATGCTCATAGTAATCAACCATTCTATGTATTTAACATATTGCAGAAATATGGCTTTTTCTCACCAATATCAGCAGCTACCCGATGAGCACACATCACTCCTGAGAAAGCCACAGCTATAACTCCCTGACCAGGAAAGCAACTATCCCCCACGCAGTATAGACCATCTATAGCCTATTATTAGTCAAACCATTCTTTCATTACCAAAACCATTCACCAGTAAAACTAACCAAACCTGATGTTATCTATCTATCTCTTTCTTTAGCTTACCGTTGTATTGAACGGCATGCCTAATAAACCTTTTGGGGTTCCTCTAGGCATTGGCCCATAAGTTCCCTTATCCCTCGCAAGAAATCGTCTGTGTGTTCTTGGTGTTCCCACCTGCCTCAAAAAACTTTTAGATATACAGGCTAAATGCCAAAATAAGGCATAGGCTTGTCTGGGCTTCAGATACAGATTTCTCATATCATGCAGACCTACTATCATAGTGTGCATGGAAAATTGTAGGGGAATAAAGAACAAGCCTAACCTCCTTGAACGTAATAGATGAACTGAGCCCTGGAAACAGTTTTTTCTCTAGTCTCTGGATTATTCTAGCTGCCACATCTTCCTTTTTCGCCTCATACTCTTTTGGAGGGAGTCCCTAGTACCAAAATATAGACGAATTGATAAACAAAAATGAGCAAATCAATAATAACACAAGACAAGAGGATAATTCTACAGCTAAGGAAAATAGCAATAAAATTAGTAGCCTTACCTCCCAATCCTCGATGGACGAAGTTGTAAATATGTGAAGTATATGTCGACCATTTGGAGCCAAAGATGGATCAAGAATGGTTGGAATGCTGAGGAATATACTGCCATAAGGCTCCTCCAGATTCTTCCAATCGTCCTACAGGTGCAGCAAAAGGAAAGTCACTATTCAATAACTGTACACCTGGCAAGGAAATAGATCTTAGTAGTAGACTAACAAACCTCGAGTACAAAATGATGACAATCTGTATCTGGAGGGAGAACCTCTGCTTTAACACCCATGTGAATTGAAAGAAATGATGGAGCCTTGATGTAAACTTTCTGGAAATTTTCTTCTTCTTTAGGAAGCTTTTCTCCTTTTAACAGCTTCCCTACAGAATGACAATACAATTTTAAGCATACGAAGACACCTATTCGACAGATACATAAGTCATTGTTTTCTCTTACCAAATGTATCCCATCTTGTAGCATTTGAAATTATCGTTTTAGCAAAAAATTCTCTTCCATCTGCTAGCCTTACACCAACCTGAAATTTCAGGTCCAGAAAATAAAACGATTTTCATAACCAAAAAGGAATTTCAAAGGGTTAATGAAAAAAATCAAACTTCAACTAGACTCATACAGAAACTTACTGCCTTTCCATCATCAAGTATTATACTTTTTACATTAGCCTTGTATTGTATTTCACTGCCTTGATCAACAAGCCCTTCTGCCAAAGACTTGGCAATCCCACCAACTCCACCAACCGGGTAATTTATTCCTCCATAGTGCCTGTCACATAAAACCTGTCCTTGAACATATAAGAAAAAGAATAACAGAAAGGGAAACACGAGTAGACACCAAATGCAAAAACAAGAATCCTACCATACTTGCATTGATCATTGGCGTCTGCAAAGCATTGACTGTGCTCACGATGAAACACTGCAGGAAAATATGAAGGGTGATAACCATGCTACATTCTGGCTATAAAATTGCACAAGTGTAGAAGAAAATGTATTTTCTCACCTCTGCATCAATGAAAGACAATAATTGAGGATCCTTTATGTACTTGCGAGCTATAGCCCCAGCATTTTGAGGCAAGTAATAAGCTAGACAGCACAGAGAATAACATAACAAGATTCATGTCAGTAGAGTTTTTTATGTGTATCTATGCAGGACGAATATACACTCAATATCTACACACACATCAAACATGGTTTAGGAGTCCAAATTCTATTCAGAAGATTAAATGAATACCGAGTGTCAAGCATTCAAGCGGCTTCTGAAAGAACTGTCCAAAAAGGTAGATAGGCTCTTCTAGAGACTTTAGTTCTAGAGAGTTCAATGAGTTGAAGATCTGTTCCAACCAAAGCAAGAAGTTGTAACATATAAATACATATCACTGATACTCGTAAAAAGTTGAAAATAAAACACATCAGACCTTCCAGCAGACACCATAGAATGCGAGGATCCCTTCCTTTTCGTGAGGAAACTTGCTCGTAAGCTCAGCAATGAAATCATCGTATTCTCTATGAATCCGAACAGAAAGATTATTGGGGAGATGGAAATGGACAGTGGTAGGATCAGGTATAACCTCCATCTTACGACCAACTGCCTTCAATGCCTGAGTTATCAAGTTTAGGTTCCCCTGTTCCCTTCAAATTAAGCCATTATTACTTTAGCTAAGGACCAAACAAGTGCTAAATTTTTGAATAAGATGATGAAGAAGAGATTGGTAAAAGAAACAAACAAACCTTATCACTGAAACCAAACATGACAGAAGAGCCAACATCAAAAGTATAACCATCTCTTTCGTAATAACCAGAGCTCCCACCAGGAATCAAATACTTCTCAAGAACCAAAACCCTAGCTTCTTTAACAGCTAGCTGTGTCGCAGCAACCAATCCACCAATCCCAGAACCGATAACAATGGCGTCGTACACACTTGATTCATTTCTCTTGGTCCCTTCTACGGTACCAAGCACACTTGAAGAAACGGATTTCACTGTAACCACAGGCGGCTTTATGTTCTTCCGATTCTCTGAAACTCGACCATTAAACCCTAAATTACAAGTACCCAGCTTGTAATTCGAGGTAATCAACAACGCGGAGAACAAAGAACTACTACGATCACCACACTTTACGGGGTTTTGAAAACACAAATTCATGGTTGGTCGACACTATCCCTGGGTACTTGGATATTCCCAAAACCAATCAATTTATGAAGAATCGACAGCAAAATCAAATTACCTACCAACCATCATCGGCTAGTTTAGGCTAAGGGTTTTTATCCGAATTTGGAGATTTAATTCATCAAAACAGTATGTATATAATCAAATTTGGTTTTAAATCCAAAACTCAAAAATGAAAATAATTATTTTAATAAGAGTTAATCAGAAATTTAAGTGTTAGATTTAATTAATGTGAAAAATATACTCAAATTCTTATAATACCAACTGAAGGACCAAATAAAAGTTTTAGGGATAAAATGAAGTTCGAATTAAAATGTGAAAAAACAAACAAATACATAAAAAAACTTTTTAAAATCCAAACTAAAAACTTGAATACTAAATCTACATAACGATGTGAAAACAAGTTGAATTAGTGGAATCTCTAACGATTAATGCGGGATCCAAAATCCGGTTAGTTTTCATATCATTACGTAAATTTAGTATCCAAAACATCCCGAGTTCAACCGTTTCAACGCCGAAAGAATCGTCACGACCTCGCGAGTGGACTCGGTGAGTCCAATTTGAAACAAACACACATTCGAGACCGAGTGAAACCGAGTCTACCCAACCGAAACGTATTCGTCGGTCGGTGTGCCATTATTATTTTTGTGATTATGATTTTGAAGAATGAGAATTATGATTTCTCAAAGAAGAAGAAGAGAGCAATATTTATAAGCAGAGGATATGACATTGTCTCAAAAAAAAAAGGAAATTCCTTTCATAAAAAAAAAAGGAAATCACTCAAACAAACAAAAAAAAAGGAAAGTTTGGTTGCTGCATAAAAAAAGGAAACTGATCATAACGGTTGGAAATAAGTTACCGTTACTGTTTTTGTTTTTACTGCATAACAATTTATGACTCACTTGCGTTTGCTTGATTATACTACAGTTCGTTCTGTTGTAACTTAGCTCTGTTTTTTTCGCTAGCCAAAATAGAAGACGAGTAAGAAGAATGACAACTATACCCCTCACGTTGTATTAGTATATACCCCTCTTTGATTCTCATCATATCTATATGGCACGAAAAACGATTGACAAGCTCGATCCAATGTTATGGACATGGTGAATCTGATTCTCTTCTCCATTATCCGCTCTTCTTCTTTCCAGTTTTCTGAATTTGTTTTCCTTTCCCATTGCCTCGGTTATTTTGGTCTCATATGATTCTTTGATCAGCATTATGTTCTGTGTATACTACACAAGGACTACTAGCTTTGATTTTAAAATTAAAACCATAAGCTGAACAAAAGAAACATTACGGCAAGATTTGTTGAGGATACAAAAATGGGTAAAAAAATGTGAGCTTTTTTTGCCTTTAAGAGACCCAACCAAGTCGGAATAGCTATGAAAAGTTGAATGCAAGTTGGTTTTCTTGTTTGGTCCACCAAGATTCCATATGTCCGATATTCATGGAATCTGCAGAATAAATCAAATGGTCCAAAAGCATGAAGCATCTATCTATCTATATTCAACGTCGAATAGACTCTCTTTTTAGCAACTTGTAGGAGGGTCGTTGAGACCGCATCTTTGTATCTAAGAGAAAATAAGTGGAAATGTGGAATGATCATTTATATTCTTGGTCCTTACAATCAAAAGGGTAAAGGCTGCCGAAGAAAAGGTTCGGTCTCGTCGAATCATCTTGTTCATATATATTAAAGTCGGACTTGGGAACATTTTCAACGATCTTCTTGTGATCTCTGTATGTGGATTCTGATTCTTCCCTCATGTTATAAATAGCCTGCGACTCTAGCTACTCCTTTCAATCCATATACTTCTTCTTCTTCTTCTTCACCTTATTCAAGAAAATGGACAAAGTTATAAGAATGTCCTCCGAAAAAGGGGTGGTTATATTCAGCAAGAGCTCTTGTTGTTTGTCCTATGCGGTTCAAGTTCTCTTCCAAGATCTTGGGGTTAACCCCAAGATTCACGAGATTGATAAGGACCCCGAATGCCGGGAGATAGAGAAGGCACTAATGAGGCTAGGGTGTTCAAAACCGGTCCCAGCTGTCTTCATTGGTGGCAAGCTCGTTGGTTCAACAAATGAAGTAATGTCGATGCACTTAAGCAGCTCACTTGTTCCCTTAGTGAAGCCATATCTATGTTAAACAACAAAGAAGGTGTTTATATATGAAATTAATTAGCTATGGATATGTCATTCAATAAGGAAGAAAATTGAGCCAAATCTTTGTAATGTGTTTTTTGGTATTATTATTGATTGTGTAACTTGGGAAAGTGCGTATAATTGTAAGATTGTTATATTGATTCGAAGGTAAAACATTTTATGCTAATTGTAATGTGTTCTTGATTCGTATGCAAACTCCAGTATGGTCCAAGTCAAAAACACATAAGAAGCAGAACAGCTACATAACTCACAAAGGCAGACATATTAAATTGTCTGCAACATATACTACTGTTACATCGCTTACAATCATTTTTCCTGTACAAAGAAAGAACAACAACAAAATCACACTGAATACTCAAACAAACAGTGTATGATTCGAAGAAAGTTGCTATCTAGGTGCAACGGAGGGAGCAATTCCACTGACAAGGTCAGAGCCGGAGACATCCATCGATGTATAAGGATGCTTCATGATTGAAGAATTCGATGACGATGATGGATGAGTCATTGTCTCAGACAGATCCGCTGTTTTGGCTACATGAGATTCCGGCATCAGTTCCCATATGATTTCCAGTTCTCTTACAACTTCCGCCATTGAAGGCCTCGCATCTGTCTCCTCTCTGCAGCATCGCAGCGCTAAAGTTGCAAACTTTTCAAGGCATTCGTCTGGAACTGAGCTCATTCTCTTATCCACGGCGGATAATATTGAACCAGACTCGTAAGCAATGTTGATCTGACAGAAACACAAACAATTATATATAACGCCTAAAAGGAAAACACACGCTGTTAGTATCTACTCAGAATTACCTCTCGAACAATGTTCTTGCCATGTGTGATTGGCTGCATTCCAGTCAAGAGCTCTAAGAACACTACGCCTAGACTATATACATCGCTTTTGTCCGTCAATTGATGAGTCAAGAAATATTCCGGGTCAAGATAACCCTGCAAGTCGAAAAATAACTCTCAGTCATGAGTTTGAGAAAAAAAATTACAGAAGCAACGCAGGAATGAGATCTTACCGGAGTCCCTTTTACAACAGTAGACACGTGATGAGGTGAGATGCCTTCCATATCAGGTACTGGGGCAAGTCTTGAGAGTCCAAAATCTGCAACCTTTGCGGTGAATCTGGAGTCCAACAATATGTTGCTTGCTTTGATATCGCGATGGAATATCGGGGGATTAGCTTCCGTGTGTAAATACAAGATTCCCTTGGCTGAACCTAAAGCAATCCGTAGTCTCATCGCAAAGTCTAGAGGCTCTTTTAATTTAACTGCCAAACACACAAATTTGTATGTAAATTGTTATTCATGAGAAATAGAGCCGAAATTAACTGTGAACATCGGTGGGTAGTCTTTCCTGATTCACATAGAGAACAAGCAGCACTATAGATGACTCAGTGAAGAAGTAAAACATACCAGAAATGTTGTCTCGCAAAGTACCATTTTCCATGTACTCATAAACCAGCATCTGCACGCTTGACAATACAAGCAATAAGAGATATATATAAAGGTTTTGGTCATCAACCAGAAGAGGAATTTGGACGAAAGTACCTGTTCGCCTTCTTCATCACAGAATCCAAGCAACGAAACAAGGTTTCTGTGATGCAATCTCGATAACAATTCAATTTCAGTTAGGAACTCTTTCTCACCCTGCAATGATCCCTCTTGTGCTCTTTTAATTGCCACAACCGTTCCACTCCCAAGGGTACCTTTGTAGACCTTTCCATAACCCCCTTGCCCAATTTGAGTGGAACTATTAAAATTGTCTGTAGCCAGAGCCAACTCAGCATAAGTGAAGCTCTTCACACCTTCGATTTTCAAAGAAGCTTTGGAAGCTGCACATGGATGAATCAAACTTGTAACACCAAAAACCAAAAAAAAATATGACCACTACCAATACACAATTCCGATAAAGAATTTACTCAGAGCACAGATCGGAATCCACAAGAAAATGCTTACATCGCTTTCTTCTAGCAACCGCACTGTATCCTCTCATACGTTTTCTCATAATGATAAGGGCAATAATAGCAGTTAGCGTAACTGCAGCTGCAACAGAACCAAGAACTATTCCCGCAACTGCACCCTTACTTAAACCAGATGGCGAAGCTGAAGGAAACACTGAACATAAAAAGCATGACAGTCAAAACAATGCCCATGTATGCAAAAGTTTTATCGCTTAGTAAGAACATAAAGGTAAGACAGGATCTATTGTTATCAGGGACGCTGATAAACAAATGACACTGTTATGTTTAATATAGCAGAAAGACGTCAGCTCGTTAACTTGTATTTTAACCAAGTTCTTCTGTTTTGAAATAATATGAGAGGATGGATATTCTGCCACTAACCATCTCTGTAGACATCTAACAATGTGAAATTCATAAGCTCATAAGGACCAAACAGATCTTCGTCTCGGATATTCCATCCAGTGAACATGCCCCTTATTCGCCGAACCTCGCTACGATTGAATATGAAAGAATTGTTGGCATTTGAACCAAAAACAGGAAAGAACTTCAAATACATTCGAAGTCTAGGTCCTTTTTGCCACTGGAATGAGTCAAGGCGCAGCTGATACAGATTCAAACTAAGACCAGAGGTGATATATTCCTCGAATTCGGATCTGTAAGGAAGAAAATCCGAGAAACCAGGACTTTTCAACCGATATCCAACAAGCAGAGGAGCAGCACAAAAGCACCGTCGAAGAGGTTCTGGTGAAAATTCATAAGGGGGTGGGCAGTCAGAACAAGTTGTAGTATTAGAATTGGTTGAACCCTGATTAATGTCTTCCTCAGTTATAGGTCCACACAATCGAAGCAGATTTCCATCTGAGCATAACGGATTCCCCTGAAGCCTGAAATAACAAACGATGTCAAATGATACCTGAAAAGTGGACACTAATCTAAGGGAAGGAGTTTATCACATTTCAGAATGAACAAACAAGATCCAAAAAGCAGTTATATACATCATTGAGTAGCTAGAATGATATGCAGAGCAAAAATAAGTTCGTATGGGCAGCTAATAAATAGAAATAGGAAAGGCGCAGAAGCAAACCAGACGGTCACATTTGGGCGGAGATCGGATCTTCCAGAGATATTTGAAAACCTATTGTTCCGCAGATCCCTGAAAAACCATAAAGGAACTGACCCTTGTCAGGATATACTAAAGAAATTTGGAACATGCTTCTAGGTCAAAGGAAAGGAGATATGATTGTTTTTGTAACAGTCATACACAATAATAGTCTCGGTTGAATTCAGCTCTCTTTCCTGCCATATTCTAGAGGGAATGGAACCACTCAGAGCATTGTTTGCAAGCGACCTGCCACATTAGGTAGACAACAAAACAAACAATCAGACATCTTCATATCCAAGATAGAACAAACAACAGCATCTCAGAAGCCAAAAAACCTCACTACACCAATCAAACACACTTACAACTTTTGAAGCCGAGGAAGACCTGAGAAATTTGTTGGAATGGTTCCAGTTAGACTGTTACTGGATAGATCGCTGCAGTATTTTCATCAGAATTATCAAAGTTAAAAGCACTTCATTTCCAACCCCAAAAAGAGAATAATAATCACAGTACATAGCCCGAATTAACTCAAAGGCCTGAATTATGAAAAGAGCTAAAAATTTACATGGTTGTGATATTATCAGAAAGCTTCCCTGTAGGTATAGATCCATTTAACTGATTTTGACTTAGGTCCCTGGAATTCATGTCGAACAACCAGACATAGATGAGGTTAATTCGCCAAGGCAGTTGCACGACTATATAAGGAAGCGTCTAGATAAGTTATATAAGACTTACAAATAACCAAGGTTCGGTATACTGCTAAGATCAGGCACTGGCCCTTGCAAGCTGCAGTTCCTAAGACTCCTGCCCGTGGACATAAGACAAATATGCATAGGTTAGCATAGCATACACATGTATCTTATGCCCAAAAAGATCGGAAAAAAAACAGAAAATAGACTACCAGTATCTCTACATTTAGAGTGAACTATCCTAATTAGCTCAAATATGGCTGATTAACATTCCCACAGGTAAATTTAAACCCAATGCATGACTCTCATATTAAATTGTTGAATGCATTAACAGAAGATGACAGCCCTTCCAGCCTCACACTTCAGTGTCTTCAGATACATTATGAAACTATCACTTACATCTTCAAAAGTTTAGACATGTTTCCATAAGATTGTGGAATCGTAGTCCCATCAAAGTGATTGTTATCTAATTGTCTGCCAAAATAAACACGAGGAAAAAGGTCAAAAAAGAAAAGAAGAAACACATAGATCGCCAGTCCATATGGTGCCAGGACCAGGGAAATCAACAGAAACTGTGACATAAACTTACAGGATAAGCAAATGTGGCATGTTTGATAACTCAGGGGGAAGATAGCCTGATAAATTGTTGTTGTCAAGAAGGCTGTCAAAAAAAAGAAGTAATGTTCATAAACATTAATTAGGTCAAGATAACTGCTGATTTAAGGTGCAAAAGATAACATTTAAAAGTAAGAGCATTTAAGCCTGCCACTGCTACCAACTCACATGTGAACAATTGATGGTAGGCTTCCAATCTCTGGTGGTATCTGCCCGCTAATTGAATTATTGTTCATGTGACTGGGAAAAGATAAGATGGACAAAAAAGGCAATAAATGTAACATACTCAAGGGGAGAAGGAATCAACATAAGCAAAACAACCGTGTAGAACTCGACACCAGATTAAAGAACTCACAAATGCTTCGTTTTGTTTAAGTTTGCAAACGATTTGGGAAGTGGTCCTGATATACGGTTTTCATCAATCTGTATTCTGTCCAAGTTTGGAAGAAACCCAAGCTCCTCTGGTAAATTTCCAGTTAATCGATTTCCATTCAAGAGCCTGGAAAAATAGTAGTGTCAGATCAAGCACCAAGACTAAAAAATAAGGCAGGGAAGTAAACAACAAACTGGTGGACTTACAAGAGTTCTAAGGACTTGATATTCCCAATTTCCTTTGGTATACTTCCGGTGATCTTGTTCCACATGAAACTCCTGGCATTAGAGTAGAAGTTGTACAATACACAAAGAAAGTTATTCACCATTGAGTATGATAAAAGATCAAGCAACATATCGTGTTAAAACACGTACAGGATAGTAAGACGAGTCAACCGGCCAAGCTCCGGAGACAAGTTCCCTGAGAGATTCATACTGAACAATTGCCTACAAGTAAAAGCAAAGAAAGCTAACTCAAACAATTCTCAAGGAAGCCAAAAAAAAAAACAGCAAGAGTGAAGAAGACGATACAATTCGCTGACATGAAGATAACCATCATCAAGAGTGGAATTGAAGCAAACAACACCAGTCCAATTCGAATTGCACGGGTCTCCATGCTTCCAATTTCTCAATCTATTAACAGGATCGTTCAAACTTTCTTTGATCACTCGCAAAGCCCGCACTGACTCCCAAAAAAAAACATCAACGATCAGTACCAAACACAAATTGTCTGAAGATCTAAAAACAAAGACAAAGCCTTTTAACAACAACAACATCAAGAAAAAAACCTTCAACGGGATTGGTGATGTCGTCTTGAGCAAAAGTAGAAGATGAACAGCAACATAAGAGGAAAAAGAAGAGCAAAGGTAGGAGACGAGAGACATGGGTCGAAAACATATCGAGAGAGGAAACAGAGGAGACCCAAGAAGAAACGAAATCGAGAGAGAAAGTTAAAAGGAAAAGGCCATGACCAAGTAAGAAACAGAAGACAAAGTAAGAGGGAAGTGGTTGATGTTGGGTGGGAGCATTGAAGAGTGATAATACGACATTTTCTTAAGTTTGACTATTTCAGGTAATGGATGAGACCGACGGAGGAACGTCAGCAAAAGTTTCCGTTTCGCCGCCGCCATAACTTCACCTTCTTCTTCCGTCAAAACCATTACACTTGCTATTTTTCTTCCTTTGTTTAATGATTCCTTGTCTGACCTGTCTTTGACCTTTTTGTCGTTTTTTTATTTCTTTTTAATGACAGTAGGTAGGTAAATCTGCCGAGTGCGATGAATTTACAAATATTGTCAATAAAGTTACCTCTTTATCCCACTTTGTATTCTAATTTTTTTTTTTTTATGTATAATTAAAAAACGCATATACCATTAACAAATAGACGAAATCAATCATGGGTTATGGGTATATTGAAATATTTCATATATATGGCACTTTGACTTTGGTCATATATATCGATCTCTATGTTCATTTTGGTCCCCACGATACTAAAGTCACGAAGGTTTCCTAACGACTTTTATTGGAAAATGGTGTTGATTATCAACTAATTTGTACAAGTGTGATTAAATAGTTCTAGCCATTATGTTTAGTAGTATAATAATTATGACTAAGATTGAAACTTTGAAAGCAAATAATATAACACACAGACGGAAGAAAAAAAAAGTTAGGGACACAAAAATAGCAGAGAAACTAAACAAGGAAAAAAAACAGCTGGAATAAATTACTTAAATAAGAAATACAATGGGCACTATTAAAAGCATACACATTATTCTGTTTAGAGAGAAGAACTTTCCTACACAATTTGGTTTTTAAAAAACAAACATTATGTGACAGTAAGTCTACAATATACATATATAATTTGTGGGTTTCCTCTCTTTGTGGATTATCTCTAAGACCATCAGCAGTGGCAAATGTGTTTGTGTGGGTGTAAGTATTTTTTTAGTATTATAATTTAAAGCAAAAGAGAAAAGAGAAAGAGAAAGAAAGAGAGAGATAGAGAGAAAAAGTGTTACACCCGAGTGTGAAGAGAGAGATAATTTTTTCGTTTTTTTAATACCTACACCCCAAGACTCACACCCACCTGCTTTCCCCACTGCCCATGCTCTAAATCTTAAGTATGTTGATAAATAATATAATTAAAGAAAACAAAAAGCAAAGGAAACTTTAGCTGGTAATAAGTAAGCATCATTAGAGCATACACAGTGGGGCATTTTTGAGTGTATATATTTAAGTCAATTTAATAATATAATAACAGTGGGGTAGAGATGTCTGTGTAGAAAATCAAAGGAGAAAGAGAGGGAAAAAAATGTGGGAGAAGAAAAAGAAGATTTCGGCGACTCACAGCACGCCACGTCATCTTACACTCGACGAGAGGGAAGTTGTTACTTCACACCCGGGTGTTGTCTCTCTCCTTACTATTTGATTACTTTTGTTTTTTTTAATCCTCACACCCCAGTAGAAAATATGCCGCTGCGTATGGTCTTAGGTATTAAGTGCTATAGGGTCAAGGTTATTAAATGATGCCGGTCCACTTCTGGCGTTTTAGAGACTTATTAAAAGCAATCAATGCTCTTTTTTTGACCGGTAAATAAAATGATGCCCAATTGCCAAATTAAGAGAAGGCCCAAAACCCTCCTCACGAATTACCAAAACGAACCTACGACCTTCTATCCAGCATCCACTGAGCATTAGACGCTCAAAGATTTCTTAAAACAAAGGAATACCTACACCTGTGTTTTATGGGCCTGATAACTAAGACCCACATTCTACACTTCTTCCAACCAACATTGAAGCTTCCAAAAGAATCTTTATTTGTTGATCGTCAAACGATAAGTTTCTTCACTAACTGAGTTTTTAATTGTTTTCCAATCCATCAAATTATCCCATATAACATTCTCTCAGACATATTTTGTTTCATACAAAGACTTTCTGCCTTGTTAAATTTTGTGACTCAAAGATACGAAAATCTTAAGAGTCAGACGTGGGGAGATGTTATGCAATAATAACAAGTGCTTAAAACTTGGATGAAGCAACTACAAAAACTTGTAATTAAACCATTTTAAAACATAAAATCACTTAAATACAAAAAAAAAAAAAAAAAAAAAGAAAGTAGGGAGACAACAAGCTGCGATGCTTCACGTGCCAATGTGCCTTTTACTTTTTCATCAACTAGTTTTCTTTTAATTAAATATCAATTGGGCAAATTATAGTTAGTGACGTCACTTCTCTCTCCTCACAGTTGAGTTCCTCCTCTCCTACGCTCTTCATTTCCATAGAGAGAGAGAGAGAAAGAGCTTCGTCTTCATCTCCAATCTCCATCATTATCTCCATTGACATTGTTCTCATTTAATAATAATTCACACAAGCAGCATTCATTCATCTCTCAAATCCTCCTGACAAAAATGGAGAAATCAGATCCTCCTCCACCAAAGCCCGCCACTATCATCCCCTCCGATCCGATCCCATCTTCTTCCTTCCACCGCCGATCTCGCTCCGATGATATGTCAATGTTCATGTTCATGGATCCCCTCTCCTCCGGCGCACCACCTTCCTCCGATGACCTTCCCTCCGACGACGATCTCTTCTCTTCTTTCATCGACGTCGATAGCCTCACCTCTGATCCCAATCCCTTTCCTAATCCTTCCCTCTCCTCCAACTCCGCTTCCGGCGCCAATCCTCCTCCGCCGTCCTCTCGTCCTCGCCACCGCCACAGCAATTCCGTTGACGCTGGGTGCGCCATGTATGCAGGTGAAATCATGGACGCTAAGAAAGCTATGCCTCCTGAAAAACTCTCTGAGCTTTGGAACATCGATCCCAAACGCGCCAAAAGGTTCTTCTTCTTCAAATTTGTTTCTCTTATAGAAAAATCAATGGAGAATTGCAATGAAATTAGGGATTGGGATTTTGATTACAGGATTTTAGCGAATCGACAATCTGCAGCTCGATCCAAGGAGAGAAAAGCTCGATACATTCAAGAACTTGAGCGTAAAGTTCAATCTCTTCAAACCGAAGCTACCACTCTCTCTGCTCAGCTCACTCTTTACCAGGTTTCTATATTCCATTCCAACAGAATAATAACGATCGGTTCTTTGCTCTGTTTTACACACATGGACAAATCTTTATTTCAATGTTGTTTGATTGATCAGAGAGATACAAATGGACTTGCAAATGAAAACACAGAGCTGAAACTCAGGTTACAAGCCATGGAACAACAAGCTCAGCTTCGTAATGGTAAGCTAAAAAGCTAACTTCTTTGTATGCATTTTGGTGCATTTCTTCTGCCTCTGTGATCTTCAATATTTGCTATTGATTACAGCTCTAAACGAAGCGTTGAGGAAAGAAGTTGAAAGGATGAAGATGGAGACAGGAGAGATCTCTGGTAATTCAGATTCATTTGATATGGGAATGCAGCAGATTCAGTATTCTTCTTCAACGTTCATGGCAATTCCACCATATCATGGCTCAATGAACGTCCATGATATGCAGATGCATTCTAGTTTCAATCCTATGGAGATGTCGAATTCTCAAAGCGTATCGGAGTTTCTACAGAACGGGCGATTGCAAGGGCTAGAGATAGGTAGCAATAGCTCAAGCTTAGTCAAATCTGAAGGACCTTCTCTCTCTGCTAGTGAGAGCAGCTCTGCCTATTGACAACAAGATTACGGCGAGGCTGAATTTCTGTTAATAGGCTTTTGTTTTTCAATTCATTTGATTATTTATTCTTTTTTTTGAGGTGTCATTGTGGAAGAAAGAACGTATAAAATTGTGTTGGTAATGTGTTGTGAGTTTCATTGTTTGCTACTCCCATTGTTTGTTCTACAAGGAACAAAGGAGACTAATAAATTTCATTTTCTTTGTATACAATGATGTTTTGCTACGTTTTATTCTATTTCAAAAGGAAATGCAGTTGCTTAACAAATTCACAAACCAAAGTTTCTTGTGCGTTGTCATCGAACGTGCTTCCATATATATATATATATATATATATATATATATATGTCCAGCCAAATTGCCAATAAACGTTTCCATTGTCCATTGGGTTGATAGTTTGATTTTGGGGTCACTCAAACATATAACGATTTTGATTACGACAACACCAATAAACACAGTTTGATTACTCAGTAGCTTCTTCTCCAAGACACCCCCACATCCATCATCATTAGTGAGACAACAGTTAACGAAAATGTTCCACCTTTTAAAGACCGCTAACACGATTCAACCTTTTAAGACAAGGCCCATTGTTAGATAGAACTAAAAGTTTCAAACTATCCAAACAAGAACTTGCGGCATAACATAAGAACATGGAGAGTTTAGAACATTGTTACCATGTTTTTCAGACGAAACATCTACTCTTTGGAGAACCTTGAGGAAGCTCTGTCTAAATTCGTTCTTTTGCAGGCTTTGCAGCGACTAAAATCACTGTTGCTAGTCATCTCTCTCGCTAGAAAACTTCAGATTCAAGATTTTTTCCCTTCAACTTGCATAGTCAGACACTCTTTTGTTTTATCCCACTGGGAATGAGACTTTTCTTGATTATTTATATAAAAGCAGAGTAAATTTTCTAACTGCAAAAGCAGAGAGACGTTTGTGCATCTGAGGGGAAAAAAAAAGAGCTCAGGAGTGAGGCGATATCATCTGAGAAATCAGAAGAATGCGAAGGACCCAACCAACGCTGAAGCCAATTTCATCACAGCTCATGCACCAGCCGGGAATCGAACCCGGGTCTGTACCGTGGCAGGGTACTATTCTACCACTAGACCACTGGTGCTTTGGTGAACATCTTCCTATGTGCAAATGGTAATCAACCATAACATATAGCTTAAAAGGTTGTTTTAGTGTCACTATACAGATTTAATTCACACAGTATTATTAATTTATTGTTGAATAGAGACAAATCGTCAAATGCTACTTCACCTAGCTAATGTCTTTAGTTTAATCTTTAGTGGTTCGTTTAATCTGGAACGTCCTTATAACATAAGAAATATATTTACTTAATTAACTATGAGACACACTATATATATTGGAATCCAATGACTGCATTACTTATTTATATATTAAAATGTTATTTTATTGTAGTTGAATATTGTATGTGATTTTTAGCGGTGTTTTGTGTTACCCGAATTGTGACGGAGGCTAATTGTAGTCCGTTCAATGAATAACCACTAAATAATCATGCAAATATACATATATATGAAAATGCTTCATTGCCTAATGGTTTTAACGTTGCTTTGATCAAGCCGACGATAACACAGTTTCTCCGATCTAAGGGCTATTATGGTGATTTGTCTTTGACTTGAGAATGGTGGTCTCTGATGCAAGCGACAGCCGAAAGATACATCGGGATACATACAGAGCATTATATCATCAGCCTGATATACTAACAAAGAATTGCACTGAGAGTAAGTTATATTTTTCATCCTTCTTTGTTTCATATTGGTCTTTAATTGTTTTTTCTATGTTTCAGGTGGTGGACAAGTCTCTGATGTTGAAATCTATCGTGAAATTAATACCTGGTTAAACCAGGCTGAACCTAGTGATTTTTTTGTCTTGATTGGTGGTGATGGAGGATATTTGCCGTGGCTTGGACGAATCAAGAATGCAGGCCACGGTATATTGATAATATATCCTGCCCACGCAACCCACAAGAATGTGAGAGACTTTTTACTTCACACACAAGGTTTTATGACTTGGGAAAACCTACTCTATAATGCCTACAATTTAATTCAACCTAACGAAGATGAAGATGGAGATGAGGAACAAATATTAAAAAATATTAAAAATGTACCAAAAATGTTAAAAAATATGTTAACAATATAACAAAAATATACCTCCCCAAGATTGATGTGAAACAAATATTAAAAATCGTTTTCTATTTTAAACTAAATAGAAAATATATAATAATTTTCATATCTTCAAAATATATTAATAGACAAAATAGTTTGATAGGAATTTCTTGTTAAATTAATAGTATATTGAAAATTATATGCATAGTAAAATAAACTTTTACAAACCGTTAATAAAGTGGCAAATTTAAAAATATTACAATGGGATAACTTACGCTTATTTTGAAGTCCCTTTTTTCTTCTTTAGTTATGTAGATCGAACATAGTAACCTGATAGTAAGTTTTTACCTACCGTTGATAAAGTGGCACAACAGAAAATATTACCATTGGCTAGTGTTGGTTTAACTTATAACTTATGCTTATTCTTAAGTTTTTTTTTTTTTTTTCTTTTAGTTATCTAGATCGGACATAGTAACCTCATTTTTGTTCTATTGTTCCTCTTTTGTGCGGAACAATATAACTAAAATGTTCCTCCCCAAAATTGATGAGGAACAAATATTTAAATTTTTTTTTTTCATGAAAAAAAATAATTTTATTATCTTCAAAAATATATTAATTGAACATATCTCCATTTGTTCAATGCTTGATAAAACTATGAAATCCCAATCAACAAATTATTATTCACCGTATGATATAGTTATTCTCTAATTGACAAATTGCTTAAAAAATTACTTTGACCAAAAAAAGCAAAAAACATGATTTATATAAGAGAATTTTTTAGGTGTCTCTCCTACACACAAAAGACATAAACTTTCCTATTTTGCTAATTAAAAATATAAAACTAAAACTGTCTTTTTTTTTCTTTTTTTTTTGTCGCCAAAACTAAAACTGTCTTTTTTTTTTTTTTTTTTTTCAAACAAACTAAAACTGTCTTAATTCACAAAGTTCTCTTTATTTTCCGGTTAAGCAAAATTCTAGGATGATGGTCAAAGACCACATTGTCTTTGTGCAATTAGTCTTCTGCTCGATAAAGCTTTTCTTTTCGTGTCCTAATCTCCCTTTGTTCAATGCTTGCTTGTTTAGGTCGCGCTCCAAGTGCTCGACGAAATGACTGAATGAAACTAGGAGACAGTTTTCGTCAAATTCTCATACCAACCAAGAAGCTTCAGAGTTGGTAAGATCTTTTAAACTAGAAAATATGTTGTCATGGAGGAAAACGAAGCTTCAAGCTGTTTTACTTTACCAGTGTCGTTTGAGTTCTTTGTTTCGTATACTTCTGGTCGACGCCATTGAAGAAACTACAGGTACTCAATCTCAGTGTTCTTTACAACATGATTTGAAGAAACTCCAGGTACTCAATCTCACTGTTCTTTACAGCATGATTTGAAGAAACTACTATTCTGCCTAAATGCATCAGTGTGTTATCTAAGCTTCGTACTAGTACCAGGTTTAATGTATTTTCTGTCGATAGAATAGAAAATTTTCAACGATTTCTGGATCTTTATTGCTTCAAGCCAGGGATCCTGCTAAAAACTGAAAACTCAATGAAGAAATTCAAATTGCATTTGATGAACATAGATGTGATGTAGCTTGGAGATTCAAGTTGGCTACAAAAGTTTAGTGGAATAAGTATACAAGGAGAGCAAACAGAATTTACTGGAGTAGGAACCTCTTTTAATTCTCCCATGGTTGTTCCTGCATCACCGATCTTCAGGAACCTCTTTTATATCTCCCATGGTTGTTTCATAATTACAGAGTTGATCCAAGGATGAAGAGTACCATACCTTTTCTTGCGATGATGCCTTATACTCAGGCGTTGAACTTTGCTTTGGCGGGTTGTTTGGGACAACATGAAAAGCTGAACAGCTTCTGGATATAGTACCGAGGATCGGTGTTAAAGCTGATATATATGAGAGAAATGGACGGAGAGAGGAACTGAGGAAGCTTCAATAGGCACATCGATGAAGCTTGTAACTTGAATGAGTCTCAGTTTTGGCAATTCTCTAACTGCTTGCTTATGTTTCACCTGAATTTCGGGGATCTTGAATCTGCTTCGAAAATGTTTCTGGAAATTCTAAGAAGGCGAAAGGTAGCAAGGAACTTCCATGGAGCCGCCATTCTTGGATTTGATACTGCAGTTGATGATAGATTAAATCTCAATAAATTATCATGAAAAGGATTAGAGGTTAAAGAACACGATAATCCCAACCTGAAACTCAAGGGGTTTCTATTCACAGTATGATGAGTTCTCTAGAGAGAAGAAGTTTTTGAAACTTGAAGCCGAGGCAATGGCTGTTATTTTTGCATTGTTGGCTAAGTTGCATGTACAAGTCGAATTGGTTACGTTGGAACACGGTGTTCTTCAGGCGGCGGAAGAGACTTATATGAAATTAGCAAAGGCATTTTTCTGGAAAGTGGAAAGATGGAGGAGTTGGCAGAGTTTCTGTTAAAGGCAGCACATGAAGACTCATGTTTCTAGTGATAACTCGATGCTGGTGAATGTTATCAACGCTTGTATCTCTAGGAACGTTTGATCAGGTGCATGATCTTCGGTTGGGGTAAGAACTGGTTCTTTGGTTTATTCTTCGCTCCTCAAAGTTTACTGCAAAACCCAACTAGAGAAGTAACATCATTCCTTTAGAGATGTTCAAAAGGCAGGGATTCAATTAGCTGTTATGAAGATTTAATCCAATCTCAAGTGATTCAGAACGATGTCGTGGATCTCTCAATGTCTTCGAGGAAATGAAGGAAAAATATTGAGAGGCGGATATCAGCAGTTCGAGAAGCTCTTAAAGGGTTGCAAAGGAAACACAGAGGCAGGACTTATGTCGAAACTGCGAAAAATTAGAGGACACAGTTTGGATGCCGGAGTTTAGGGTTAGCAAGAGCAGAGAAGGCGTTAAAGTGGATGAGAAGTCTTGGTTATTCGACAAATGCTCAATCTTTTCATTCTGTGGTCACAAGATATGCAGCCATAGGGAGTAAATACACAGGTCACTGAGCTATGGGGAGAAATGAACTCCATAGCCACAGCTACTTCTTCAATGAAGTTTGATCACAGGTTTTTATTGCGCTCTAATGAAGTTGTGGTGGTGATGGAGGAGAAACAGAATATGTTGGTTGATAAGTATCGGATGCTCTTCTTGAAGTATAATGGCGGAGCTGTTTTTAATGCTATCATACTTGAAATATAAATTATACAGGAAGCACATTTTGCATATTTTAATGTACTAGTTCTAGAATGATAATATAGGACTAACAAAGTGCAGTTACTTGTTCAATTAAAAAGGTTAATGGGAACCACGAGACGATGAATGTGGAAGGGGATTTCAGATATGTAGATGCGAGAGCATTTGATGAGTGTACTGATTTTCTTGACTACTTGGAGGACTATGCACAAGACTGGGACAAAGCGTTTACTAATTGGATTTTTGAGTCAAGACAATGGAAACAAGATAGAAGGAATTCTCAAACCTATTGGGATCAATGGAATGTAGTAAAGGTACTTCATTTTTGCTTTGTCCTTTCTGAGTTTTAATAGTTTCTGTACGTGTTTCTGGTATTGTTTCTTCAGGTTCTGGAGATAAGAGGGGACAAAGCTAGAGTTATAAGGAGCAACCGTGACAGACTTCATGAACTTCAAGTTGCAGATTACATTTAAAAAGCTTTTAAAGACAAGAGCACCAGACTCTCATGTTCAAGATTCAAACTTTATCGCCATATTTGTCATCATGAACAAAATAAAGCATCAGAAGGTTTCAGTCTTTCAGACAAGATCCAGATGAGAGACAGAATGAGGCCATACTTTGATATATGTATATATGTATGTGAATCATCAGAAACATCATACTATATTCTTCAAGTAAAGAGCTTATCGAAGTATGGCTGATTGTACCAGAGAAATTTTATGGATTCAGAAGTTGCTGAAGGACTTCCATGTTACAGTCTCCACTACTGCCAAGCTGTTTTGTGATAACAAGTCAGCAATCTATATAGCTACTAATCCAGTATTCCATGAAAGGACCAAACACATAGAAATCGATTGCCACACAACAAGGGACCAGATCAAGTTTGGCAATCTCAAGACTTTACATGTAACAAGTGAGAACCAGCTTGCTGATATTTTGACCAAGCCATTACATCCGAAGCCATTTTACTCAATCCTACAGAGAATGTCATTGTCAAACCTCTTCAATCCTATAGTGGTTCCGGATTGAAAGGTTTGCGGGGGTGTATCAGATAGTACATGTTAGCATTTCATTAATGTGTATGTTAGCACCAGAGTATAGTCATATAAATACTCAACATTGTAACACATTTGTGATTAATGAGAAAATACAGTATTCTTTATTTCTGTTATTCATCTTCTTCTTCTCCTTTAGTTTGTTACGGAGAAGATCTTGTTAGAGCTTGTATAGCAAAACACTGGTTAGTGTTACTTAAAAGAGTGGTGAAATTCTCTGGTTTTTGTATTGAATGTTTAGAAGTCACATTGATAACAACATTGAGAAAGATGTTGAACGGAAACAAAGTATAGAGAGATTGGAGAAAGTAGTGTTTAGTTTATTGAGAAATGGATCTCAATCTTCGAAGCTGATCAATCCAACGATCCTCATTAACATCGGAGGCCCAATCAGGAGCCGTTCCAGGGAACGAGATGGCTCGCATTGCCTCCATAACCCTAACGGCATTCTCCCCCACTAACGGCGATCTTCAACGCCGTTCGTCCTCTTCAAATGCTCTACGGATCTCCGGTTCAGTCTCCGTCTCTGTTTCTTCTTCGCTCTCTCCGTCTTCGTTTATTCTAATAGAGGAGATTCTTTCCTCTGTTTCCGGAATCATACAATGGCCGTTAGAGAGACCATCTCCACCGATGGGAAGATAACTGTCATCTTCATCGTCATCGGCGTTATCAAGATCGACGGCTGAGATCGGTTCGTAATAGTCTTGTGAATCTTCGACGGAATTAGAGTCTGAATCGCTACCGGCGTTGTTGTTTTCTGCAAATAAGTGTATCCGGTTAACCAATTAAGATCCCAGTTCCTCATAAGAATTAAACGGAAGAAGAAGGAGAGTAGAAGAACCTTCCATAGAAGCTTCGATCACCTGTGCGAAAATTTGGGAGATGGGAACGTGTTATGTTTGTCGGAGGATGAACTGAAAAAGCTTATGAAGTATGAAGGCGTGTTACACTGAGTTGACTCGGATTACCAGACCCATTTATAAAGCCCATATTAAAAGACGCCCACTTTATGAGGCCCAAGCATGAATGAAAGTCAGGCAGGACCTCTGTTGCATCGGTTTGAACTTGAATCAGACAAATTATCCGAGTATATACGAATTTAACGGAGCTGGGATATTCTAGAAACATCAAAGAATAAATATTTAAAATAAAAAAAAAAGAGAGAGCTCAGGAGTGTGGCGATGTCATCTGATTATCAGAAGAATGCGAAGGACCCAACCAACGCTGAAGCCAATTTCATCACAGCTCATGCACCAGCCGGGAATCGAACCCGGGTCTGTACCGTGGCAGGGTACTATTCTACCACTAGACCACTGGTGCTTTGATGACAGACACTAAGTTTTAAAACATGATATAGAATAGTTCCACATTTAAGATATCTTATACTAATATATTGTTGTGCTCTTTTTTAATTTTTTGGCCTTTTTCATATTTTGCTAGAATTTGTGAGTGTTTGTTTCTATGAAATCGAAATTGGAAATCACCCAAGAAAACACACATGTAAACTAGTATTTAACAAGTAAATTGACCCCAGACAAAACTGTCAAAAACAAAACATGCAGTAGACAATTTCTAATTCGTATTTTAGCCTCGAGACATGAGACATCTTAAGCAAAATATGAAATATTTGATTAAATAAAATTAAGCATTTGGGGAGACGACGAGAGATTAGTGTTTGGCTATTTCGGTGAGACCTTAAAGAAGCTAAAAAAATCATTTGTGAACAAAAAACGAAACAGAATCTATTATCTTAGAGTTATGTTGTGGTCAAATTCAACCCAACTAAAAAAAAAAAAAAAAAAAAAAAAAAAAAAAAAAAAAAATTCAACCCAACTAAGTTAACGACTAAGTACTCGTTGTTTATAAGAATTGCAATACTAATTAACTAAGAAATATCAAAGAAGTTTCGGACGAATGATGTATGTGCTGCGATCACTTCTTTTTTTTTAATGCATTTCACAAACTTCTGTTCCCAGAACCCAACCTTGTTACGTCTCTAACTCCTAACTACATTACATGTATATAGGTTTATTTATTTACATATACTTTTTGTGGGCATAAAGTATATTTTTTATTTGTAAACACCTAAATTTACGATCAAAATTGATAATATTGCAATATGTTGAGAAGTCCGTCGTCAAAGTATTCTATCAATTTTATTATATTCTGTATAGAATTTAGATTGTTCAAAATATATTTTCGTCAATGTTTTGTTTATATAGTCTTTGATACTTGCATATTTAATTTTGGGGACATGAATGGAAATTGAATATTTTAAGGCCCAATTTGGCCCTAAATGTATTTGACTCAACAAGAACAAGAGACTCTCTCTGCTATCGACCAAACCTTCTCCTCTCCTCTGGGAGATCTCCAGATTTCTCTCCATCTTCTTCGCGCCTTCGCTTCCTAACCTGGAAAATAAAACTCGATCTCGCCGGCGGCATAAGATCTCCGTTTATCTCTCCGGCAGATCGACTCTTCCAATTTCCGGTTAATTCAACAATCGATTCCTTATTCTTGCTAGATCTTCCTTAGGCCTTAGAAAAAACCCTTACTTGCTCATCGAAACCTCAATTTACCCTTTACATCGTCCAATTCCTTCATCAAAATCTGCATTTATGGCGATTAGGGTTACCTTCACCTACTCCAGCTATGTCGCTAGGAGCATTGCTTCCTCCGCCGGGACTCGTGTCGGCACCGGCGACGTTCGCTCATGCTTCGAATCATGGGTTCGTCCCAGATTCTGCGGCCACAATCAGATACCCGATATTGCTGATAAATCTCCCGGATCCAACATATGCTCAAGCCCTCGTGCTCGACCAGCTTCGATGTATAGCACCATTGCGAGGGAAATCCTCGAAGAAGGAAGCAAGAGTCCACTTGTGTTGGGGATGATCTCTCTCATGAATTTGACAGGAGCTGCTCCACAGCTCTCGGGTATGACCGGTCTCGGGATCTCTCCCTTTAAGACTTCTTCTGTTATCCCGTTCCTTAGGGGTTCCAAGTGGATGCCTTGTAGTATTCCGGCGACGTTATCAACGGATATTGCTGAGGTTGATAGAGGAGGAAAGGTGTGTGATGCTAAAGTGAAGTTGGAGTTGAGTGATAAAGTCTCTAATGCTGGTAACGGTTGGGTTAATAAGCTGTTGAATATCTGCTCGGAAGATGCTAAGGCAGCTTTCACGGCGGTTACTGTTTCTCTCCTTTTCCGATCGGCGTTGGCTGAGCCAAAGTCTATACCTTCAACATCTATGCTTCCTACTCTCGATGTGGGTGATCGTGTTATGGCTGAGAAGGTGAGAATACTGGTTTGTTCTGTTCTTGATTGTGACCGTAGAATGATGTTTGATCTTGAGAGGTTTTAAAAATGATGGCTTTAACCAATTCTGCATTATAGGGACTAAAATTTGTTATGGGAAATGGTCTTAAATGTGTTTGTTTTTACATAAGAACTAGTATGCACATTGATCTTTTAATTGGTGATGTGGCTTAATCTTTTAATTGATTGATCTGCACTAACCATTTTGAACAAATCTGTCTATTTTCTTTGGTGTTGGACAGGTCTCATACCTTTTCAGAAAGCCAGAGGTTTCAGACATAGTTATCTTCAAGGCTCCTCCTATTTTGGTGGTATATATATATATATATATATATATTTCAAATCACTATTTCTGGTTTTTCAAATGTTTCAAAAGTGCTTGATATTCTCCTTTGAATTGTAGGAACATGGTTACAGTTGTGCTGATGTTTTCATAAAAAGGATAGTTGCTAGCGAAGGTGACTGGGTTGAAGTAAGCCCTTACCTCTTATCCACTTGTTGATTGATCCTACTAATCCATTGAAGTCATTACTCACCTTTATCGGTATTACGTCTGTAGTGGCTTCTTGATGACCAGCCTCCTTAAAACAGATCCTTAACCTTTGTATCTGTTGTTGTTATTTACCTGTCTAACCTATCGTTGTTGTATCCTATAGGTTTGTGATGGAAAGCTCTTAGTAAATGACACTGTTCAAGCAGAGGATTTTGTCTTAGAGCCAATTGACTATGAAATGGAACCAATGGTAAGCAAACTTGCACTTCCTTATCTAATGATTTCGATCTAAAAGTTATTACAAGAATGTTGCTAATTTGATCTCTTACTTTTTCCTGTTTATTTGCAGTTTGTCCCTGAAGGTTATGTCTTCGTCCTAGGAGACAACCGCAACAAAAGCTTTGATTCTCATAACTGGTAACCACTTTGGAATATATATAATACATGGTTGTTCTGTCTTAGTTATGGGAACTCTGTTGATTCATGGATGATGTGGTGAATGTAAAACGCAGGGGTCCACTTCCAATAAAGAACATCATAGGGAGATCTGTATTTCGCTATTGGCCACCAAGCAAAGTGTCAGACATCATACACCATGAACAAGTTATCCAAAAGAGAGCTGTTGATGTTTCTTGACCAATGCAGATGGTTCTTAGGATTAAGCAGAAAATTTGATTAGATGAGCTGTGCCATGCCAACCATTTTGGCGCTGAAGGCAACAGAGCAATTCTTTCTTCCTGTCTAGGCTTCTGTGGCGGACATGGAATGCAATGGGAAATCCATTAAAAAAAAAGAACAAGAAATTTGGTATTTTTTGCTTTTGATTTTTTTATGTGTTGAAACCTAAATGCAACCAGTGTAATTGGCAGTCGCTGTCAAACATAAAAGGGTGAACTATCTTTTTGAGTATTATCTAATGTGAAGGATCCTGTAAACGTTCTGTTCTCAAGCTCTGTAGTGTAGTAACGTTGAGAAGTGTCAATTTCTATTTGATATTCTTTGTTCCACGAGTTTCATTTGAACAGAGTTGGTTATGTGGAATTTGCAGGCTATTTTTTTGGCAGATGACAAGTTATCAATAGAGTTTGTATGATTGAGAGTTCTAATGAAAACGGAAGTGATCTTCGCTGTGTTCCGTTTTTCCAATTTAAACCGAATCAAAACTAAAATGCAAGGAATTAAAAAAAAAAAAAAAGGGGAGAGCTCAGGAGTGTGGCGTTACATCTGAGAGATCAGAAGAATGCGAAGGACCCAACCAACGCTGAAGCCAATTTCATCACAGCTCATGCACCAGCCGGGAATCGAACCCGGGTCTGTACCGTGGCAGGGTACTATTCTACCACTAGACCACTGGTGCTTTGGTGAACATCCTTCTATGTATTAAAATAATATACTGATAAACACCAGAAACTTTTTTGACTCTCATCCAAATGGTTTGGTCAAATATGAAATAAGAAAAAAGACAAGTTGGTAAGAAACTAGAATGAGTAGTGTTGATTCATAAAAAAGAGTCTAAAATCAAATATATGTTTTCAGTGTTGATGAATATAGCCACAGCCTTTTGAATACAGAGTTGTAATAATACTAAATCCAAAAAACAAAAAACAAAAGACAAAAAAGCTGCTGTGTATAATAAAATGGATCATCAAAGCTGTTCCCTTTTCTTCCCCTCACTCTCTACTTTCTTCTTTTTTCCATATGGTGTGGAAGGAGGTTGTTGATTTTTCAGTCTCCCCTACTTCTCTGCTATGCATATTTAAAAAAGGGAACAAAAAAAAGAGAAATTAAAAAGTTTTTTTTTTTTGGGACAAATCTGATACAAAGAGAGTTGGTATTATATAAAAAAAAATAGCGATGATCAAAGCTTTAGGCTTGAAAATCTTTATTTGAGTTCCATACAGGAGCCACCGTCTTTTGCTGCACTCCCCCTCCACCATCTGATAACACTCCGCTTCCATTTTCAGCTGCTATTAGCGGATCGTTCTCGCTCTCTTTCATCTGACAAACCCGATTAACCAAATTAAGCAATGTAACAAGTCAATATATATAGATAGACCTGAAGAAGTAGAACAATGCCTATGATACTGATGCTTTCTGATTGCAATCTAATTGCAAAAATCAATGGTACTACAAAAAGGAATATGATTTGAGGGACTCATCTAATTATTTCTTTTATAGGACCTTCTTTTTTATAAATAAGAAACAGAAAGATATTAGCGCGAACCGGGAGATGAAGCTATATACCTGAGGCAACTGAGTTGAGGTTTCGCTTGCCTTCTGCTGAGTCTCAATCGAGCAGTAATAGGAATAAACAACCATTCCAATCACAGCCACCAAAATACCGAGAATGTTGCGCCAGTCGAATGGGTCACGCAGCAACACATAGCCAAATGCTAGAACCAGGCATGTTTTGAGATGTCCCAGAACCTGATATGTGACAGGAGATGTTTTTCCAATGACAAGAAATGTGCTGAAGTTTACAGAGACTGATATGAGGCAGGACAGGACGATGAAGAACTGCAATCAACATAGAAGCACTCGTAAATATGCAGAATCGACATGGAAGCAAGAAGATCAGTAAACAAGTTTGGTAGAATCCCTAGGAGATTGATTGATTCTCACCACTACTTGAGAAGTGTACTTGAAAGCAAACACGTTCTGATTGGTTAGGAGCCCATCTAAAAATGGCCCAGTGACGAAAAGAGTGATTGCTTGATACGGGCAAGACTGATACAGAAGTTGCGTGGATGAAACTTTGAACTTCTTCTGGATGGTATTTGTCATCTGTGTACAATTGGTTAAGATAACAGCATCGGATTGGTTTAAGACAAGATATATAGAAAGGTTGGAAGAATAAAGCAATGAGAAAAGAAAGGCTAGGCATAGGATACAATTTGAGCAACACAAGTTGTGACAACAGCCAGCAGCGACAAGACTGAACCCAGCATATTAAGTTGAAGATCTGTGACGGTTGCAATTCCAACACCAAGGAGAAGGATGGTTAATGAAAACTGGATTTTTCGACTGCAAAGACAAAAATAAGGGTGTCATTAACTAGGCCCTTGACCAGAAACTAGCTAGAGAAAGTCATGAAGCCATGACAATTCATGAGGATGAATTATCAATACAAAGGACATAAGGCTATCACTAAGTTGCTCATCTATTACACAGTATATCAGATTAGAACTTTGGATAAAGTCAACCAGAAATGCATGACCATGAGAAAAGATAGAATTCATGTGAAATAGCTTCCTCCAAATCAATAATCATTCACGTGTTAATGGAAGAGAATTTGAGTGCTAACCTGAACTTTTTCCTGAAGAAGAGGGTCTCCAAGAGAACAGTGCAGGGGATGATTGCTAGTTTTGTCATCTATTATTAAAGGAACAGAAGCTGGGTTAGACGTGAGAAGAACACTAGTTAAAAATGGATATGACATCATGCAGTAGCTGAAATGAAAAAGCTATACCTGGTAAAAACCGACAGAATTAAAGCCCAGGCTGAGGTTCAATAGTCCTATGGATATCCCATTCAATATGCCAAATCCCATCACAGCTCGTGGATCAAAAGGCTTGTGTTCGAACATCTTCATCCATAATGCCACATGAAGGGAACAAAATGTGACCAAAAGATGCCAACTTGTCAAAGTAGTCGCTGTACATAAAAAATAACAAGAGTAAGTACAGATAGCTTATGAGATCAATTGCATAAGATGACATAAAAGCAGTTATGGTGACACAGACATCAAAATGGGATACAATAGCGCTTGCTAAGTATAATACTACATAAGAATCGCCGGTGTATCCTAGAAAAAAATATTGAGTCCCACAGAAAAGAAGAGCTGAGAAGTAAAAAACCACCTCACAAAGTAAGAAGACATTTCCAATCTCTTAGGGACACACATACAACAAATATCATTCAAAGGCACAGGAGCATCTAAATTCTAAAGCAATATGAAACTTTCTTAAAAATATACAATCATGAAGGCAATTTTCGTTATGGAGCATAAGAGACAAAAGAAAGAACCAGCAGACAATTCAGAACATAGTATGAAGTAAAATGATCATTCCTCAATTTCATCAAATAAGCAAGCAGGAAGCAATTAGCATACAAACATACGAATAGATCCAGAGGAAACAATTTCAGCAGCGCAACATGGATAATCAAAGGAGCCTGTAACAATGAAGGAAGAATTGAATAATAGGTTACCGAATGTGAAGCCAAGGGTGCTAATAAGTGCTTTGTTACAGATCACGATGGAGACAGACGACACAACGGACAAACTCAAAGCGCCGATTGTTCCCAACTGGAACTTCTGGCCCTCGCTCATCTTCGCTCTCCTAATTTATCTCTCGCTTCTTCAATCACGATCTACGATGATCTAATCCACCAAAACATATACATGAATCGTAACGGTAGCCAGTAAAACGTGAAGAAAACAAGAGCGATCTGGAGAAAACGAACCTCATTCGTGCTAAACGTAAATGCGAAGCTTAAGGCAGCTCGAGCTGAAGCAAAAATGGAGAATATAGAAACTCGTTAGATAAAAGAGTCGGAGAACGAAGAAGATTTATTGAAAACCAGAAGCCATAAACCCTAGATCTGCCGTTATGAGACAGAGATCAAAGAAATTAGTTGAAGGAAAAATTCAAGAGACGCGAAATGAGAAAACGAGAACATAAGGAAGGAGAAAGAGAGAGAGACTCACAGGAGAATAAGAGAACCAGAGAGAATTCAAAACTTCGACGGAGGAGAAGAGATTCAGATTAAGCCTATTTTCTGCAATTTTGATGGTCTTCACTCACCACCGTACACAGAAAAATAGTGAGAGAGAGAGAGAGAGAGAGGAAGAAGATAGTTTTCGCTTTCTACGTTTGATAGGCCCTACCAGAGAAATTAACCGCGGGATATAATCGTAATTATCAAACAAATAGTAATTCATGATCCACGTTCATATTTGATTTTTTACCGTTGGTTATTTATGTAAGACAGTCACTGTGCAATCAAATCAAAGATCATTTTTGTACTCAATTTTTTTTTTCATTTATTGTTCCAGTGGCCATATATATACCTGTCATTAAGGAGAAAATTGTTCCAATTGGGATTTTATTTGTGGGAGTGTCGATGGTTATTTGAAGTAAGTTTTAATTGATTGATAACTTTCTTTTTTTCTGTATGTTTTTTAGTTATGCTGCTTCTTTTTGGGTAAATCTATACATTGTACATGATAGTTGTTTTCTAATCAATAAATTTCAACCTCATCCAACAGATAAAAACATAATTTAAATGCGTCGACTCAAATCATAACAAAATGAGTTATTTTTGGTGCTTACCACCCAAAAGTATAACCTATCCAATGTGGGGGTATGAAGAAAATTGAGTGGATAAAAATAGAAAAGAAAAAAAAAGGGAAGACCAAGCAAAACTCTTTGTATGTCATTAGCAAAGGCTGGGGTAAAACTTAGAAGTTGACTTGAAAGCCACTGCGTCTGCGATGACCTGCACCGCCTTTTGATCTGTTTGAGTTTCTTTCATATTGGTATCGCATCCCCAAACCCTTACCGCAAGCCTACGGCATTTGGGTGACGATTCTCTGAAATAGGTTTTGTACCAACTGATCACATCTTTCTTCTGTATGCTTCTTAGTTCTTCTGCTTCTTTGTGGGAGAAATCAAACATGTACCTGTGGGAGAGTTAACTTCATTAGCCAGTGACCGATATGGATATGGATCGAAGTAACTCATTGAAGTTCTATGTGAAACTACAGATCACATAACTTCAAACCCTTGAGATCCTTACCTTTTGTCAACAATCTGACTCCATAATTCATTTGTCTCAGACAAGAGAGAGGGATCCTTTTCCAGCAATCTAGCAATCATACCACTTCGGTAATCTTCATAAGATTCATCATCGAGTTGTTCCTGCAATTACAGCCCAACTAACATTTGTAAAACGAGGTCACGATTTAACAAAAATCGATATTTTCTTTTTTGATTACAAACTTACCAGAAGCCCTTCGATATCTTTTATGAAATTGTCGACTCTCCCAAGCAAATGAACTGGACCGTACTTGGAAGATTGAACACAGAAACAGAAACCGTGGACACGATACGTTAAGCGAGGGCCACACTCGACAACATAACCAAGCTGCTCCTTTGTCCTATATCCAAAATCACATATATATGACTATACATAAATATGATATGATTTAAACATACTAGTTAAACATGCGATGACTAACCTCAACTGATTGAACAATGGCTCTTCTATGATTTCATGAAAGAGATCCAGCACAGCTTTCATTCTTGTTGATTGAGCTTCTTCAGGCTCAATTTGATAGTAAAGCTGCAGATCAGATTCAGGTTCAAATTCAAAACCATGATTATACCCGAGGAAAGTACTATGTTTTCTTCTTGGCTGACTCTTATCACAAGAAAATACTGTTTCTTTTTTACCTCGACTACTGAGTTTGTTTCAGATTTGTTCTTCACATCGACATCTCTTACAAGTTTGGCACCCAGAGGGAAACATGTTATCTGTTCTCCATGTCTACATTTGCTTGGGAGTGGTTGAACCGTCAAACTGTTTTTGAATATGTTTGATATGTTCACTGCTTCGTCTTCGGACAAATTACCATGACACAGAGCCTCAATAAATATCTGAAAACATAACAGAAGTATTACATAACCTTTGCCCAATTTAAACAAAACCAGAGAACAATCACAAAGTCTGTGTATTAAGTAAAACAGGAATCACACTGATGCAGAATGTTACCTGAGAACGGAGGTCAGGAATAAACCTGTTGAGATCATCGAGAGACAAATCATTTAGTACAGACAACTTTTCGTCGCTGTCATAGATTCGTTTACACAAGAGTTGCAGTCTCAAGTATGTGGAATGGTTCAAAGGCTTCATATTAGTATTTCTAAACCCTCTCTCCATGTTTTCTTTGATAACCTACAAGGTTAGAAAGAAAAAGTAGTTAAATCAAGAAAGGCGAAGGATAAGAAAATGACACAAAACTTGAAACATAAGATTAAATGAAAATAAAAAGTATGACAATTATACATGCAAATTTCACATACCTTAAATCGCTCCAGGTTTGGCATGAAGGATTTGGCTATGGCTAAGATTTTTGATAGAAGAGCTGGAATTTTCTCATTAAAGCCATACACTTTAAGCTCTAGCTTGTCACCATACATAGATAAAGAAGTTTCAAGTTTTGCTATACTGGCCTGCAAAAAGTCAGATATTAATGTCAATACAAAAACAAAAAGATCTAAGAAGATTTTCCTAAAAATTAGTTACTTGCCTGGTAGATGATCTCATTTAGCTCATCTTTTAGAAGGTTAATAAATAATTCTGTCAAAAGGCAGTTCTTCACACTGGCATATGCCCCCTTCAAATTTATGCGGAAGTATGTATTTGCACGAGGAACCTTAAAAGTTTCGTCAAGCTTGTACCAGAATTTCATGAACGGTTCGTCAATTATACATCTAGGAGGAGACTGACTTTTGGGATCCACATCAGAATTAATGGCTCGGATTGAAAAATCACAAGGGATGAATTGGTTTTTCGAGGGGAGATGCAAAGAGTTATCTACTTCTGAAGGATTGCTCCATGATTCCATCAAAGACAATGGAACATCTTCCTCTATGTAACTAGAACCGAACCAAGGTTCTTGTTGGAACTCTGAAACAAGCAAAATTTCAAAAGAAGAATACTAAGAATATTAATTTGTATTCAAAAGTTACATACTCGATGATTCTTTAAAATACCTTCCGACTTGATGGATTTCGAAACAACATCAATCCTCATGTTCTGAGGTGTGAAAAAACCCATAAGATCTTCTATCAATTTTGGATCCCATGTCTGGTATACATAATCACCATAAATAACGTGCTCCACCGGATAAGCAAGCATATTCTCTGTACAATTAACACTTTCAATGATTAACTAAGAAACCCATGATGAAGACTTTGCATTACATGTACACATCAATGCATAATAGGTTCTGAAAATATTTAGGCTTTACATGCCAACATAATAAGTTCACCACTATTAGCACCTTAATAGAGTCACTCAAAAATAACTAGACAAATAACTATATAAGCACAAACCTGAGAGCTCAGCGGCATAATCATCCGCCGGCTGCTCCTCAGCAAATCTAAAGTCCATGTTCCCAATATCTTGGAGTTCCTTGAATATCCATTCTTGTGGTGACACATCACGCAATAACTTGAGATATTGATAGATGTAACCAATGATGTCATAAATCTGTTAACAAAAGTTGTCATAAGGTCAACATGGGAAATTGTAACATAACAAAAGCAAATAGGGCAAGAACGAGACTACTGTATATGCAGCTAGTAACAGGTTATGTCAGCTTGTCAACCAAAATAAGAAACAAGTATATATATTACTTCATAATTCAGAGACAAAGGAATTGAAAATGATTAATTATGCCCTGCGTCAAACTTACTTAGGGAAAATTCAGTATAAAGTATCTGACAAGTTACCTTCTCTAAACCAGAGTCAGTGAGATGTATGGACATGCCGAATACATAGGCTAGAGACGAGCGGTTAATTCCATCATCCCCAACACCAGCAGACAGTGAGGTTGCCCAACCCTTAGCTTTGAGGAATGAATGCAGACTTCCTCTACCCTCTAAAAAACACAATGTTACAAACAACATTCCTCAATAAGGACATGCACAAGCAGGCTTAAAGAAAACTCTATATAAAAGATAGAATTGATGTGATTTCTCACCATGTCCTAATAGATGTGCTAGATAGTCTTCCGGCTTCTTCACATAGGCATAGCGAAGAGGAGGGAGAGTCCATGTCAAATCAAGTATATGAACATCTTTAACCGCTTCTAGGCGATATAATTTACCACCTTTCCAAATAGGACCTTCTGCCTCCAGAGTTGGCCTGATTTTGGATCCGTTTTTGACATCACCAAATAGTTCTACAACCCAACTTTCAAGCATGTCGAGAGATTCTGCAAGATTTTAAAGCTAAACATTAAACTCAAACAGTAATACAAGCCAATATTTAGAATTGTACATAAAGACTTTTCAAGAATCACAGCCAGACACATCATACACCTAGAGAATTTTACCTCCCCCAATGACAACGAGCTTCATCAGTCCACCATGGTAATATTCCTTGTATAATTTCACAATACATTCCCGTAGATCAACCCCATTTTCCATTGCACCACTTAAGCTCTTCTTGTTACCTTCCAGAGCACATGAAGGACATATTAACAATAAATCATCTCATGAATATCTTAAATGTGGCAAGAAAGGTACACCGAGATATCCTTACCCCATGCAAACCTATTAAAAGGATGACCCTTTGCAGACGTATAGCACTGAAGTTGTTGCAGGCGACATGCATCATTTTGGAGGGCCTGGTTAAATTCTACAAATTTGAACCTTGTTAGCAAGCACTTTTAAATATATAGAAAGGTTTATATATCTGAATGTTGATTGAGATGGATCTTTTGATAATTTCGAACAAAGAAATAAGGGTATGAAACAAGCAAGATAAACCTGAATCAACGGCAAGGACTTCTCGTTCCATAGCTTCAGTCTTCATGAGCGGTGCAACAAAAAACTGAGAGAATCTAATAACAAGAAAACAGTTCTAAGGTCAAATAAGCGATCTGAAGAACACAAATGAAAAGGAAAAGATTAAACCTAACAGAAAGCTCAAACGTTAAGTAGAACTATCCATCTCCCTTTACAATGATAACAAACTCTAGGCATGCATACCGACATATATATCGCCTGCCTTGGTAAAATTACAGCAAATGACATTTATATCGATAAGTGAAGTGGCAGCTCAAGCAATATTTGTACCTTTTCAAGGCCCCTTGAAGAAATTCTCTCTTGACTTCGAAGTGATAGCATGTATGCTCCATTTCTGTGTACGCGTTAGAGGATCCACCATGCTTAGACAAGTAACTATCATACTGCAAGAAGTCAAAACCGGAAGAATTCAAAGATACATCATGCTAACAAAACGAAGTCCATATTAAACGTTGAAAAGATATAACCATAATCCATTATATCCAAGCTCCGAAAAGATATACTGATATATCTAATCATGCTAACTGGGTTAGTTTCTTGATTCAAAGATAAAAAATTATGAAGTCAGCAGAATATTACTTTCCATATGAAAATCTATAAATAGTGCCAAACCATTGGAACCATAGAAAATAATGCAATGCTTACTTCATTCTCATCGGGGAACTCAGTGCTACCCATAAAAAGCATGTGTTCTGCACAAAACATAAACATGAGAGTGATTGAATTAGTTAAAAAAATCAGAAGAAGTGCATTCAAACTGTAGTTCAAACTCATAGAAAGATGAAAATACCAAGAAAGTGAGCCAGGCCTTGTGCCTCCGGAGGATCCAAGAAGCTTCCCATTGAAACACACATAGCTGCAGCAGCCTGAGACGCACAACACAAAACATACGAGTTCAAAAATCAAAATTTGACACAACAAGAAAACAGCTGATATAGCTTTAAACTGAAAACCTTTTTGGTCTGATGATCCCCTTTCCCTTTCACTTCATCTTCATCCTCATCCTCATCATCTTCTTCATCTCCTTCCCCTTCTTCATCATCTTCTTCATCATCATCTTCATCATCATCTTCGTCACTATCTTCTTCATCTTCTTCTCCGTCCTCGTCATCTTCATCGATTTGATCCGGAACAGAGCCTTCGGGATAAATATCTGGATCGTGAATAAGCAGAGCACACAATCCATTCTCCAATTCAATCACTCTGTATAACCTCCGATCGTTCGGTGACTTCACCACTACATTGTCCAAAGCCGAGACGGATTTCATTGAAGACATTGTTCTCGTTCTGAGACGAAGATATCGACTGGTGAACAAGTTGTGCTGCTGCAGCTTCCTCTCCTTAGGTCTTGCTTCTCTGTACCCAATGAATCCGATTCCGCCGGTACTGCCTTCTTCTGATTTTTCGTTTATTAAAAAAAAAAGGAAAAAGTTAGAAGCAGTGAAAACCTTGCCGTTTTATCCCTAGGGATATTGAATTGCCGTTTTTAATAGTTGATAAAACGACACGCGTTGTTATTTTGAGAGATGGAAACGGCAAAAGGTTATGGTTCTTTCTTCCATCGCTTCGTTTTCGACTCTGAAATCGGAAGAGAATCGAAAACTGAAAAATTGGAAATTTTGAAGTGTTACAAACCTAATTGACCTTTCCTGAGTAACCCAATTCGAGAGACGGAATCGGCGAGAGAGAAAGTAAGCCCTAACATTGCTTGGTTGATTTAGCAACTATGGCACTGTCGCAGTGGAAGGAAGCTATACTCGAAGGGATTTTCATGGAGATTGAGGATGGTGTTGTGGACGATAAGAATCTCGAGCGGTTTGAGAATCTAGTGGAGATTCTACACAAAGAAGGTTCTAAGGTACCCGAATCAGTCACGGAAGCTTATTGTAAAGTAGCTGTGGAGTGCACAGTGAAGTGTCTCGCTTATGAGAAAGATGCAAAAAAGGCTTATGCTGAAGCAATCAGATCGATATGGCTGGGTAGGATTATGCCTTTATGCGATAAGGTTAGTTGTTTGGTTACTCTTGACCTCTTGAAATGCTGTCGAAGATTATGGAAGGCCCACAATGACGACAAGGCTTGTAAGACACTGATGGATGAAGCTACGAGAGACAAAGCTTTGGTTTCTTTGATGAAGGTTGTTTTAGATTTGAATCCCAAACTTGTTTTAGAGAATCCCAACATGGATGAATCGGAGGAGATTGAATCTAGTGAAGAATCTGAAGAGACAGAGTCAATGGTTGAAGCAAGAGAGGGGGTGGTTAATCAGAACAGTAAGGCATCTGAAGCTATGGAAGACAAACAAGGTCTACACTTTCTCAACTTTGTTTCATTCATCTCTATTAACTTTGTTACGATGTGATTGTGCTTTTGTGGATACTGAAAGGGTCTGATGCATTCCTTTTGTTGTAGAGAGCCTCTTAGATACTGAACTGGAGAGACCTATTTCTGGAGGGTCAAAAGCTGTATATGTACCCCGTCAATTCAAGCCCATTTCATCTGCAGTTGTTGACAGAGCTCTCAGAGAGCTTAGAGCTAGTAAAATCGAGCTAATGAATGCTTTAGAAAAAGGACGACCTTCAAATTTAAACAATGAGACGATTACAGAACAAAAAAATGATGTTGCTAATCCTTCTGCAACAAACGCTTCACCAAGGCCTAGCTTGATGGAGCGACGTAGTACAGCACACACTTATGAAGTATATTTGCTTCTTTATTTTAGTTGTTTCACCATATCATTTATGTTTTTTTGCTTCGGTCTTCCTGTGTTTAAATAGCTAGGTCGATGGAACACCCAAAACACACATATTACCAAGTTTTCCAACCACTATCTGATTCATTTTTTGATCTTTTCCTATTATTTCATATTGTTTGACCAGCCCACTGAACTCGGTGGGAAATTCGTATTGTGTAGGACTCTTTGAATCGATTTCTTTGCATGTTCGGTTCGGGAGCTATAGCTGAGTTAATATAACGTGCTTTTCATGCAACAGTATAATGTAGAACTTGTTTGTTCATATGAGTTTGTTTTTCACTTTTTTTTTCTTTGTTTGATTAGTGGAAAGACTCCCTTGATGATTCAGATGGAGAAATGGGTGATGATGGTGAGAGGATTAATAAATCAAAACGTAAAAGAATTGCCGTGTCTCCTTTGAAAAGAAACCGAAGTTTAGAAGGTGCTAGAAGGACAAAAATTCCTTGGAGTACTGCAGAAACGCTGGCTGTACTGAAAGGCTATGAAAAGTACTTCAAACCTGAAAATTCTCTTAGATGTTAGAACAATATCTTTCATGCATATCTATTGTTTTGATGCATTCTTTTGTGATTCAGGTATGGTGCAAACTGGAAGCGGATTAAAGATGAGAATCCAATTCTAGTGCGCAGAACTAATGTACACAGCTTCACTTATCTTTCTGTTCTTTACTCATTTCTCCTAGAGTTAATTTATCGCGTGTCTAATGCTAGATACATTATCTCACAGGGTGATATTAAAGATAAATTTCGAGTTGAGATGAGGCGGGAAGAGCGCCATCATTGAGTAGGTGAGTTAAACATATACATAGTCTATAGGGTACAATCGTCAGCCTGGTGACCTTTAGAAGAGAAAAACAATAAAATACTGCTGCATTAGTTTCTCATTTCCCCGAAACTAAAGTGCGTAGGGTAGGGGAGGGGGAATGATATGAACCCTCACAAACAGTGAGCCAAGTTCTTATAAGCCAATAGTTCTACTTATTTCACAAGTTAGCTTTGAAGGTAAACTCTACCTGTGGAACTATGAGCGTATGTATAGTGCTGCTTAATACAGAATATATAAAATACTATGAATGTTGCTATTTTACATGTAAATAGTCATGCTATAAAAGGGACAATTTGAATATGCTGGAATGATGGATTTTATGATTTCTATGATAAGTTTATGAGTAAACAAATCTAGGTTCACCCATTTATGGCAATCGAACTTTTTAATGGGTTAGTTGAGCTTATTAGGAGAGTTGGTGTTCTAATAGCTGATTATCTTTTGTCTTTATTTTCAGCATGAAAAATTGAAAATCATAATTGTATCTCATTGTTTTTACTCCTTCAATTTTCCATTCTTTGCTTATAGGTATTGGAGTACTGGAGTAGGCATCAGACCTTTTTGTGAGTAGGCGAGTAACAACTGCTGAACAATGACGTATTGTGGCATCTATGGAAAGTAAAAAACTGGGTAACATTTTGTAGCCTTTTGTCTTTTAAGACCCGTAGAATCTCGTCTATGATGATGATTGTCTAGTGAATCGTTTTGTGAAGTAAACTAGGTGCCTTAACCAATCCAAGAGCACTTCATTTTGGTTTATAAGATTCCTAGTACAGTTGTTACTGTCTTGGTTAAACCTAACAAGCAACATTCTTATCCGAAACAAGCAGTAGCACCGATGTAAAAGACAGATTAACGGGATGCAGATATCTTGGATCCAAATTGAGTTTGGTGTTTCATTAAATGTTTATATGTTTGTAGCTGATCAATTCCCAAGAAATGTCTGTCCATACCGTACTAAGTACTAACAGTATAAATGGATGGTAGAGGTAGGAGATGGGCATTGGGAAACAGCAGCAAAACAGTGGTCCTCATCTTTTCTTCTTCTTCTTCATCACAACAACAAAGAGTCTTTAGGTTCTTAAAACTCTCTCTCTGCTTTTCCTCTTTAATCATATACTCTTCTGTGTCAGTGTTTCTTTCTCTCTCTCTCTCTAGCGATTTATGTTCTTCAGGCTCCATTTTCATGTTTCCTGCTTCATTATTCATTAGGACTGGAACCCATTTCTACTCCGTACTTGATGGGTTTCTGACTTGTCTCCGTGTGGCTTCTTGTCACTACACTTTTGGCCTTTTGTTGACTGTTTTTTTTTTTTTTTCTTGGGCTATTGTGTGATTTGACCTTTTCGCTCTTGTAACCTAAGTCGTTACTATGACTAAACTTGATCAAATCCTAATCTAATCCAAAGTTTAATCTGACTACAAATCTACAATTATTGCTGAGCCTTTGTTTTATTTCGATCCTCAAGCTATTGTATATCGCTTAACTGAAAATGAAGAAACGCACCATTTTTACCTACATCAAAATTGAAAGACTTCTTCTGATTATCACTACATGAAACTAGAACAGAAAACTCTTCGAACTTGTATAAATATGTTCTATATTGTTTCGAAATATATCACATAATTGTTAGGGTTTTGTAGCTATGATTTGGATATCTCAGGCCAGAAAAGTATGGTTTTTATAATGCTCAATTGCTGAATAAGTATGTTTTATTATCTCCACAAATCATAACCATATACAAAAAGAAAGCGAGTGCTCCATCTGTCTTTATCACGTTATACAGACAAAACACAAAACTGGTCTTGCATAGAAAATCTCCACAGCTACATCAAACTCTTTAAAAGAAGTACAATTTACCAGAGATTTAAAGCTTTTGATCATAGTTTACAACTTCAAGCCAGACTTGAACGAAAACCTTGATGATAAGATTATGATACTCCTTGGCATTCAAGGTAAGGTAACATGCTAGAAGATCCTCCATGTCTTTAGAGGTTCTGATGTTGCTCTCTGCTATCATCTCCACCATTGATTCTCTGAAATCCTTCTTTGGATCAAGAGAACTCTTGATTACTGCAAAACTGTCAAGAACTTGTTTGTTCTGTGATCTCGATTTGCTTCTACGAGGTGAGACTTGAATTCTTGGAGAACTCACTCTGAGTTTTATCCTTGTAGATTTAGCTGATGATCTTCTTCCAACGGAAACTAATGTTTTCTGATGTTTCTTCTGGATTCGACATGCATCTTCCTCTTGATATTCTTTCTCTTTATTGACCTTCACAGATAGATGATGAGTTAGAAGTGTTTCCTTGGTTCGGTTACTTGCAGGACAGGCTTTCTCCGTTGAATCAAACTTATTGATCTCTTTGAACATTTTCTTCTTGAAATCTCTGTTATTCATGTCGATGATGATATCATCTTCAGAAGAACTGTATTTCAAGTAGGAAGAGGCAGAGAAAGAATCTTGGTTTCGATGAAATTTGATCTTCTTTTTGTTAAAACCTGCAGACACAGAAGAAGTGGAAGGAGGAGAAGGCTTGTAAACAGTCTTTCTTTTGCTCTGTATCTTGTGAGGAGAGTTTCTTGGTGAAATTTGAAGGATCTTAGAGTCAAAGGAAGTGTGTGACCTATTGGAGAAGTAAGAGGTTGAAGAGTGACGAAGAGACTTAGACTCAGAGGAAGGTTTTCTCTTCTTGGTAGTGTTTAAGTAGTAAGAAGGAAGAGGATGTTTATTTCTAGGTCTGGTCATGTTTTTGAGCTTGTGGAACCAGCGACTTGGGATCATAGCTGACAATCTGAACTTATAATTCCTCATCTCTGTTTCAAAAAATAAGTGATCTTCTCATAGAAAAGAGAAAAAAAATCTGTAGAGGCAGAGTTTCTATGTCACAGATAAAAGAGAGAAAGTGAAGAATTGGGATGTAAAGGGACTAGAGTCACTAGACAGAACAAAAATGGGATCCACTTCGTAGAATGTCTTTGTTCGTACCAAAACATTCCGGTTTCTCTCCCTAACCGATTTAACCAAGTTAAACCAATTCAAATTGAAATAATATATCCTATCTAAACCGGTGTAACCTAAATAATCGAGAATTTAGATGTTTTATCATAATTGAAAAATTGAGCAACAAAGTGTCCTCAAAATTTGTCAGTACGTAGTAAGGTCGATTGGGGTATTAATTAGACTAAATAGAATATTTCTGGTAAGTTGCTTCCAAAACATGATCCGGCGGACGTGACAAAGGGTTTCAACAAAAGAGGTTAAACAAGATTTCAGGTTCATGTCCAATCTCTTAATTTAGCCACAATCATAGTATATAACAATAATGGTGTAGAAGATACTGTAGAGAATAATAAAAGACATACTTGCATAAAACTCGGCGTGTAAATAGTTCGTCTCCTTTTCACCAATTAGCTTGTGGTCTCCCTACCTCACACGTGTGTGTTTGTCCCAAGCTTTTTTTTGGGTCAACGACTCATATTTGATGTTAGGGCTTGACAAAAGAGTTGGGACAGTCACAGCCTAACGACTAGATGTCTAGATCCAGTTTAAAGGTTTTAAATTCCCAGTAAACACCGATATATATCTACCAAATTAAATTAGCCAAAAACATGACAAATTAAGGCTAAATAAAGTTCATGGGACTCCACCATCACGACTTAGCTTCAAAGGCAAAGACGTGAACCCCACGTAACACGAACCACCCTCCCAAAACTGACATCATACCACAACAACAAAAATAAATCAGAGTTGGAACGATTGAGAATGAGACTGAAGTCAAGTTTGATTAGCTTGAAATCAAAGCTTTCAAAATCATGCAACAGATTCATCTCCTTCTTCCATGCTCGTTTTCACAATAATGTCAATACCACCACACAATCTTCTTCTTCTAGTTTGTTGTCTCGTCTCTGTTTTCTCAGTTCTGATAAGGAGCAGAGGATGAGCCAGATCAGACCCAGAAGTTCACCGTGTAACAACAATTTCTTTTCTTTAATTTGTAACTATATATATTTTCGATTTTGTACACCTTTGATCTAAATTTTGATGAATCTACAATGCCAATGCAGCTAGTCTGATCGATGATTCCAAGCTTCTGCAATCAAGAAAGATGTTTCCTTTGGCTATGAAGCAAAGGAACAAGAAAGCGAGGACGAGTCAAAGACATATACTGAAGGAAGACGGTGTGAAAGAGGCTTGCAGAAACTTCGAGAACTACATGATCCATATGATCGTTGAAGATGGGAAATTAGATGACTTGATGGACATGGAAGAGCTTCTCTATTATTGGAAGCATCTTAATAGTCCTATCTTCATTGATCTGGTGACTAGATTCTATGGAGAGCTCTGCACTGACCTGTTTCCAAGCGACAATGACGGTTAAAGATGATTGAAATGGGTTTAATATATGTTAACACAGAGTATCTTTCTCTGTGTTCTGTTTTTTTTTTTGTAAGTTATGCAACTTCAAGTGACATGAACTTGATTTTACAACAAGTAATAACGGAAAGATTATTTGACACTCACACAACTGCAATGTCTTGTTTCATGTTTGTCAGTGCGTTTAAAAGCTCTTCCTCGTTAGTTGTCTCCACGTCAAGCCACATCATTTCTACGTACGAATCTAAATGGAGGTGCATTGTTGTAGAATCCAGTCACCACTAGAACATCCCCCACTACGACTATAGAAATCTCAAGGTTTTCAGATAAATATTAAAACAGGCCTTTGGTTGCTTCGTCACTCACCATGGTAGAAGCATTCTCCGGAAAATAATCAAGGAGGGGAGCCTGCTTCAAGAGCCTCCTCGTCGTCATAGGGGCTACACCAGGTACGAAGCTGCTTGAAAAACCAAAAGCACATCCAGTGGAAAAAAGAGATAACATGGGGTCAAATTAAAACTACAAGTGAGAAAGGGGAAAGAGCAAAGACTTAGAGAGACTCTCTCTAATTAGGAAGGGAATAAGGATGAAAATACTAACTGTCGGCGACGTGATGAAGAGAGACTCCAGTGGCTTCAAGGATGTCACGAGGGACCTCTGATAGTACGCCAACGGCAGTGATTGTGATAGGACCAGAGTAGCCTAACTTCCTCAATTTACGTTTAATACACGGAACCACCCGACGAGCATCATAGCCATCGGGAACCAGACATCCCTTTATGTCCCAATAGACCGATATTGTGGCCACAGCTGCCTCCTTCGTAGGAGGGGGCTCCATCATTAAACCTAAGAAAGAAAACAAATCAAATACAAAACTGGGTCGAGAGAGATAGAGAGGAACACGGCCTCTAATCGTTTTGATCGCAGTTACAACTTTTCAGATATCAGCCGATGAATTTTCTAAGAAACATGAGAGATAAGCAGAGTTGGTTTGGTTTCGAATGGGCTTCGTTTAACGGGCCTAGAGTGTATGACTCGGCCTCTCCCGTGCACCAATCCTAGTGTATTTATCTTTTAAGTTATTTTTTTATTATTTTGTCTAATGATCGTTTTTTTAATCCCTTTCCAATGGTGCTTTAGATATACTGTATATTAATCATAAGATGTTACGAAAAAAAAAATACTGTATATTAATAAAATGGAAAATTCCCAAAATAAAAACTGAACTAATTTTTATTTGTACGTTTAAAACCCAATACTTTTGGATTAGAATAAAAATACCTCATCTAATTATTTGTCGTCTTAAAATACCTCATATATAAACTATTGGTAGAATCGTACACACCGCAAGTCCAAAAGGCAGTTCACAAGTTTCACTACAATTATCCTCCTCAATTGCGTCAGGATCTGTGAAACCAAAAAAACAATATAGTAACGAGTTCAGCAACATAATTCATTCAACAAGAGAGAGAGAGATAAGGAGAAAAACACACCTGCCAGAAAAAAGTTTTTCCTAAGGCACTTTGCATTAGTTTCTTGAGGAGAATCGGCTTCTTCAAGAATAAAAGATGAAATATGGTTGTATCCATTCTCACTTAGAGAGCTAAGAATAAAAGAGGCCTCTAGTGTGCGAGATACGACCATCATATTCGCTGGAGTTGGACTGTCAAAATAATCTTTGGTACCTGTTTCAAAAACAACTAAAGACTTAAGAGACTCTCAAATCATCCCCCATTACTCTAAGAAGGAAATAATGATGGAGAAGATATTAACCGTGTAGGGGCATTATAAAGAGAGATCCATGTGGAAGAGACCGCTTTAACGATGTCAAGAGAATTCTCTTCATCCTCTGGCGCACTAAATCTAAAGGAAATTGCATTTTTTTTTTATATAAGTATATGCATATTAAAGACAAAAGATAACAACATAGTGACAAACATCAAAAAAGAATGATATCTGATGGGCACTCTCTACATGCAGCATTTTGTTAGCCTCTTCTGGCCTTTGTAAATTGTGACATTCTTAGAATGACTGAGGCAGTCGATTCGGTAAAAAGCCAAACACTTATTAGGAATGGTTGTTTACATTGACTTCTAACACATTCTCATAGTTTAGTTGAAGTTATGAAGTATACAAAAGATTGTGAAATTTATGTATTATATAATAAAGGGACTTATAATTGAACAGGATAACACTCTCAGAGGCTTCCAAGAACCAGAGCCCGGCCAGAAGCATCACACTCGAGATTCTACAATATTTTATCAAATTGCCTCTTACTCATTCAAAACTATATAATATAATAAGATCAGAAACAATTCAAAACTTTTGAATCTGAATCTAATCTTAGTTCACCCAATAAAGTAAGAAAAAAAAAAGAAGAAGTCAAGTCTCTTTCTTTTCATAGTTCTCTTATAGTTGAGCAAACCCGGAAACAAAAGTCACTTCCTCACAACAGTGTCCAATGCCTCAACTGGATCGTTCTAGGGTTTCCACGACCAAACTGATCCTCTCTGTGGTCGCTGACAATGACTACTACGGTGGATCATCGGCCGCCGTTCCCTTCAAATGGGAATCTCAGCCTGGAACTCCAAGACGACTCTCCAAACGATCCTCCTCTTCCGGCTTCGATTCTGATTCTGATTTCAATTCTCCGGTTTCAGCACCACTCACACCACCTCCTTCTTACTTCTACGCTTCTCCATCCTCTACTAAACCCGTAAACCCTAGGAAAACCAACACTCTCTTTGGTTCCTTGCTTCCCAAGAATCGTAGTGTTCCTTCGTCTCCGGCTTCTTCTTCGTCATCCTCGTCTTCGGTTCCATCTTCTCCACTGAGGACATCTGATTTAAGTAGAAGGAGGAACAGAAGAAGATCAATGTGGTTTGAATCTGCTTCGAGTTTAGACTATGGATCCAATCATTATAATAATGCTAAATCTTCTGGATGTTACGCTTCCATTGTCAAGGTGTTGCTCAGATCATGTTAAATGATTCTGCTTTTTATTCTTCTAATTTGTTATTAATTTCACTTTTTGTAATCTCGGAAAACTATGTTTCATCGATTCATATCATCATCTCCATGAATCAATTGATTGGATCATATGCTTCTATCAAACTCTTTATCTTCGATTTATACGTGCTTTTGTATAATGAGACATTCGCCAAAAAAACAGAACATACTATAATGAGATCAGATCTATTATACATGTTCAGTAATTAGTATTGCTCTACTTTTGTGCAGTCATGTGAGACCACAATAGAATAACAGTTAACTTTCACTAATATTCAAATCATTTCATTATAAAAATTTCTCAATCATTGAATTAATTGTTATTCTATCTTTTAGGCTCATTATACGGAAACACCCGTCACGTGATACCACATGTGCACATTCTGATATAGAGTTGGACATAGACTGGCAACAAGCCTATAGCTGAAGTCATAAATAATTAGTACAAGAAATAAAAAAGTTGAATGTGTAAACCAAACTAATTCACATGGATTATTATTATTCTATACGATTTTTCAATGCAATATGTTAAAATGATTTACACTGCTCGTGTGCGGGATTTTAATTAGTACGCTGAGTGCCGATGAAATATTCTCTACGACTACTTTTCTCGTATGCTCTCTAAACAGGTCTTCGATCAGCAAGATGTGAGGGAGAAGAAGTACAACCAGAGATAGCAGGAAGTCAATGCCACAAAGAAATAGAGTACCTCATCAGAGAGCTTGAATGATAGTTGTGCTTTTCTAAGGTCCACAAGGTTTTCTACGTTAATATCTGCAAGAACATGTTTAGAAACATAACCATGTAAGTTTCCATGCATTAAGCTGACGAAAAAGCTAAGCCATATCATTTTTTTGTTGTCAGAAAGCCATATCTAATATCAGTGTTAAATGACAAGAACCATAAATCAGGAGAATTAGGGATTTTACATCTTCTAATTGGGGTTAACAGATTAACAGATTAGGGATCTGTGGCGCTCCATTAACAGATTCTCTGTATATGGTTTTAGCCTTCAAGCTTCGTTCGTCTATGGTGTTTTACATCTTTTAATTGGGGTTAAATGTCGTGGGTTAAGAGGTAAAGGTCAGAACCGGTTCAATTTAAGATAACCCGAGGATTGATTTGGTTTGATAAACTAATGGTAACACATGGTTAAACTTTCAAGTCGGTTTAGTCTACCAAACCACTTCAATTAAACCATGTATCAACCTGATAGGTTTGTAAAATGGTTCATCCTATTCCATCTAGTCATCTTCTTCGTGAAAACCCGCTGGTCTCGAAGAGTTTTCGCCTGAACACAAGAGGCGCTCGCCTTGACCGCCTCGTGCATCGGCCATGAGCGCGCGCATCATAGATCTCGCCTTGCCTCCATGTCTTGTTGGCCTCTTCTTCGAGGCTCGGTGCGCTATGCGCCATTGCGCGCCAGTAGCGCGCTTTTAAAACCAAGCTGGTCGGGTTCGTCGGGTTCATAAGAATGCCAGAGCGGAAACTGCTTGAAAACCAAAAGCACATCCAGTGGAAAAAGATGACATGTGCGTCAAAATTAGGCAAACAAAACTACAAGTGAGAAAGGGAAATAAACTACTTTGGGTAAGAGCTAAGAGCTTGTTATAGTTAGACAATGACCAAACTTTGCTAGGGATGCTTAATTACCTCGAGTTTATGTTTTTGAGTAGAGAGATGCGTGATGAAATCTTGAAAGCCTCTGCCAGGAATATCATCATCGCACACACCGCAGACCCAGGACTGACCCGTTTTAGTGCACTTATCCTCTTCAAGTGGCCATGTATCTGTGAAACAAAAAAAAGAACAGAAGTCATTCAACAAGACAGTGAGAGATGAGGAGAAAGAAACACACACCTGCCAGAAGAAAGTTTTCCCAGAGGTCCTTTGCATCATCTTCTGGATGAGAATAGGCGAGTGGAAAGGGGGAAATGGTGTTGTATCCTCTCTTACTTAGAGAGTCAAGAATGACAGCGGCCTCTGGTAGACGGGATATGACCATCAGATTACCTGGAGGTGGAAAATCGTAACGAGACCACAAGGCAAGCCTTGCCACGTCTTTGGTACCTGTTTAAGAAACAACTAAAGACTTAAGAATCTCCAATCATCCCTCATTACTCTAAGAAGGGAATAAGGATGGAGAAGATACTAACCGTAGGGGGCGTTATAAAGAGAGATTCCCGAGGAAAGGAGCGCTTCAAGGGCGCGTTCAGGGACACCATCTAGTATGCCAACGGCAGTGATGGTGATAGGACCATTGTAGCCGAACTGCCTCAACTTCCGTTCAATAATCTGACCCACACGACTAGCATCATAGCCATCGGGAAGCGGACACATCTTCATGTCCCAATAGACCAATATAGCAGCCTCAGCTGCCTCAGTTGTAGTAGGAGGCTCCATCATTCAACTATTCAAGACTTGAAACCATTTAAGAAAAAAAAATCATAAACTTGCTCTTCAATCTAGAACGGGAATGAAACATCAGATAAGCATTCGGAAAAATACATTAGGGTTTACCTCAGAGATTAGCAGAGTTGGTTTGATCTTGACCTCGATATCGATTAGGGTTTCGAAATCCCTGTTTGAAAGAGAAGACGATAGAAATATATAGCGTTGATAATGGGCTTCGCTTTGATGGGCCTACAGTTTGTATATAAACCAGCCTTTCCCGTGCACTATCTTTTTTTTTCTTGTTTTCTTTTTCTGAAAAAAGTAAAATCAAAAAGCCGATTTCTACAAACTGTAGGCCCATCAAAGCAAAGCCCATGTCTAGAACCAGTACTTAACAAGGTGACGTGTCATCATTTGATTGGGTGAATTAATTTTACGTCTTTGAGTTCTCTTCTTCGTCTTCGATCTCTCAACCAACTAGAACCAGTACTTAACAAGGTGACGTGCCAGCGTTCCTTTTTTTGGCAAATCTTCAAATTATTCCAATCTGATCAAGTTTATTATGGTTCTGATACAAAATTTTCACAGGCTTTGGTCAAATTTCAAATTCAAAAATCATTTTTCCTCCCTTGACCGTAAAAAAATACAAACTCAAAGTCATTTCTCCAGAGATTTAAAAGACGAAATTGCCCTCTTCTGCAGCAGAGGTTAATGCTCCATCTTCCATTTCACGGAGGGCAGTTGCAGTTGAATCATCTATTCCCAACAGATATTGTAGCCTCGAGACTTTTTCGGGTGCGGGTTTGGGATCACTCTTTGAATAAATAGCATATAGATCGGATAATTCCTCTGAGACCTCCCATGACATCGGCTCTGCCGGCACAGCTTTGTCACAGGCAAGTAAATCATTCAGCGAGGAGACCTGTAACCATATACAAGTTATACCCAGAAGCTGAAATATCAAGGTTTTATGTCAAGATAGGAGAGGAAAAGGAGGATTTGCATACCACTCCTTTAGAGTTTCTCTGCCTGAGTAATGCCACGGCTTGGACCAGCGAATTCGATAATCTACTCTGAGCGAGATCATGGACAACTCTTTTGGCTTTTTCCACATCAATGCTGAGATCGGATGGGATTGTCTGGTAGACTTCGATTTCATCGAATTCACCAGTTCCTGATGAGAAGATGTCATTCACTGTCTTCTTGAATAATTTCTCTCTCAGACTCACAGCGATCATGCTGTCCAGGCTGACGTTTGCCTCTTTGAGCTCCCGGATCTGCTTTATGTTCAGTCTTCCCTGGTTAACAGCGGTTTCTATCGCGTTTGCCATTTTTGTGGTGGTTATATTCTTGATAACCTTCTCGGCTTGTGGCTGAGGCAAACCAACTTGTTTTTGCAACTCGTCTAGCTGCTCTACTCTAGCCTTTGTCAATTGCCCATCAGCTAAAATCACTTCAGCTTGTTGCCTAAAAGCCTGCTCAGCTAAACCTACGTGAATGTTGACTATTTCTTTCGAACTCAATCCGAGAATCCCACCAAGCTGATTCAGAAGCAAGTACTCTGAATCGTCTCTCTTTGTTGTGATCTGGGCGCCAAAAGGGATTCTTGTTACCTCTCCAGTTACACAGTAGAGCAAGTATGTTTTGTAAAGATCTATTCTGTCCCTGTCGGGAAGGTCATCTTTGAGAGTTATTTCAGTCTGGCCAGGCTTTCCCATTTTCTCAGCGAGTTCCTTGTTGGGTCTTGTCTTTCTGAGCGATTCAAGGGATCCCCATTCCTCATCTTCACCATCTTCTTCTTTCTCTTCAACAGGGTCCTCCTCAGGTGCCTTATCAGAAGATTCTCCCTTAATGTCAGCCACCATTTCAGTCACAACTAACGTGTTGAAAGCAATCATCTTCTTGAGCTCCTTTGCTGACTCAGTACGGTTCTCTGCTGCTCTTGCTCGTCTGATATAGTTTGTGAAAACCCTACGGACCTGCATCAATGAAGGGCTTTGATTTTCATGTCTTGCTATGAGAAGTCGGAAAAAAATTAACAAATACTAATACCAAGCATGGAGAAAGTAAATAGTAAATTATACTCACAGCTTTGCTAGCAATAGACATGGCAGTCTCTCTGGATAACCGAAGACCATGTGCAGCCTTTCTTACTGATTTGCGAGTTTCAGCATCATAGCCATCCACTCCAGAAGAGATTGCATCCCTGACAACCTGGAAAAGATTAAACAAAAAGCTAAATAGAGGTAACCCTTTTGGTAACAAGATGCGAAGACAGAGGGAAATTGCGGTGCCAAGACCCAAGACCATGATAAACCCTAGGATAAAGGGACAAGGGAGGTGATAACTGGATTACCTTTTCAAATATAGTTCCACAGATTTCTGCATGAGCTGTCTCAACAGTTTGCTGGGGAATACACAGCATAACTCTTAACCTTAATAAAGCAGCAACATTGTCATCGCTCAGCTCTCCATCAGTAACACACTGTTGAAGCTTCTGCCGATAGATTTCTGAAGAAGAGAAGGAGCTTGTCAGATGATTCAGAAAAAAAGACCAAAAATAGATATTCAAACTGTAAAATATCTGCATGTAACCCTGTGAAAACGCCAGACTTGTTGGAAGTCTGTTAAGAACCAAATCTACAACACTAAAAGCTAGCTTGCAAGGATAAGGAACCAGCAGGTTTACAAGCCAGTAACTAAATTGATAAGATTTTAGTTAACCCATGGACAAATATGGCAATTCAAACTGTATACCTCATGCATAACTTAAAAACATGAGGTTTCATTGGTGAACAGAAGGTTCCCCATATACCTTCATGGATTGCGCCTGCCTTCTGTGCATCAAAGTGCAGCTCTTCGCAGAGCTTTTGAAGGTATTTTGCTTTACTGTCTTGTGCTTCAAGATCACCACTAGAGACAGCGTTAGCAAGTCTTTTACGGTAAGCCTTGGACGTAACATCAACACTAATAGCTTCAGCTTCTCGTTTTCCCAGTCCGAGTATGTTTCTAAGTTGGCTCATTGCCACGAGCTACCATACAGCAGAAAGACAATTAGAAATGAAAAATATCATGGGACTGATAGAGGACACAGAATCTGAAAACACCTGCTCTCAAAAGAACTTGCAACCAAGCTTTAGTATATAATATCTTATACAAAACTGAGTTTACCTTATTTTCTTCTAAGCGCCCACCAGATAAAGCATCGGTAACATATGCTCTATAAAGGAGCTTTAAATCATCCATTCTCCTCTCAAAATCAGACTCATCACCTAAGCCACATAGATCCAAGGTTGAGAGCCAATAATTATTATTCAGAAAAGAGAAGGTCAAAACCATCTTCACCTATCAAAGAAATAGGGCCAACCCCGCGTGCAAATTGATCTGCCTCTGAATGACTTTTCAAGGAAACCAGCAGGTTATTAAACTCCAGTACTTTTTCAAGCTCTTCCACGACAGATGCCAAACTCTTCCTGGAAAAATCAGGTTATTAAAATGACAAACATTGTAAACTACTAAAAACTAGACATACTAGATGATCCAATTTGTTTCCACTATTCATTATCACAAGATACAAAAACGCCTATAAAATTAAAATCTCATGACTTCACTTCACAGCCTAAAACTATTTAAAAAATACTTATACTATAGAACACTTCACAAAAGCAAAAGAGGATCATATGACCGATCAGTTTTTGCAATAACCAAAAACACTAAACTAAAGCCAAAACTTCAATCTCTTTTTCAACCCGACCAAACTCAATGTTCAAGCAAAGAAATACGTATAGCCACCCAAGCCTACAGTAGAAGTCACAACTAATTGGTACAAGACATAAAAAAAGTTGAATGTGTAAAAACTAAACTAATTCACATGGTTTATGATTGTTCTCTACGATTTTTCTATGCATGATTCTGTAAACAAAATGTTAAAATGATTTACACTGCTCGTGTGCGGGATTTTAGTATGCTGAGTGCCGATGAAATGTTCTCTACGACTACTTTCCTCGTATGCTCTCTAAACAGGTCTTCAGCAAGCTGTGAGGGAGAAGAAACTGTCAGAAGAAGTACAACCAGAGGTAGCAGGAATTCAATGCCACAAAGAAATAGAGTACCTCATCAGAAAGCTTGAATGATAGTTGTGCTTTTCTAAGGTCCACAAGGTTTTCTACGTTAATAGCTGTAAGAACATGTTTAGAGACATAACCATGTAAGTTTCCATGCATTAAGCTGATGAAAAAACTAGTTAAACATTATCTATTATCAATTTTAAATGAGAGGAACCATTACATCATTACAGTCCCATGCGAAGTAACAATTAAGGTTGGTATTTAGACAACTTGCTGATAAACGAATATTACAAAACCCAATGGACAAAGAAGTGCCACTATAATCGATATAACAAAGTCAAGCAAACTTAAACCGTTCTACAAATGTAAAACATAAACAACATTACCTCTACCAACTAATTTTAACCGTTCGGCATACAGCTGCTTTGCATTTTCACGAATAGCAATCTCAACCTAGAAATGAGGTCAAGACATTAGCACAGAACTTCAGATTACAAAGATGGGGTAATGCAACTTCCCATAAAACAACTATTGCAAAAAGTCAGAAGTATGAAAAAATTGGAAATGCCTACCTGAGCATCTGTGACCTTCAATACTCGCTTCCAAGGCAAAAGGAAGGATGAAGCATCTCCAAACACAAGAGCTGAAACATATACAAGCCTCATAAATGCCTGCACTGGAAGCATACAACTTGTGATCACGCTTATGCTCTCTTTCTGAACAATCCGACGATAAAATTAACGAATAGTAGGGAGTAGGGACTGGCGACTTACCCGACGCTGTTCTGCATCACCTTCACGTTCCCCAGTCTCTAGCCTTTGCCTAAAAATCCTGCGGCCAATCTAAACAAAACCAAGGAATTGGTTATTCTGCAATCAAGATCCAATCAACTACAAAAAGGCTAACAGCTAATTCAATTGAAGACAAAGAATCTAGAAATCACCTCCATGTGCATGGCAGCTGCATCAGGGTCGTCTATCCCTAAAGCATTTTTGAACTTGATAATCTTCGCCACTTCATCCCCTTTAAGAGACTGTCCTTCAGTTGGAAGCACGGAAGTTACATACCTAAATGAAGATTAAGATGCAAAGATTACTAAAGAAATTCCCCACACTAAGAGAAAAGAGGTTTCAAACTTGACTCACCGGCAATAGATATCACAAATCTCAGCCTGGAATGCTTCGTCTCCTTTGTTGACACCATACCTGCAACATATAAGAAGGATCGTTTAAGCACACTTTTGTGTATAAATCCAGAAACAAATGACAATTCAAGCAACCACTAACCTATCAGCAATCTTTTCTACATCATCTTTCGTCACAGAGGCAGGATCTTCGAATTCGGCAACATAATTATGCAAACTGATAGCAGCCACCTCCGGTACAGCAGCGTTCAACGCATACACGACAGCTCCACCAGCGGCTCCAGCAACAGCAGCCCCACCAAAGGCAATATTCCTGGAGCCGGCTAAACGAAGCCCAAGGCCGTAACCAGTAGCTAAAGACGCGGCTAAAACAACAGCTGAAGTCGCTAGCCTCACCGGCGGCGTCATTTTCTCAACAATCGGTTGCAATCCAGTGAGCTCCTTCTTATCTCCATGGATACCGGGATTCTTCGCCTGCGATAGTTGGTCGGAGGAAGCAGCTGAGCTACGAGGGAACGAAACTCGATAACGACGGCGAGTCAGACACTCAGACTTGGAGAAACGGTGAGGTAAAGAAGGTAGGAAGTGAGAAAGAAGAGGAGACCGAGGAGAAGGTGAAATTGGAGCGTTAATGGCGGTGACGAGTGAGGGATTCATGGTTCCCTCTACTGAGAAAGATCCGAGCAGTCGTAGAAAGAAGAAGCTCGTAGTAGGGTTTAACGAAAAACAGTAGACAAGGGAAGAAGATAGGAATGCGAACGAAGAAAGGGGAAAGAGATAGGGCCTAACAAAACATCGAAATTCCCTTTCGAACGTCCAGACGTTTTTTAATAGTATTTTAAAACTACGTGCTGTTTTACTTTTTGGTAAACGGTAAGATGTTTACATAAAAATACAAATTAGACGGCGTGTGTAAATTGGAAACGCCACGATTTTCTTCTCTGCTCTTAGCTTCCAGTTAGGGCTCGCTAATCGCCGAGCTCAGTTGAAAGATGTTAACGGCTGATATACCACCAAATCAGTCAATCTACATAAAAAATATCAATGAGAAGATCAAGAAAGAAGGTAATGAATACGTACGAACTCCATATAATTGACATCGGTGATTCTCTGAGAGAGTTTTTGGTATTTCTTCTGGTTACTTGAGATTCTGCAATGCTTTACTATCTTCTTCTAATTTTTTTCTAGGCTCTTGAATGAGTGTTACCGTGTCTTATGTCTGATGAGGGTTTAAAGTTGCTCGATTTGATTAGATGCATTTAGAGTTATCTTTCTATGTTTTAGGGATTTAGAATTTATGTTTAATCTTAAGAGACCTGAACTAGAGATACTCTAAGAGCATGATTATCCAAGGGCTCTTAACAATACTTCTTAAGAATATTTAAGTAATATTTTTTTTTGTTCCACCTCTTAACTTTTTTTTTTGTTCTTAGCTAAGAAACACTTCTTAGCTTAAAGGCACTTTTGGGAATAAATATAATCAATTAAATGCTATCATAATCTTAAGATTTTCTTAAGAGACTACCTATAATCATGCTCTAACATACGTGCTTTGTTTAAGTAATTAAGTAGGAAAGACGATTGCTTTTGAAATTAGTTTAGATTGTTTGATTCAAGTCAATGACCTTAACCTCTTTAGCTGCTTTTGTTTCTCTAAGAGTAATGCTGTTCAAGCAGGTCATTGTTTAATGTTTCCACTTGTTTTTTTTCAGAGCTGAAGAGATCTCTTTACTGTTTGTTCTCTCATTTTGGAAGGATACTTGATGTGGTTGCGTTAAAGACTCCTAAGCTCCGGGGACAAGCATGGGTTGTGTTTACTCAAGTCACCGCTGCTAGTAACGCTGTTCGTCAGATGCAAAACTTTCCTTTCTATGATAAGCCTATGGTACCTTTTCCTCTCTTATGTTCCAGGTTTATCCAACCCGCTTATCTTGTTATGTGAGACTATAAGCTTAGAAAGTTGTAGAGATTTACTTGGAGAGGTAGTTGTGTTTGCTTGCTGATACTTGTTGTTATATAAAATTGAAGGAAGTATAACGACATTTGATGTTGAGATTATATGATTTTACACAAGTGATTGCTAAGTTAAAGACTAGAGAAATTACACAGTATTATTCAAGTCATGGTGATGTGTGGTGATCTGCTTGGATGCAGCGGATACAATATGCAAAATCAAAGTCAGATTATGTTACTAAAGCCGAAGGGACTTTTGTACCGAAAGAAAAGAAGATGAAGCAAGAAGAGAAAGGTTTAAACTTTCGTTTCCATCACAAGTTCAAATCTTTTTAGCTCATTTCATCTGTGTTTTATTTTCCATCTCATGTTTAACAAAACTGCACATCACTTTCAGTTGAAAGGAAGCGACATGCTGAAGAAACTCAACAACCAAGCATGCCTAATGGCGCAACTACTCTGAACGGAATGCCTGTGGTAACTTTTATTTCACGCATCATTCCAATAATACAACCTTATCTTCTGACAGACGTCATTGTCGCAACTTAGTCTGTAAATTCTTGTTTCCGCATTATTCCAATACCCGTCTCTGCAATTATGCAGCCTCCTTTCCAGCCGAGTGGGCAAGACACGATGCCACCAAACAACATACTCTTCATTCATAATCTTCCCATTGAGACGACGAGCATGATGCTTCAGCTGCTCTTTGAGCAATACCCAGGATTCAAGGAGATAAGAATGATCGAAGCAAAACCCGGAATTGCGTTTGTGGAATATGAAGACGATGTTCACTCTTCCATGGCCATGCAGGCTCTTCAGGGTTTCAAGATCACTCCACAGAATCCAATGGTCGTCTCTTTTGCCAAAAAGTGAACGTTTTGTTATGCAGATGAATGGTAATGATATACTAATTTGTAGCTGTTTAAAAAGCAAACGGTCATATTGTATTTGGTCCAATTTCGATTAGTGGTGTGGATGACCTAGAAGCTTTAGACCAGAATGTGATGAGATCGAAGAATTGACTGACTATTGAGAGTGGTTGGTTGGAGAATATCTCATTTTACATGCCTTTTTTATGATTAGGACTTACAATGGGAATTAAAACCACGAATTTAGAATGAGAAGATTATGGGTCACTGACATCAACCAGCCAAAAAATAGTCGCAATCAATAAATAGAAGCAACAAATAGGCTTCATCTCTCTCTTTTTCTCTCACTTCCCTTTTTGTCTCTGACCTTTTAACAAAACTTAGAAACCATTCTAGATCTGATGATGATAGCAAGATAATCAACAATTCCCCAAAATAAAAACAGAGTCCTCTGTTTTGTTTTTCATCTCACTAAGAGATTCTCATCTGTTCACATCAAGTAGTTTCTGCATATTTAGAGAGAAATCTCTCTTCCTCGACGTTCTTCCCACTATCTTTGGTACGCACAAAAAGAACAGAGCGATGTCAAAGCTAGACCTGGAGGAGGTGAACTCGATGCAGAGAGGCAAAGTTCATGGGCCCTTCTTGGTGGAAAACATGGTGTGCCAGAAAAACCACATGTTGACCTCAAAGGGTATTTTCTTGGGCAGTGACCCTCTCAAATACGCAATGCCACTTATGTTGCTGCAAATGTCCGTCATCATCATCACCTCAAGGCTTCTCTACCGCCTCCTCAAGCCCTTGAAGCAAGGCATGATCTCTGCCCAAGTCTTGGTAATAAGTTGTCTATATTTCTTTCTTTTTTCTGTAATCGAAGAATCCCATAGCAAAACTTAGACTAATCTATGGAGTCTGGAGCTCTTTTTATTTCTCTTTTATTGAATTTTGCGAAATTTTTAAACGCAGGCTGGGATCATCCTAGGACCGTCTCTCTTTGGCCAAAGCAGCGCATACATGCAGATGTTCCTTCCCATAAGCGGCAAAATCACTTTACAAACTCTCTCAAACCTCGGTTTCTTCATCCATCTATTCTTACTTGGACTAAGAATCGACGCTAGCATCATTCGTAAAGCTGGTTCCAAAGCCATACTCATTGGTACAGCTTCCTACGCCTTACCATTCTCCCTCGGTAACCTCACTGTCCTCTTTTTGAAAAATACTTACAAGCTTCCGCCAGACGTTGTCCACTGCATCAGCACAGTGATCTCCCTCAATGCAATGACCTCATTCCCGGTCACCACAACCGTCTTAGCTGAGCTTAACATCCTTAACTCTGATCTTGGACGGTTAGCCACAAACTGCTCCATTGTCTGCGAGGCCTTTAGCTGGATTGTGGCACTTGTTTTCAGAATGTTCTTGCGGGAAGGGACAGTAGCTAGCCTTTGGTCATTCGGTTGGGTGGCTGTTCTTATCCTCGTGATTTTCCTCGTCTGCAGACCAGTCATCATCTGGTTGACAGAGAGAAGAAGCATTTCGATTGATAAATCAGGCGAGATCCCATTCTTCCCGATCATAATGGTCTTGCTGACGATAAGCTTGACCTCCGAAGTTCTCGGGGTCCATGCGGCGTTTGGAGCGTTCTGGCTCGGAGTATCGCTCCCGGATGGACCTCCGTTAGGGACCGGGCTCATAACAAAGCTGGATATGTTTGCAACGAGCCTTATGCTCCCTTGTTTCATCGCCATTAGTGGATTGCAGACCAATTTCTTCATTATTGGAGAGAGCCATGTGAAGATCATTGAGGCTGTGATACTCATCACCTACGGCTGCAAATTCCTAGGAACAGCAGCCGCTTCAGCTTATTGCAACATACAAATTGGAGACGCATTTTCTTTGGCCCTCTTGATGTGTTGCCAAGGAGTCATTGAGATCTATACATGCGTCATGTGGAAAGACGAAAAGGTATAATTAATTATAAGGGGTATTCTAATGTTTGTTTGCGTTTGTATAATCAAATTTTCTCTAAACATAAGATCGGTCCATGTACACATTTTCCAACTTTTCATCAAATTTTGCAGGTTCTAAACACTGAATGCTTCAATCTCCTTATCATCACGCTCTTGCTCGTGACCGGGATTTCGCGGTTCCTCGTAGTTTGCCTCTATGACCCATCAAAACGCTACAGAAGCAAGAGTAAGCGAACGATCCTCAATACGAGACAACGAAACCTTCAGTTCCGGCTCCTACTCTGCGTCTACAACGTCGAAAACGTACCTTCCATGGTTAATCTTCTAGAAGCTTCTTACCCTAGTAGGTTCAGCCCGATCTCTGTCTTCACACTCCACCTCGTCGAGCTAAAAGGCCGAGCCCACGCGGTGCTCGTACCGCATCACCAGATGAACAAACTCGATCCCAACACAGTTCAATCCACTCACATCGTCAACGGTTTCCAACGATTCGAACAGCAGAACCAAGGAACCCTAATGGCTCAGCATTTCACAGCTGCAGCTCCATTCTCCAGCATCAACGATGACATTTGCACTCTCGCCCTCGACAAGAAAGCGACGCTCATCGTCATCCCGTTCCATAAACAGTACGCGATAGACGGGACGGTAGACAACGTGAACCCATCAATCCGTAACATAAACCTTAACGTGCTAGAAAAGGCACCTTGTTCGGTTGGAATATTCATCGATCGAGGAGAAACAGAAGGCCGCCGCTCTGTCCTCATGAGCTACACATGGCGAAACGTCGCAGTGATCTTCATCGAAGGCCGAGATGATGCAGAAGCCCTAGCTTTCTCCATGAGAATCGCAGAGCACCCGGAAGTAAGCGTCACGATGATCCATTTCCGCCACAAGAGCTCCCTCCAGCAAAACCACGCAATAGATACGGAATCTGAATTCTCAGAATCTTACCTCATAAACGATTTCAAGAATTTCGCGATGAACAAACCGAAAATCAGTTACAGAGAAGAGATAGTGAGAGATGGCGTGGAAACCACGCAAGTGATTAGTTCACTAGGGGATTCATACGATCTGGTGGTTGTGGGTCGTGACCATGACCTTGAGTCGTCGGTATTGTACGGACTGACAGACTGGAGCGAGTGCCCTGAGCTAGGTGTGATCGGAGACATGTTTGCGTCGTCGGATTTTCATTTCTCGGTGCTAGTGATTCATCAACAAGAAGGAGATTCTCTAGCGATGGATAATAGCTATAAATTGCCAGTTTCGCCTCCTAGGGTTGGGGATCCAAGAGTGCACCCACGTTTCTCTGTTGAAGACGGATTTACTTCTGTTGATCTTCACAGCAACCGTTAATTAGTCTCTTTTTTTTTGTTTATTCAATTTAAACATAAATAATGGATGTAATTTTTAGTTTTTGTTATTAACTACAGATTGTTAAGTAAGCAGCAAAAAAGAGAATTGATGTTTACATAGGAAAAGTTAGTCAATACACAAGAATTAGGCATCCGCGTAGAGAAAATAGTTTATCAACAAAGCGATCAGCATCAAATCAATCATGACAATTGCCAAATATGTCAATATATCACCTAACTATTCTGAAAATGTTAATCAATTTGTCTGTTGTACACTTGTACTAGCAGAACCTAATCTATAAAACATAAATCTCATAAAAATAGATTTGATTGAGATGTGCCTTTAATATGAGATCCCAGTCCCGCCACATATATAAAGGTGGATTTACCCTAACTGTATGTTTTTCTTTTACTTAATAGTAATTAATTTCAGACATGTTATCTAAACATATGTTTTCAAAAGAAAGCTGTAATATTCGCATTGAACATTGATTAACGCTATTTTTTCCCCGAAGTTTATTATTTTCAAGAAACCGAAAGTGTGGGATCGTTTATTCCCAAGATGTGGGGATCTCAAAGTTGCTATTATGTGGACAGAAACAACGGACGTGTCATGCTTTCGATGTGAGAGAGTACGTAGCGTCGGATCATTGTGAGAACGATTGGGTCACTAAAATTTAATTACACGTCGTCGCTCCTATTCAAATTACAGGAACTACGTTAAGTTTTGGCGGTAGATACTTGATAAGTATGTCTCTTATACCAAAAACAAGAAAACCCTCAACTTATGAAACATATATAACAGATGTCACATTAATACGATTAGAAGAATTTGTCTTTGATTTACCATGGTATAAACCAACAAAGCATAAGAGATTAAATTGGTCATGGTGTTTGATGAAAACCTAAGTTTCGACTTTGGAGAAAAATTTACAGGTAAACGTGAGACGTAAGAGCATGATTATTGGTAGGCTCTTAGCCAAATCTTAGGTAAATCTTAAGTATTAAAAAGTATTTAATTAAATGGCAAATGGTAAGATTGGTAAGAAAGGTTTCTTAGCTAAGAGCCAAAACATGTTTGTAAGAGGTAAATCTTAAGATTTTAATACTAAAAAATTACTAAGAGTCATTGTTAAGAAACCCTTGATAATCATGCCCTAAGTGAATAAAAAGTTGGCATCTTCTAGCTAAGCATACGGTACATAATTATAATTTATTTAGTTTAAACAAAACAAATGGAAGCATTAATGGCTCAGGCGTATGGAGAAGATGGGCTGTTTGGACCAAACATAGTAATGTATGCATAGTTGCATTCACATTATTATACAAACAAAATATTAATAGTAAATCGTCGACCATATAGAGGAAGAAAAAGAAAGAGTGATAAACAAAAAAAAGAAAATGAATGTCTAATAGAGATGGGGCATAGAAGAAGGTATCCATGTGAAGGCAGCTGATTCAGATGGGCTCGCCAGCTTTCATTTATCTTTATTTGGGATCATTTCTTTTTAAATCTTTTAATAATAAGAAGAAGAATAATTTAGTCTTTAGTCTGATATTTTATTGCAATAATTACATTTTTCTACAAATATCTTAATTTGCAGTTGTAGCTATCTCCAATCTTTTGTCCAATTACAAAATTATGATCGTGAACTTCTTTATATTTTTATATTCCAGCTGAAGAATCCATGAAACTTATTTAAATTTGATTTAACTGGTAACAAATGAACAACTTTATCTTTCTTACAAATATATTATTAGGTGTTAATTTGTGAAAGAATTATTTTTGCAAACACTAACAACTGCATTACCAGTTTACCACATCTGACATGTTTAGACGAGTCGAATCTTAGAATCTTAAATATAGTTTTTTTTTTGGGTATATACATAATTTTTAAATACCGGTAGCTATAAGTTGAAAAACAAATCTATACACAAACATGAGATCAGATGAAATTGTTCATTTACTTCTTTTTCTAATGCATAGTCATTGATTCATTTTCTTGTCCACATTTGGTTAACACTACAAGTTGTTTTACCTTTATTTATATGATTAATGTTTATATTATTTGGAACTCATGGTTTTTATTTCAGCTTCAAAGGCTTTTTTCGATTGGTCCACTTACATGTGAAAACCTGCGCACTAACTATTATTATTAATTATTACTATTTCATTACAACCCAGCTTATACAATTAAGTCTAATCATTCAAAATAGTATTTCCGTTAAACACAGATTTGATCATAATCATTACTCACTTCATTGATGCTTTTGTAGTCTACAATTCGATCGCACACACTTTCCTAGTTTAATAGTACAACCCAATAAACTATTTCATTGATAATTTGGTATCACAAAAAAAGAAATTCATTAAATTTATAATTGAAACAAGGCTGGTTCTTTGATTCAATTTTCCTTTAACCGTTCGCTTTCTTTATTATTATTCCATGTAATTTTTACTAATGTTAACATGTTTCGCTTTTGATCAATGAGTATCAAATGGAATATCATCATTCTCAGGTGACTCAAAATTACAATAGCATTTTAACACAGATCTTATCCACATTATATAACTCTTTTCGTGAAATTTTCCCCAAAAACCAAAAAAAAAAAAGAAGAGAAAAAATTGAAAAAGAGAATGATATCTCAGAAATAAAAATCCGGCTTCCGGACAAAAAACACCATTAGCTAGAAGCAACAAAAAAAATAAAGGGAAGAGGAATTAATTAAGATCCTCAGAGATACTGTCAAGGAGAGGCCGCCACGTGGATACTGACGCCGATCTGCTGTGCCGCCGGCGATGACGGTGCTCTTTACCTGTCGACGCCGACGACACAACTTCTTCTAAGTACTTCTCACACAACTTCACACATTCATCATCACCTTTAACTTCTCCGGTGGCGTCGGCACTAGGGTTGTTGAGAGTCTTTTTCCGGCGAGGAGCGTCCTTTCTCCTCCTTTTCTTCTCCGGCAAGGAAGAATCAGGGATGAGAAAATAGATGCTTCCTCGCTTGAGCTCAGATTCAGGGGACAAAATCAAGATTTTGCGGACAACTCCTTGAGAACAAGGTTTGCTTAGGACATGGTTTGGGTTTGCCTTGAGGATCTCTCCGGCAGTTATTGACCGTGTGATCTCCTCAACGTAGCCGTTTAGATGAACGATCCTGATCAAATCTAGTGCTCCACATGGAAGAACACAAGCCAGACAACACCTTAGGCTGTTTCCCATCTCTCTCTCTCTCTGCTTTCTCTTTATTTTTTGAGTATTTGTTATATATTGATTTTCAGATTTATGGGGAAGAACAAGTTGGAGAAGACGAGGTTATATAGGAGCCAACACTTCACGTAACACCAAAGCGGGCTTGACCATACGTCTACGGTCCATGAATTTACTTAAATGCCCTTGCGTCTTCTCGTTATTAACTTGACCCACCCTCATAAAACATGTATTATATCTAAGTTATCTCTATTATTTGAATTTATTCAAAACTCCTATCTCACTAATGATTTTAGGCTCTTACCCTTAAAAGTGTGATAAAAGTCATAAAAGCGTTGAAAAAAATAGATGTGAATTCACGAGCCAGAAAAAAAAAAAAGTTACTATGTCTTAGAAACGAAACAAATCAGAAATAGTACTAAAGTTCGAAATAGAGTAAAGATACATTTATTGTTATATACATGGATTTTTAGATCTCTGAGCTGAAACTCTGATGGAGACTAGAATAGTACGTAAATAATTAAGCAACGATTAGCAAAAATGTCAAAACTAGTCGAGTAAGTATCTTGACGCTATGTGACAAATCTTGAAGGAGAAAAAAAAAAAAAAAACTTTTTTCTTGTATTCTTTCTCGAATAATACCAAATCTTGAAACTAGGTGCGTGTTGGGATTAGATAAATTACTCGTAATTAATAATGTGAAACAATGACCAAAGACTTGGAAACTGAAAAAGGACTATCTATTTAAATTTAAAGGGTACTTTACACCAAGAATACTTAAGTAGGATTTGATATCAATGTTGGAAGTAACAAATCCATTAATTTTTACTCAAATACTGTAAGTTTTTTTCTCGTTAGTGTATTCAGAAATACATTTTCTCGTTGTCTGTGCTCAAGCTACTTCACTTTGGAGATATAAATATATGTTGAACAATCTATTGAAGATTTCGATGTGTATATGTAAATAGAAAAATAGAAGTACAGAGAATAAGAAGAACTCATATATGTATAATTTCTAACGGTTTTATGACTCCATATCCCAACACATTTTGGTTGAGTTTACTAATTGTTTCGTATTCTAGAATCTCCAAAATTATATTTTTGGTTAATTAGGATAATCACCATACTTTGGGTCTTAATTGGAAAAATTCAAATTGGTTAGGGAGAAGACTAAGACGCCTTCATATGGTCTCTTCACTATTCATTTCCAAAAAAAGTACATGATAATTAATTTTACCAAGCAATACAATCAAATGCATAATGTTTACTTTATAATTTTAATATGCAAGTATCGGTTGAACGAATTTAACATTAAATAAAAGAAGGAGAATATGTTTTTTTTTTTTAATTTCCTGAAAAGAAAAACAGCTGTCTTCAAGGACAAAACAATATTATGAAATGTATTTTTCCTTAATTCGCTATATAGATATATTCGTTTACGTTATTATTCAAATGATTTAAACCATAATAGCACTGACAAATATGGAAACCATTTAAGTACGTTTATTTATAGTAGTATAAAATTTGAGTTACAGTACTTAAATTATTGTGTTGCTTTGAAGAGTTTCTGTTAATGACGATTCTCGCACTGATTAAAGTCAATACCGTACGTACGTAAATATGTACTTAACTAAGGTATCTGCAACTTGCGGGGTTTAAGTACTTGCAGTTGCGTTGGTCTCGGGGTTTAATGAGTAATTAAGCTTAATTACTTGATTAAGCAAGATAACGGGATCAGGGGACAAGTAATCCACAGGACCACATCAATACTTATGTACTTTTAAATTTGACTAAAATAATTAATTGAAAAACTTCATAAGAGCGCCTAAACCAAAACTGATTATTTACTGGTTTACGAAAAATATGAGTTCAGTCTGTAATTATAAGTTAGGTGGTGTTATTCAATGATGGATTTTAATAGAATTGAAATCCAACACTAATCCAGTGTTATTCAACTAATGATTATAAATCTAACGTTAAAATCTAGTGTTATTAGATCTTATACTTCATTAGATTTTAAAAGTTTGGTGTTATTCAATGGTGGAGTTAAAGTCAATTCTTTAAGGTTTGTAAAATCCAGTGTTATTCAAAACTAAAAGACTTGTAAAATCTTTGTATATTAAGTCATTTGAAATGAAACCTCTTTGGAGTTTCATGAGTAAATTATTAGAATCAAAATCCAAGATATACTGCAGAGATTTTGAAATCCACACAAACAGATTCTTAAAACCAATATCAGAAAACAAATCTAAACCTTAAAGAATTGACTTTAACTCCACCATTGAATAACACCCCCTTAGAATCTTAATGTGAACTAATTAGGTTTTCACAATATATTCACGTGCCTAAAAGTTTAATTAGTACTGTTGTTTGCACATAGATATAAGGGATATAACAATTCTATGCTATAATTGGTTCCTCGACTAATGATTGAAACATATATACGAAAACCAAAAAAGTGATCCATTTATAAAATTTGGGTCTCTTAAGCGTTCCAAAACACACTATAATTTGAAATTCAAACATAATAATGGAACATGTCACTTGTGCAGCTCAGCAAGAAAAATGACGAATCCATCTTATTTTGATTATTGCCTGTATTCAAGTGAACTCTCTTTCTCTCTTAATACTAGTCCGCTTTGCAATGAATTGGTCACATTTCGTCTTACAATTGCAGGTTCACAAGAGTTTTGTTGATGAGCACACATCTCAATCTTTTTTTCTTTTTTTTTTTTGGTGCACCAAGCACACATCTCAATCAAGTACCAATTTCTAAACTTGAACGTCAAAGATGATTTTTTGATATACTATTTCTTAGACACAGCCGTTTACGTGTTAAAACATCTATATGTTTCCTTTATGGTTTAGGTTTAGGATTTACCAGCGTTATTTTTCTAAGATTAGAAAGAACATAATAAGCATGGTGAAAAACCAATGATTAATGATCAACTACAGTAGCAATATAAGGATATAGTATGTATTAATTAAACAAAAAAAATCTGGTGGCAGAAGATAAATCTTGGAAACGAATTAACGCGCGACATGATAGAAGAAGCTTCGTTGTACGGAGGTTTCAGGCACCGACGACGTACGATAGGCGCCGAAAACATATATTAATGGGAGATTAAATTCCTCAATTAATTTGTTTAATATTCAGAGAGTTGCGAACTCAATTAAAAATTTAAAACACAGATGAGATTTTGGGTGTGTGTGCGCCACAATGTGTTAAAGACTAAATCTTTCTTATGAATCTTTAAAAAGGTTTAATGGGATCATAATTGAAGAACGTGAGCCAAACCTGTCTTGTTCCACAATTTCCCAACTTCCACGGTGGATCTTTAACCACTTAATCAAGTTTGTATTTAAAATGTTGTTAACTTATTTCACAAAGCATTAATTTTCTGTTTCTCAATTATCCGAATACATTATTAATCATAGGTAGAAGACTATAAGTAGGCAAAAAAAATCCGAAGGATATGAAAATGTAATTATATATATTGGGCAATACAAATTATGAGAATCTGAAGTATAACTGGCGTGTTTGGGATCAAAATGTTTTTATTAATCAAATACTATAATTTTGTAGCTCCATTCCCTCTCATTCTACAATCTATAGTTCTATACTATACGTACGAACTCAGTGCTTTCACAATCTCTACATTGGCCTTGGAGATGTCTTCGGCATGAATTAATATGTCCAACTGGATGATTCAAACTAATTTTGAGATTTTGTATTAAAACAAAAAAAGTGAGCTATTCTTGTCATTTACTAACTAATCATAATTAAAATTGCTGTCAAATGATTTGGACCCCATATCTTATTTTTGAAGGATGAATCACTTGATCAGTGTGCATTATGAGTTGGTAGGAAAGTATGAAACATTGATGACTATATATTGCATTGGTAACATTTTCGCAAGCATTTTATTTTTTAGTAACATGCATTATGTTATTAATATTTATTCCCCCAACGCCGAGGAAGATTTCATTTTAGCCACTCTCTCTTTTCTAAAACCAACGGAAATCACTCGTATTATATAGATTATGGGATGAATTGGTGTTTTAGGGGAACGTACCTGATCGAATAAAGACAAAACAATGCAATAATTAAAAGTCTTAGCATAGATTTTGGAGATCTCTCCAGCCTATAACACACGTTTGTTTAGATTTACCCTCGTGTGCAATATCTTTTTGTTTTTGTTTTGGAGCATAAATGATTTTCGTAATCTTAATTGATCTCCTCCTGCACGAACTTCTATTCCAAACTCGTTTCCGTGTTTGGACTTTATTTTTTGTTGGCAGCGTATTATAGAATTTAGGAGAATCCACTTTTTTAAGAGATTTACCAAGATATCAACGTTAACAACCACATAAATACACATTATTGGTATATAATCTTTTGCATGATCTCGTGGGTTTTCTTGTACGTATATTTTAACGTTTCAGAGGATATGCGCATGCATTCTTTTGGCTGTAAGGTTTATTATATATTAGCCAATTTATCAACAACCCTCACTACGTACAATTATTCGACCATATAATTATTAACTATTTTATCTGATTGAATTTAAAATAATCAAAAATGATCGAATTATGCCTTTAATTTTTGTAGTTGAGTGATTATGAAGAAGAAGTCACTCTGATGAAGACTGAAGAGAGGGATTCATTGTCGCTTAGCAAGTTGAAAGCTGTCCAAAAAAACAAAAGAAAAGTTGAAACTGTGATTATATATTGTGACCAGATTAAGGCTAACGTAAGAGGTTAATCTAATTAGAAAAAAGGGAAAAAGTAAGAAGTTTAATATATTTATCAAATTCAAAATTCAGGCGTCAGCAAAATTGACTATTTAGCTCAACAGTCTTTACTCTTTAGAAAGAAAGAAAAAAAGCTCAATACTATGGGCTCTTTATGAAGCCCATTTTTGGCCCATTAAAACAATCGCCAGGAGTATTTGACCAAAAAGTCAACAGTTTTATGGCATATTAATATGACACATACATATAGTAGACTCCAATAATCAACGGAGTCGTCCTATAAAGGGTGAAAAAAAGGAGAGAAGAAGAGAGAAGATGTTGATCCATGTAGTTATATTCATGATCATAACCACAATGCTAATCTCGACGACATGCCATGCAAATGTGATCAACGTGACCAACATTAACGTATCAATGTTCCCGGCGATTCTTGTGTTCGGGGATTCCACAATCGATACCGGCAACAACAACTACATCAAAACCTACATCCGGGCTAATTTCCCTCCTTACGGCTGCAATTTCCCCGGCCACAACGCTACCGGAAGATTCTCCAACGGTAAACTCATTCCGGACTTCATAGCATCGCTTATGGGAATCAAAGACACCGTCCCTCCTTTCCTCGACCCTCATTTGTCTGATTCCGATATCCTCACCGGAGTGTGCTTTGCTTCGGCCGGTTCGGGTTACGACAACCTCACAGATCGAGCAACTTCAACTCTATCCGTTGATAAACAGGCGGATATGCTCAGAAGTTACGTGGAGAGGTTGAGCCGGATCGTCGGAGACGAGAAAGCTGCCACGATAGTTAGCGAGGCTCTGGTGATTGTAAGCTCCGGAACTAATGATTTCAATCTAAATCTCTACGATACTCCTTCTCCTCGTCACAAGCTTGGCGTTGATGGCTATCAAAGTTTCATTCTCTCTAGCGTACACAACTTCATTCAAGTAAACAATACAATCCTTATATATAAAATTATTTTTTCGATGTTCTTTCTTTTTTGGTATACAATTTTGATTGCATGTTTTAGTTTTGACAATGTTAATATTGTTATGTGGATGTGTATGTATAGGAACTATATGACATAGGATGCCGTAAAATAATGGTGTTGGGACTACCACCGGTCGGGTGTTTACCGATTCAGATGACGATGGCTATGCAAAAGCAGAACGAGAGACGATGCATTGACAAACAAAATTCAGATTCACAAGAGTTTAACCAGAAGCTAAAAAAGTCCTTGACGGATATGCAATCCAATCTCACTGGCAGTGTCATCTTCTACGGCGATATCTACGGAGCATTGTTCGACATGGCTACTAATCCCCAAAGATACGGTAACGTTACGTTTCCTTTAATCCCATGCAAATTACGTTTCGCACTAATTCTAGTTTTCCTTGCGTTTTGATCAATTGCATCTCTTTCTAAATTATATATGAGGTTGTTATATGGGATAATTTACGAAAAAAATATTAGAAAAATGCAAAATAAGAAAAAACAATCAAACCCAAAGCATAGTCCAATTTTTCCATCCAATTCTCACGTATCAGTAAATCACGTACGTTTGAAGTGTACGTATGTTACATGTGTTCTTTTTTTTGAGAAAAATGTTTTACAGGTTTTGAAATACATTTGTTACAAAAGAAAATTCAAGACTAGGAAATATTTAATTTTATTACAAAGTAGTGATTGAAGTGATTCCTTTGAAGGGGACAGGGTTAAAGGAGACGACGAGAGGATGTTGCGGGACTGGAGAAATGGAGTTAGCGTACTTGTGCAATGCTTTAACTCGGATTTGTCCTGACCCTAACCAGTTCCTTTTCTGGGACGACATTCATCCTTCCCAAGTTGCTTACATAGTCATCAGTCTCAGTCTTGTTGAACAAATTTTCCACGTACTCTCTTGATTTTCATTTTTGCTTTCATATATATTAATCTGTAGTCTCAATCTATATTACTTTTCCTCTTGGTTCACATAATCTTTCGTGTTTGCTTAAGCTAGTTTTTACATGTATACTATTATGATACTATACCACTGTTTCTTGTAAGGTGTAACCAATTTTATACATCAAAAGAGCAATTAAAAGTAACTAACAAATCAACGTCGAAAAGGTGATTCCACCGATCCATGAACATTATTCACACAAGAAAGAAAAAAAAACAGAATGATTCACAATTTAAAAAAAAAATTCGATTAATCATTATAATCTTTTAATTTCTTTTCATATTTAATTTAATCATCTTGAGCTTTCCTTGAACAACCCTTTAATTCTAAACTCCACATCTTCAACAGTATACGGAATAAACGGCTCTCCACGCCTCCCATTAATCTCCGGCGACTCCTTCAATCTTCTAATGAAATTCGAGTACGCCGGAGACACAATTCCGGCAACAGAGCTTCTTAACTCCTCCCTCAATTGCTCATCAGTAACAACCCATTGAGATTGTATCTTACACACCTCATCGAACTGGGCTTTGAACAATCTAAGGTTCTCTATTAACTTGGGATACGGACCCTCGGTCCTAAGCAATCCCACCACTTGGTTCCATGAGCTCCTTCGGTAATTAGAATGGTATTGCCTCAGTTTTGCCGCGTGTTTCACAATCCAATCTTCTCCTAGGACTAAACCTAGCTCGTTATCCTTGGCCTTATCAAGAATATACTTGTCATTGTTCATCATGAACAAGAAGCACAAAGACGGATCGCGGTAAGTTCTTTTCTTGCCTTCCAAGTTACTCTCTAACAACTCCAAAACCCATACGATTTGCACAGACAAAGGTCTCGTATCTGATCCGGTTTCATTCCCGGTCTGATCAAGAATCTGCTCCAACGATTGCCGCGATTTACACGCCGCACGCAGATAATTCATCACGTACCGCGTGATCGGGTGAATCCCACCACCAGGAAATGCTGTTTTGGGAGGGTCACGACGGATTAAATTCTCCAGCTCCATAAATATCCCTCTAATCGCTTCCCCTAACCGTTTATGAATCGCAACCGCCTCATGCCTTAGCGGCAAACAATATCGATCAGAGAATAGCGTTTCCATCTTAGGAATTAGGTCTTGCATAGCTTCGTATAAATCCACAACCTTAAACAAACGTTCAGGCAAACGGCTCCCTAAAGCGATCGCGTCAGCGAAATTCAGAAGCTGTGTGGTGGTTCCTCGACAAACTTCCATGAAAGAAAGATCGGTTACAGAGGAAACAGGAAGATCAGAGAAAACGCGATCGCAGAGAAGACGCTCGCTCGGGAAGAAAACGCGGAACACCAGAGTTACGGCTTTGATCCAACGGTCGATTTCGTCTTCAAGATCTTGCCAAGGAGTCTCTTGAACTTCCTCCATACTTAATCCTCTGAGATGCAACCTCGACAAACTCTCCTCTAGAAACTCTCTTCGTCTACTGCTGTACGCTCTTGAACACTCTTTTGCATATCCACCAGCGACCATCCTCACAGCGATCGCGTTTAGATCGCCAATAACGCTAGATTGTAACGCCTCGATCACGATTTTGTAATCAGTAATTGGACGAGCAACGATTACCTGTTCAATTGTGAATTACTTAACCACTATATAACCGATAGTAAACCGGACTTTATAATTCTAATTTCTAATTCCGAAATTAATTTAGTGATCATGCAAATTGAATTTATTTATAGATGAATTAATTAAATTACCCCGTCGCTTGTGTCGTTGTCTTCTTCGCCGGAGAACTCATCGTCCGAGTCAAACGAGTCAGGGGCTCGGTCCATTACATATCCAAACTCCTCTTGAAGCCTAAACATCACCTGTTGAAGCAGCTCATCGGCACGGGATTGACAGACGGCGACGGATTTATCTCCGGCCATGGATCTCAAGTCTCCGGCGATCGAAATTAGCTCATCAACAGAGTCGAGGAATGTGCGAGAGTCAACGGGATCGGACCAGATCGGCCGATCCTCCACGATGTAGCTGGAGATCTGTCTCTCTAAGGAATTGAGGGCTCGGTCAAAGTTGACGTTTGAACCGCTGCGGGATGCGGTGGGTCGAGGATCGCCGCCGCGGTTTCCGGAAGCGCCATAACCGGAGAGAATCTGTAAGATATCTCCGGCAGCACTTGGATCCTTGCCGAGAGCTCTGGCTATGTCTCTAGCGGCGGCGTAAAGATTCTCGTCACCGGCTTCAGCCATATGATTGGATGGGAGTTAATAAATTTTGGGGGAAATTACGGAATTGGTGGAATTGGGAGAATAAAGACGAAAATCCATAGACGAAGACTATAATATTATAGACAAAGTCTTCGGTTGAAGAATAAAGATTAAACGCGGGAACCATGTCTGACTTAGTTGTGTGTTTCTGTTTGTATTTTAATGGAATCTGTCATTTCTTATTGCCACGACTTTGTCGTCGTTTCGATTTTTTTTGGTTGTCTGGTTTAGATGTTTCCAGAACGTGAACGCATTTTAACAACCGCGTTCTGCGTTTGTTCATCGTGGGAATTGGTTATGGGCCAATGACTTCGTCACGTTGAATTTTCAGCCCAATGGACATATATCTATTAATTTTGAGATCGATAAGTTTGGTAAATAGGTTGAGAGGCCCACTTTTTTTTTTCTTTATTCAGGAAAATATTTAAAATGTTGTAGGATGTTTTTTTTTTTTAGTTGAACCAGTGATGCTCCAATATTAATATTTAGTTTTACAAAATTAAATTTAAGAGTTCTATTGCAGAAATAATTTTTTGGTTTTTGGTTAATTACGTAAATATATATTCTTGAGGACTTTTCTTCATTAAAAAGAGACTTTCCTTTTTCTTTTCCTCTTTGTGGTTCCCTTTTATTTAATTAAAAACAGAAAAACCAAATTTTAAGAGGAAAAACCTCAGCCAGTAGATAGATAAAAAGGATTTGATTACTCAGCATGCAATCGAGGACAAGTCACAAATTTGAGACCAGACGAACACAAATGTTAAGTGATTTCATCAAAGCTCTGGTGGATCATTACTTCTCCACCACCAACACCAATGGCTTCCCTTTACCTCAATTCCTTACTTCCACTTCCTCCTTCTCATCCCCAGAAACTTATAGAACCTTCTTCTTCTTCTCCTTCCTCTTTGTTGAGCACTTCCAATGGTAACGAAGTTTCTCTGAAGCCGATTGTCATCAATGGAGATCCACCCACTTTCGTCTCTGCTCCTTCTCGTCGTATCGTTGCAGGTTCGCCACCATTAATCTGAAAAAGTTTCAATCTTTTTGATAATTCTACAACGAAATTGAGTGGGTTTTGTTTGTGGATATGCACTCGCAGTTGGAGACCTTCATGGCGATCTGGGTAAAGCCAGAGACGCGCTTCAGATGGCCGGCGTCTTGAGCTCTGACGGACGAGACCAGTGGATTGGCCAAGACTCTGTATGTCTTCACTTACGACATTTTCTGATCCTAGTGGAATATAGTTTCAGTTCTCTTACATTAGTTGAAAGTTGAAATGAGTCTGCTTTGGACTTTTTGTTCTTCAAGATAAGGATATGTATATTATCTCTTAGTGGTTCAACATCGGGTTAGATGGTTTGCTTGATTTTGATTTGCCCCTTAACAGTTTATGATAGCTGCTTCATATATCTTTTGAGTTAAGTCCTTATGAGTTGTCAAATCAATGAATGAAAACACAGGTACTAGTTCAGGTAGGAGATATACTTGATCGCGGTGATGATGAAATTGCAATACTCTCTTTATTGAGGTCACTTGATGGTCAGGCCAAGGCTAATGGTGGAGCTGTTTTCCAGGTCTCATGATGAAGCAAGCTTTGTACATTTTAATTTACTGGTTCTAGAATGATAATATAGGACTAACAAAGTGCAATTACTTGTCCAATTAAAAAGGTTAATGGGAACCACGAGACGATGAATGTGGAAGGGGATTTCAGATATGTAGATGCGAGAGCATTTGATGAGTGTACTGATTTTCTTGACTACTTGGAGGACTATGCACAAGACTGGGACAAAGCGTTTACTAATTGGATTTTTGAGTCAAGACAATGGAAAGAAGATAGAAGGAATTCTCAAACCTATTGGGATCAATGGAACGTAGTAAAGGTACTTCATTTTTGCTTTGTCCTTTCTGAGTTTTGTATGTGTTGGTTAACCAAAAGTCGCTGGGAAAACCATTAGGACAGAGGCAAAAGGGAGTGATTGCAAGGTCGATCCTTTTCAGACCAGGTGGTCGATTAGCTTGTGAATTGGCGCGTCACGGAGTTATTCTGCGTGTTAATAACTGGCTTTTCTGCCACGGTGGTCTCCTTCCTCACCATGGTAAGGATAGTCAAGTCGATCTCAACATTTCGTTTCGGTGTTCTTTTGGATTTGATATATCATATGCTTGATATGTCCTTGCACAGTTGCATACGGCGTAGAGAGGATAAACAGAGAAGTCTCTACTTGGATGAGAAGCCCTACTAACTATGAAGACAGTCCTCAGATGCCGTTCATTGCGACTCGAGGATATGACAGTGTAGTCTGGAGCCGACTTTACTCAAGAGAGACTTCTGAGCTGGAGGACTATCAAATTGAACAGGCAAGTTGAATTTGAATCACCAAAATCTCAAAACTGCTATAACACAGATATCATCATCAGCTTGGTTTAATGTCTTTCCTGACTTTTTTTCTTATCAGGTAAATAAAATTCTTCACGACACTCTTGAAGCTGTCGGTGCCAAGGCGATGGTGGTCGGGCATACTCCCCAGTTATCAGGGGTTAACTGGTACATTCATCGAACTCTCCCCAAAAAACTTGTAGTAGATAAAAATCACAAGATCGTTAATGAGAAACATGAGCTTATTTTGTTGATAGTGAGTATGGTTGCGGCATATGGAGAGTTGATGTAGGAATGTCCAGTGGTGTTCTTGACTCTAGACCAGAGGTATCTATCAATCTTGGTTCTTGATTCGTCGCGGTTTATAGAGGTTCTGAATCTGGTATTGTTTCTTCAGGTTCTGGAGATAAGAGGTGACAAAGCTAGAGTTATAAGAAGCAACCGTGACAGACTTCATGAACTTCAAGTTGCAGATTACATTTGAAAAAGCTTCTAAAGACAAGAGCACCAGATTCTCATGTTCAAGATCCAAACTTTATCGCCATATTTCTCATCATGAACAAAATAAAGCATCAGAAGGTTTCAGTCTTTCAGACAAGATCCAGATGTAGTTGATAAGTTGAATGAGGGCATACTTTGAACTCTATGTATGTACGTATCTATGTATATATGTATGTGAATCATCAGAAACATCATACTATATTCATCAAGTAAAGGGTTTTGTATAGCAAAACACTGGTTAGTGTTACTTAAAGAATGATGAAATTCTCTGGTTTTTGAATTGAAGTCACATTGATGAACAACATTGAGAAAGATGTTGAACGGAAACAAAGTATCGAGAGATTTGGAGAAAGTAGTGTTAAGTTTATTGAGAAGTGGATCTCAATCTTCGAAGCTGATCAATCCAACGATCTTCATTAACATCGGAGGCCCAATCAGGAGCCGTACCAGGGAACGAGATGGCTCGCATTGCCTCCATAACCCTAACGGCATTCTCCGCCACTAACGGCGATCTTCGACGCCGTTCGTCCTCTTCAAATGCTCGACGGATCTCCGGTTCAGTCTCCGTCTCTGTTTCTTCTTCGCTCTCTCCGTTTTCGTTTATACTAATAGAAGAGATTCCTTCCTCTGCTTCTGGAATCATACAATGGCCGTTAGAGAGACCATCTCCACCGATGGAAAGATAACTGTCATCTTCATTGTCATCGGCGTTATCTAGATCGACGGCTGAGATCGGTTCGTAATAGTCTTGTGAATCTTCGACGGAGTTAGAGTCTGAATCGCTACCGGCGTTGTTGTTCTCTGCAAATAAATGTATCCGGTTAACCAATTAAGCAGATAGATCCCAGTTCCAAAAATCCGAAGAACCAAATCTGTAATCCTCATAAGAATTAAATGGAAGAAGAAGGAGAGTAGAAGAACCTTCCATAGGAGCTTCGATCGCCTGGAGACGAGAGGGAAGCAGCTGCTTCTGCGACAGTTTGAGATGGGAACGCGTTATGTCGGAGGTTGAACTGAAAAAGCCGATGAAGTTGTGTTACACTGAGTTGACTGACTGACTCGGATTACCAGACCCACATATATAAAGCCCATATTAAAGATGCATACTTTATGAGGCCCAAACAGGAATCAAAGTCAAGCCCATATTAAAGATGCATCGGTTGGAACTTGAAACTTGAAGCAGACAAATTATCGGAGTGTGAGATATCAAATACTGTATATAAAATTTTACGGTGTTGGGGATATTCTAGAAACATCAAAGATTGAAGAAAAAAAAAGGGAGAGCTCAGGAGTGTGGCGTTACATCTGAGAAATCAGAAGAATGCGAAGGACCCAACCAACGCTGAAGCCAATTTCATCACAGCTCAAATTGCACCAGCCGGGAATCGAACCCGGGTCTGTACCGTGGCAGGGTACTATTCTACCACTAGACCACTGGTGCTTCTTGTTTGTTTACTTAAATTCCTTGGTAAGGTTGTTACGCCGAATATAATTAGCTTCCCACAGATGTATATCTCTTGGTCTAATTTGTTATCAGAAGTTTGGAAGTAGCATGTATATCTCTTGATCTAATTCATGTGAACCGGATTTCTGAGGAGAACAAATCAAGATAAACAAAGATTAAAGACTTGTTAGTTGTTATAGCGATTCGCTGTCTCATCTGTTTGATCTTTATCAGGCCGTGGACCACGGGAGTTGAAACGGCATAACTCCATACAGCCGCGAAGGCGCTGGAAATCGCGTGGACCACATAGTTGTTTGAATTCCCAGTGGACAAGAACTTCTTGGATGCCTCGTAGAAGGAGAAATAAACGAAGTGAGTGGGCCCCATGGCTCCGTCCCTCATAGACCATATCCCACGGTACAGAGCCGATGGTCCTTCCGTTTGGATTACTGAACGCAAAGCCTGCCGGATTCCGACATGTCTTTGTGTATACGAACGATCCAGCATACGTTGATTCATGGTGCAAACAGGACTGCAACTGAACCTGCAATCATCAACTGCCAGAACTGGAGGTCTTGTTCCTTAAATTTTGCTACCGTTGAAACTTCCACCGCCATGTTGGGAATGCAACGACGCTATGGTGATACAAAACCTGAAGATTAACCCACAAAACTCTGACCAGAGAATTTGGGAGACGACAATTAAACGCGCAGAATGGAGACAACTCATGTGGATCGTGCTCTACATGTTCCTCCAAAATCGTTTTTTTTTTCCAACTTGCTATTTATTTGTAGGCAGTAACAACTAAACAAGGCACGCCGATATGTGTATCATTGCAATGTCTAGTACGTGTAAACTTATGTATGCCTTGTTAAGATATTATTTGAAATTCGGAAGGAACATAGTTTTGTACAACTGCAATCAAAATTTCATCATCAACAGTGTTGATTCAACACAAACCTGGAAAATATATAATCTAAAACTGACTTCATAGAAAACCTGAGAAAGCTATGTTACAAACAAATAAGAAAAGCAGGATCCTCAAGAGTGTAATAGCCTAACCCTTTGTCTTTTTTCAGGCAGTGTTTGAATCGCCATTGAAGTCTTGAAAAAAAGATTTAACCCCTTCATAAGTGGACCAACATATTGCTGCCGCAGGAGCATGGAAGAGCATTCTCGGGAGCCATCCCCTTAGAAGTCCTCTGTATCCGTCTTTTTTCACTATCGTTCTCAGTACATGGCTAATCGAACCACTAGTGAAGCGGTCGCATCCACACACACCCTGCACATCACCACAGATGATTTTGGCCATATTTCAGACATTTTAGAGCAAAGAATCATGGACATAGCTGATCGTGACATTGCTGTATCTTAAACTCTATGCTAGGTCAATAAGAGTCTTGCAAAAGGTGTCTAAGCTCGAGCAAGAAACACTAATATTTCATATGCAAAACTACGAATAACCAAAAACATGTATATGCAAAAAATATACTAGTACGATACACTTAAAGCTTTAACATTTCTCGAAATGATAAAGATTCTACAGCTAGACCTGGAATTATTTTATCCCTCCCCATCTTTCACCTCATAAGATCACATTTGAAACGAAACAGATTGAAAACATATTTCCAACATTCAATCAATGCTACAGTAATACAAGGCGCGCCGCAGTAAGACCAAATTAATGATAGCTCAACTGCGAAATTTCATTGCCTGAAACCATAAAACGCACTCTACCTCAAACCTACTGGTAAAAACATTGAAACCAAATAACTACTCTTCCTTCAACACTAGCTCTATGCGATTGTCAAATATAGGAAAACTTCAAGTTAAACCACAAAATTATGTTGCAGCCCTAGCGCATTATCACCATCTGCCAGTAATCTGATAGCTCTTTTTACACAAGTCACTATTCACAAAATACAACATCTAACCACTCAAGTGAAACAACTTCATCTAAGAAGCTTAAGACCTTCACATAGACTCAAAATCCTACATATATGCATCAAGTTTCGAGACTAAAAAGCATCATCTAAAGAAGCATTCTGCAGCACTGCACACATCAAGAAGCGTAACACATCCATCGTTTACTAGTAACACCACTGTATAGTGTGTACCTAATCACATCACCTCCATTATTCTAATCCAAAACTGTAGAGTTTAGAGACAAAGAGCAACCAATCATAGAGGGAAGGAATCATTCACCTGACATTGCAACTGCGTCTTGACAACATCAAGCGGCGTCGTCACAGCAGCTGCCAATCCACCAGCAGCAGCTCCAGCAGTGGCATGAACCAACCAACCTTCATCATCACTAACTCTTTCCGGCGAAAACTCCATCAATCCCTTCTTAGCCGCTTCATATGTCGCAAAGTGAACAGCCGTAAAAGGCGCGTTCATCAGAACCGTCGTCCTATAAGAAGCATAGAACGCACCAATCCCTTCCTCACGCAAAACCCTCTTAACACAATCCCAAACCCCTTTATAAGTCCCTTCACCCATCTGCAACCTCTGCTTCACCATATCCATGGGAGTAAAAACAGCATCGCTTGATATAGTAGCGAATACACCTGAGACCGCATGCGCGACGGAATTGTTCTGATTCCCGGCGGATAAATACTTCTTCGATACCTCGTAAAAGGAGAAGTAAACGGCGTGAGCAGGTCCAGCGCCGAGACCCATAGCCCAAATCCCGCGATACAGAGCTGAAGGTCCTTCCTTTTGGATAATCGAACGGAAAGCTTGCCGGATTCCGACGGGTTTTAACGGACATGGTCGAAGCGCTTGCATATGGGTCTTGATGGTATCGACTGGAAACATCGCCATGTGTTCGACGGAGCCAGCAATCGAACCAGCAATCATGAATTGCCAGAACTTAAGGCCGTCGTGAGCGATTTCCGGTTTAAAATCCGGTGTCTGAGAAACCTGCCGGAGATCAGGTTCCTGGAATTTGGGTACGGTTGTAGCCTCCGTAGCCATCTAGGGATTGGGGCGTAGATCGGGAGGCACTAGGCACTCGGCGGCGGAGACAAAATCTTGAGTATAAGTAGGGTTTTTGAGGAATGGGTGGAGTAAATCGGAATGTGAATCACCGACGAAGAGAGACGGTGGTAACACAGACGTGATGGGGGAATTTGATGTGGTTGACTACATTATCTCATAACATAGTTTTGTTTTTATCCGTATGTTACCAACTCCTCCTTGATGTCGTCAAAGGTTTGATCTTTCTTCCACAATTTTTATTTCAGGTGGACAAATTCGAACCGGAACTCTGTTACTCTAAAATTCGTGACTTTAATCGGTTGACACGTCAGCAAGTTGTTTTTTTTTTCCCCGTATGAATTGTACTAGATTCTTTTTGTTATGCCGATGAGAAAATTACCAATCCGTAAACAAGCTCAAGCGGAACAGAACAAAACGATACAACACAATTCGCGTTTTGTGTTTTGCAACTATTCCGTTATCATCGTTTACCTCTTTCTACACCACTGGAAAAGTTTTATCACTTTGTCACCAACCAGATAAATTAACTTTCTTTTAGTTAGCGTTTTACTTACTTTTCCTTGTAGTTGTATGTAGGAACTATTTACACATAAATATCTGATTAAGAGTTCTTGGATTAGCATCTTTACTGATCAACATTACAAACAATTTCAGCTCTTATTTGCTACATATATGTACGAGGCATGATTGACATATTGCCAAAGCCGTGGCTATTTGCCATCACCCGGTACGTCGAGAAAGCTGCTCCTGAAATGTGCTCTCGAAGATCTTGTCAGCATTTCCAACCTCAAAGCCATCGCGTCGATGAGACTCTCGTATCTGCGTTTTGTAGGTTTTACAAGTGTCATTTCACAATGTTGGTATTAATCATCTTTACATTATAGTGGTGTCTAAGAGAAGTTCTCTAGGCAATGGGAAGCAAGATCGCATCAATTCACAGTAAGCGAAATCTAAATAAGTTAAGATTCAATCAGAGTGGTCATTTACCTCGCTTTCGGGGACATTTTGGTACTGGGGAAGCACAAGGCGTTCAGCAAACTCAATGTATGAACAAGGGATAGATTTGGTGACTCCATCAGAGAACTTGAAAGATATCGAATCTGCTACAGTTGAGCTTTGCTGCAAACCACCATCAGGGCTAACTGACAAAGTGGAACGATATAGATTAGCTTGGAACATAATTTCTTTTAATTGAGGAGGAATAAAGATTAGTAACTAGAAGTCTATACCTTTGAGGACTCCTCCTTCTGAGTTCAATTTGATACCTTTTTCTTCAAGGAACTGATTGAGCTTCTTGATTTTGTTTAGATGAGATTTAAGCCGATGGACAGAAATTGTGACGTGGTTAAGTGCATAGCCATTGACAAGGGTCCATGCTGCGTATTCACTTTCCCTGTAGATCAATTTAAATTAATACACCTTCGGTTAGGAGTCACGTACTACTCTGGCTTAATCTGACAAAACCAAGAGAACTAAGATCATGTACCTAGCCAATTGCTCAAACTCAGAAGACAGAGGCTTTTCCCAAGTTAAAGTACCCAAAGCACTTGAAAGAGCAGCATACTTTTTCCCATTGGGCGATGCTTCCGTGTATTTTCTGATCACATCCTGGAAACAAGAGAGATTGCCTTCAAAGCTCATAACACAAACAACCACCTAGGGTCAAACCAATGACACTATAGTATTACCTGAGTCTGTGAACTCATCTGGTCCACAAGGAGCTCTGAGATAAAAACTCTTGGTAAAGGACCGTTAACGCCGCTTCCACCAGGAACAGCAGAAACATCAGGAGGTGCAAACCACAGAGCTCTAAGCTTTTTAGCCGGAAACTTGAGCTCATCCATTGGAGTATACCCATAGTCAAGGAAAAAGCTTGCAAGCGAGTCAATCCCATAACCACCAATCTAACACATTTCCACAGACAAAGGCCAATAAATTTGTTAAAAGGTTTAAACTTCGAAGCAGTAAAAAAGAGTGGATTCAGGAAATTATACCCCAAAAGTTCTGAAAGCGAGATGATCATAGCAAAGTTGCTCATCATCAACGGATCGAACAAGTTCCAAGACGGATTTAGGAGTTGGGTTTCGATTTAGGTAAACAGTCTCCATCTGCCCTAACACACTCCTGAAGAAAGATTCAGCAGCAACCTGGTCAAGTGTAAGAAACGAGACAATTAGATGATGCCAAGTTATCAACTTTAGTAGGCGAATTAATTGCACCCACATGCCAAAGTATCAAAACAACAATAATAGAGAAGAACAAAGTTTCGAAATCTTTCATGACCTAAATCAAATTGATAACTTGTTCTTGTGTTGATCACGATTACAGAGGGATAAACAAAAGAACGTACCTTTGAAGATGATCCGCGAGAATCATTGTTTGATGACATGGAGGAGTCTCTTCCAGAGGTAGCGACTACGGAGAGAACGCGGTTTCCAGCGGCGGGAAACCGAATAAGAGATCCAGCAGAGAAGGAAACAGAGAGTGTTGATCTTAACGACGAAGGAAACGAGCGGTGGAGAGAGGCTTTAATGGCGGAGGAGTGGAGTGACATCATGGTAGAGATGAGGAGATGTTTGGTTTTGTCGCCTAAAACTAAAAGCGTTGGATAGTGAGAAAGCTCCGATCATGTATTTGATTTATGGAGATTCCGTGATCCTCTGTTTCTCTCATAGAGAGAGTCGTGTCGTGTCAGATAGTACTACGATTTCATCCCATGAGACGTGGCGATATTATCAATGGGATTATCTTTTAATTTGTAATAATTTTATTTGGTAATTACAGCTGAAATTATATCATTGGATGATTTGTATTTTGTAGTTTGTTGTGATTTTTCAGAAGAAGAAACTGTCTACAGTTAAGGAAGACAGAGTTGAATCTCCAATGACCTTAAATTGGATTACCAAAGTCATTATTGAGTGAATTTAAATCTCTCCACCATGGATATGTCGTCGTTTAAATTTACTTTCCCAATGCAGTGCAACACTGCATGCTTGATTCGTTGGGCTTTTTCAACAAATGTCCTACTTTGGATGGACAATATAATGGGATTTTTATCTTATTTGGGCTTTTTGGTGTGTACGGTTTCCTAGTGGGCTACTATATGATCTAGAAAGGAATTTGAAAAAGCAGTAATAAGGTAGCTCGAACGGTAATTTTCCAACATTTTCACACTTCCCATTTCACACACGATTAAAAGACCCCCAAAAAAAAACAAAAGACGTGTGATATCTACCAAGTATGCCAAACAAGTGTTTTTTTCCGAAAAGTTTCAAATTTCGTCAACAATTATTAATATCTTAGCTTCATTTTTGTCAAGTCCGGTGAAAGGATATGGAATCCGTGAAATTCGGTGCAAGGATATGGTATCCGTGAAATTACATATTTTTGGCTTAGAGCTAAATAGTCATTAACTCATTAATATGTGCATGATATGCTAATGATGGAATTTCATTAAAATTTACGGTAGTTTTGAATATTCATATGAGAAAAACGTGGTAGTTGATATGTACATTAGTTTGGTCCCGACAGAGGATGAGTAGATTTCGATTCAAACACATGTGGTTAACCCATTTTTAGCCTTAAGACCCCACCAATTCGACAAAGACTTGCCATATACGTCCTCTTCAGGTTTGCATCTCTTTTTCTTTTTATGTCAAGAAGATATTTTTCAATTCAATATGACAAAAGTTGTAAAAGTCGATAATGATATCTCAAAACTACAAATAATAATAACAGAAAAAAGACACAACAAAGGTTGGAGATATTTTTCTTCCAGATATTTTTCCCCCTTTTTAAGTCTCCCTTTTCACGAACCGACCCTACAAATAATTCAAAAGATTTCCATTGCAAGAAAAATATAAAGTTAGGCATCACACTATTAATTAGTGTCATGAAACTAAATGAGTTCAGGCTATAGTGTAGAAAGAAAAGGAATAAGAAAGAGACCTTAAAACGAGGTCGTTTATCTGCGTTGAGTTTTCGGACTTGGTACCTTATCTTCTTAGAGAAGAGCCTACTCTGTCTTTTCTCTTTGTACCTTAACACACTTGCTTCTCTTCTCATGTTTCTCTCTTCCTCTATCACTGGCACTTCTCCCTTCTGCGTACACTCTAAATCATTAGTATTGACTACTCAAGATTAATTCACTAGTCATAACTTGCACAACAAGAAAGAGATTCACAAAAACTAACATAAAGGGAATTGGCCAGAGTTGAATTATCTGTCCACAGAGGTTTCCGGTGATCAGACCAAGCATCAATAACTTCTTGATGGTTCAGATTTAGCTTCAGACCCAAGTCTTTGTCTTCATAATCCGTCGGCTTATTCTCCCAAAACCCGAAACTTGAGCCTTCTTGATCAGTACTCAATCTTTTTTCTTCTTCCCCTACATCTTCATCTTCGTCTTCTTCCCAGAAATCCCATGTGAGTTCGTGAGAGCAGCTTAAATTATCAATGGTGATGTCGAAAATGCTGTCGAAATCATCTATAGAATGGTTGTGTTGGTCTGTCGAGAGACCATTGATGGACTTGAAGGTTGAAGAAAGTAGATGATCTTCTTCTTCTTCTTCTTTCTTCGGCAACCTCTGTGTATCCATATATCTCTTATCTTTTTCTCTGTTTTTTTTTTCCTACACTCAAATATTTTTTTCTTTGTAAATCGGTCACCATACGAAAACCTATATATAGATACAATATTTACAGAGCAAGGTATTTCTTTAATACTTTAATATGTGATGTAACTGATACGATGTGGCATCTTATCCCAAAAGTGATGGAATAATCTCAACCTGATTGGTTTAGAGAGTCCAGCTTGGACCCAATTTGAGGGACCTCTCTTACTGGTCCTTTGGCTCTAACCAGAGACCATTGTAGCCACTTTTTTCATCTTTATACTAATAGCCGAGTCCTAGCGTCCTTGGGGCTAGGAAAGAGCTATAACAGTATATTTTTACCCCTTTTTTCTTCTGAATTCATTTACTTGTGTCTATTATATATAGAAATATCAAGTAATTCAATAATATACAAGTATCTTAATATTCTTAGAAAAAGAATAAAAATTTTACATCTTGATGAAGAGGAATGGAAAGCCGAGACCCAAATCAAAACAGAGGCGTCACCCAATTAAAATTGGTAAGTGATATCTATGTCCGGTTTCGATCATGATCTCGGTCTTTCACTCCTCTTCTTCATGATGTAAGAATTTGTTATTCAACACATTAGATGAATGCAAAAACTGTTACATATTTATATATATGATAAAAAGTTGTGATGGAAGGAAATGATAATAGGTATGTTTTCCACCCATAATTGGATTATGTAGAAAATTAGCAAATGACAGCTATTATAATTTATTACACTTTGACACAAGTTAAATAGACATGATAAAATAAGAAAAATATATAAAAAAATTTAATATCCATAAATGAAAATGTATCAGTACAGCTAATTATATATATTTTATAATTTATTACACATTCACACATGTTGAATTACGTATACATTGCATATGCATTATAAATCACAAAAATGATTATATATATATATATATATAAAGAAGGAAAAAAACACAAGTTGACCAAGACTAAAAATAGGAAGATGATGATGACATATCCTGGTTTAACAATGGGTCAATAAAATATTTTACAAGGAAAATATCTAAGAACACAATTGTCTACTTGTGTAGCATAGACATGAGCCACATGACATATATTAGTATTACTAAAAAGAGAAATTAAGTGGCAATCTTTTTATTAGATTTTGAACGGTTGAAGTTTAGAACATTTTGATTTTCAAATTTATAGAGTTTTTAAAGATACAAATTGATTGAATCTTTGCTATTTTATAATGCAAACGTAAGAACAAAAACTAGTTTTCGTACTTTTCAAGAAAAAATCTGACGGGAAACTTTTCAAAAGGTGATATGGTAACTTTTCGAATTTTGATAAACAAAAGCTAAAACAGAAACAATTCATTGCAAAGAATATTATGGGAAATGTGTCTGTTGAAATGATTTGAATTTGCTCGTAAAAGGCATCAATGAGGTTAAGATTCTTCTATTCTTCTTTGAGAAAAATAATAATCTTCATTCTTCAGTAACATGTAAGTAGTAATGTTATCGAAAGCTGACCTGGTTTTCAATGAACATGAAGCAGCAAAGTTTGTAGCATCAGTTGCATCAAAGTTCAAACACAGCGCGTATCTGGTTCTAGATCTCGGTTCATCCGAATACTACGGAGATCTTGCAACATTCTTTCGTTACGCTTCTTGATTCCTTCTCTGAACAAATTGCTACCTGTGCAGTCTGTATTTTTAGTGGGTAGAGTCTGTCTGGTTTGTATTCTGAGTTCCTTGCTCCTCAAGTACTCTGCACCTCGTGCCTGAACTGTTTGTGAATTGAAATTACTCAGAACAATCAGTCAATCAGTTACATTCTAACAAACACTCTGTTAAAAATTTTATATCCTTTATGATGGATCCACACAATAGATGGTAGAGTCAGTTTATAAATCATCAATCTTTCCAACCAGTAGATTTCCATGATCCTAATATCAAACTCAATGGATTCCCCCATACATATACAATGAAGGCTTAGGAGCAAATAATTCCCCCATGTCTGATTTCACACTACATTGAAGGAAAGGAAAGGTGGGAATAAAACTCAGGTTGAGAGAATTTAAGAGCAAATTCTTCTTCACACAAAATGAGTGAGAGTGAGACGAAGAAAGCAATCAAAATGCAGTCAGAACTCTGTTCCAACAAATGAACTTTGAAGAACACACCGTGTAAATAAAGGTACCTGAATGTGAAGATGTTAACGAGGCAGCCGAATCCCGTAGTCTCCTTACTTTCTCAGCAGCATTCAAAATTTCTGAATACTCTTCTAATTTTGGCTCATCAAGACTATCCTTCTTAAGACTCAACAGTGCATTTTCAGACGCCTACATTAACATCAGAACAATGTCATACCGTCATAGTAAGATAAGTCAGGAAAGATAAGAAGCAGATATACTCCACAAAAGAAAGAGCACAAGCAATGGAAAGGAACAAAACTGATCTGTAATTCAGAGTAACGAATAACAAATCCATGTATCCAACAATTGAGCAAATTGGTATAGCAACATTCCGATCATCCAAGCATGAACTTGTTAACAATTGCATAGTAAGGACGAGTAATTATACCTTTCCTGCAATAGAAGGGAATCCATTTTCCATAGATTGGACTGCAAATTTGGTCCATTCTGAATGTGAAACCCTTAACCACAAACAGCTTGGAGACTTGATCTCTCTCAAATTCAATGCCTCATACCTCATCGCCAAACAACTCTACTCAAGATATAAATAACAACAAATTCACATACATTAGAAGATCGAGAAAGTAGCACAAATCCATCGGAAAATCTCCAATCATAATCGGGAGCTTCTTAAGATAATTTAGAATTTATTCGAATCTACAAGGATAGGATACGAACCTCCATATCACCGATAAGAGCAAAAGCACGAGCGAAGAATTCAAGTACGGAGAGTTTTGCGACCATGGATTCTCCGGTGAGCTCGCCGAATATAGCAACCGATTCAGATCTCAAGAAATCTCTCAAGCGGGATCTAACTTCGTAAAACGATTTCACATTCATTGCAACCAGAGACAATTCGAGAATCCGAAGAGATTCTTCATCGAACCTGCAAAATCAATGAGAAGAAACCCAGTTTTAGCCAACAACACAAAAGAGAAATTGAGATTTCAGGTGACTCGGAGGACCTTCTCTCTTGGACCCGATTGAGAAAGAGGTAAGTCTGATCAGCGATCATCGACTCTGACATTTTTCCCAGAGAGAAATTTGGGCGGTGTTTCGAATTTTCAATGTGCCCTTTGATTTGAATTTTATGGCGCATCTTAATTGTTAATTTTGACGGCGCATTATAACAACTCATTTAAGGACAAAATAAGCCAAGGGGCCGATAGCACGGTGTGGACATTCGGCCCATATTTAGATTTATAGGCCCATTAATATCAAACGATGTCGTTTTCACATGCCATCTAATTACCTCCGCGGGTGATAAGGATACGCTTATTAGGGTTTTTGAGCTTTCGTCTCCGTTTTCTGAAGGCAACTCTGCTAATTTCTTCCACCGGACGATTCGATTAAAATGGTGAAAGGACGCCAAGGAGAACGTGTCAGGTTATTCATCTTCTATTTTCTATGTATCTGCTAAAGCTTCAGATAGCTACTGAAATTAGCTGCATCATTGACGCTTTTACACTTTTTTTGTGGATCTCGCTTTTTAGCTTTTCTCAGCTGATTTTCCGATATGTTTCAATCTCTTTATGCCAAATTATCTCAATTTTAGGCTTAATTAAGCTTTTGCTTCACTAATTTTTTTTTTTTTTGTTCTGTGATGCAGACTCTATGTCAGGGGAACCATACTTGGCTACAAAAGGTGCGCCATTGTCTATACATGATTTGTTGTTCTTTTTTTCACTTTACTCGATTGGGTCGTTTTTGATCTAGCTCCCATAAACAGTGAATTTTGGCTGCTATTACTGGTTAATGCACTTTTTTATGACCTTAGATTAGTTGCTTATAGGATTCAAATGCTAATTCCTGAAAAAGTAGAACCACTTATCCAGTTATCTTTCTGTACTTTTGATTCCGAGCTTAGATAGTTGAATTGGGAATAGGGTATAACAATCTACCATGAAGTGTGTGATAGGTTGCAAATTGATGTTGTTTCTGTTTTGTATTTAGTCATAATTGTGTCCTTAAACACATTTTATGTGTAAATATGTAAAGGTCGAAGTCAAACCAGTACCCAAACACGTCCTTAGTCCAAGTCGAAGGAGTGAACACCACTGAGGAAGTGTCATGGTACAAAGGTAAACGGATGGCTTACATCTACAAAGCTAAGACCAAGAAGAACGGTAGTCACTACCGATGCATTTGGGGCAAAGTCACAAGGCCTCACGGTAACAGTGGCGTTGTTCGAGCCAAATTCACATCAAACTTGCCTCCTAAATCAATGGTAATCCAAATCATTTCAGTTGAATATATGTTTTAAATTGTTTTGTTTTCTCTTTCCTAGCTCTTCTAATATATAGTTGGCTTATTGTTTTTGCAGGGATCTCGAGTTCGAGTGTTTATGTATCCGAGTAACATTTAAAGCTCTGTGTACTCGTCATCAACTGTTTTTTTGTCTGCAAGTCTTTGTTCGGACCTTGTTTATTACTATTTGACTCTTTATGATATGAAGAAGCTTTGGAGTAACAACAATTTTGGTTTAATTGAGCCTTAGATACGAGTTCAGTATTTTGCCTAAATTTGCAAAGCCTGAGTTTACTTTGTGTTTGAGCTAACGACGGTTACAGAATTTACAGTATCAATTTGGAAACATAGACGATGAAAGTGAAACACCTGGCTTTCGAAGCTACACGTGTTTGTAATAATTGGTACCATTGGGAATAGCAATTATCAATTTCTCTCGGCTCTTTCATATATATTGAATGGTCTTTGAAGATGAAGAAGGGGACGACGACACAACACCTTGCATTTGCATCCATGGCGTCGATGCCGAACAAACTTTTTCTAGTCCTAGTCTGCTACGTTTGTCTTTTCCCCTTTTCATCGTCTTCATCGTCATCTGATTTTTCTGGCATATCTCTTCCATCTTCGTCGCCGAATGTCTCGGTGGGGCTGTACTACGAATCTCTCTGTCCGTACTGCTCCTCCTTCATAGTTAACCACCTCGCGAAGCTCTTTGAAGACGATCTAATATCAATCGTCGATCTCCATCTGTCTCCGTGGGGCAATACCAAGCTCCGTCCCGATAACGTCACTGCCGTTTGCCAGGTCCTCCTTGGTTTTCATCAATTTACGAAATCGATGATTCCGATTCGACTGAATTAAGCTTTAAGTAGATGAAATCGGCTTTTCCGTAACCTAAATCTTGAAATTGTTTATATCTGAGATTTGACGAATTGGTATTTGTTGCAGCATGGGGCATTTGAATGCTTCTTGGATACCGTAGAAGCTTGTGCAATTGATACTTGGCCTAAAGTGGTAAGTGCGGTTATGAGATCTTAACTTCATTTGGTGAGGCATGGTTGTGAGATAAGAAAGATTGTCACTTTTTGTTGCAGAGCGATCATTTCCCGTTCATATACTGTGTCGAGAAGTTGGTGACTGAACACAAGTACGATAAGTGGGAGACTTGTTATGAGAAGCTCAATCTCAACTCGAAACCTGTTGCCGATTGTCTCAGCACTGGACATGGGAATGAGGTTAGTCCCTTGTCCTTGTGTAGCTTGCTTGTTTCGCCACAAATTATTTGTTGTTTATTGCTTTTTAGCATTGGAACATTCGATACCATTTTTTATCTGATACCATTTTTTATCTTTTTATTACATTCGACTACCCATGATACCATTTTGCAATTGTGTTGTCTGACTGGGCTAAGAATATTGAAGAATGTCATGAGCATAGGCTCACTTCCACTTATTCGATTTACCATGTTGTTGTTTTGAAGCTTCTGGGTTATATAATACTCAGATATGTGCATTCAATTTCTTATCTTTTTATTTGCTGCAGCTTGCTTTGCACTATGCTGCAGAAACAAATGCTCTTCAGCCTCCTCATCAGTACGTGCCCTGGGTAGTCGTAGATGGTCAGCCACTTTATGAGGTTCGTTTATTATTGCTTCTTTTCAAACTCTTCTAAAGTACTGAATATTTACATTGCCAATCCACACTCTCGTACTCGTTGTAGATGAATGATATCGGTAGGACCCAATTGCAATTGTTTAGTCATTGAGACTTATGATTTCCATTCACTCCACGGATTGATTTGGGATTTGGTTTTAAATCACTTAGATTTAGTGTCTTTAGGGAGTTGGTTCATCTAAAACCCATATAATTTCTCAGAGCCTTTATTTACTATCGTCAATTATAGTTGCCTAATCTTTGTGGAAGACATGTTTTATAGGGGTATCATGGGTTTCTCAGAGCGTTTATTTACGATCGTCAATTATAGTTACCTAATCTTTGGGGAAGACATGTTTTATAGGGGTATTATGGGTTAGTGCAAGACCCTATGAGACATGGATGTTCCCGTTGCTAAATGTGAATTGTCTTTGTTCTTGTGAGTTAGATGGGCATTGGCAGTTTGGAAGCAGAATTTAGTCTTTTAGCTGTAGTTAGCATACGGGAAGTGAAATTGCACGTAGGCTTGTGGTCAAAGGCTCATAAAATCATCATTGATCAATTGGAACAAAAGTTCTCTGTATTTGTTGGTTCTTGATGTTTCTGGTCTTTGAACTAAGCTCGTTGTCTTCTGTTTTTACTTTGAACTAAGCTCGTTGTCTTCTATTTTCTTACCTCAGGACTATGAAAACTTCATAAGCTACATCTGCAAGGCTTACAAAGGTAATAAAGTACCTGGCGCATGTGCCAAATATGCAACCGGCAACTTCATTCGTAGTGTCAAATTGAAACGCTCCCCTCTGGTAAGCCGGAAAGGAGTCAATAAGATGTGGGATGTGTTGGAACGTATCAAAATCTCCTTATCGTCATACATCGAAATCACCCGCCTGCTATGAACACTTCCTGTATCTTTTACCTATGTAACAAACACCCTAAAAAGCTATCTAGATTCTGAAATGTGATGAATATGTATAATTTATATGTATCAGAATGTATGTCTGTTGTGTTGTGAGGACTCAGAGACCTTTGAAGAATCACATTAGTCTTAAATATTTGTGTTATTATTACTAGACTAGTTGGAGGAAAAAATGCAGTACTTGGGTTGGGTAAAAACGATTTCTGTTATTGTTTTGACTGAACTCGGTTTAGACAGATTTTGTTTTTCTTATTTTTCGGTTAAGTTGTAGACTGTAATAGAACCAAAATTGTCTCCTCTGTTTCACCTTTAGCATTGGCTTTGATTTAATACAATTTTCTTTAAATTAGCCAAGAACACAAAAAAATTGTATATTTGGGTGAGTTAGTCCAAACAGGCATGCATACACCTATCACTAGTAGGAAAGGAACCTATCACGGTTGACGATGGAACAGTACTGAGGACCGTGACCTATCACTACTCACTTCGACGTTGACCGTAACAACAACATCAATATCTCGATATTATGTTTATATATCACAATCGATAGTTATATTACAGAAACGTAAATAAACAATCCAGACTTTAAACCTTTCTTTCTAATTAAAACGATTATACATAAAGAAAAACTTTCCTCATACGTGTATACTAACCTTTATGGGTCCGTGTATTGCTCCTCTAAACTTCTAGTCACGATCAAAATGAAATGTAATTAATGTAGCTAATTGGTTACAACCTTACAGGTATAATCATTAATTATAATAGAATAAAATAGTGTAGCTTGGCTGCTGGCTCGTCTTTATCAAAGCCCATGTGGTGATTAGGAACAAAACAAATTTGGATATTGATTTTGAAGGACCACTAATTCTGACGACCTATCTTTGATATATAGGGGAAAAGCTGTCTCAAAATATATAGACTCGTAATACAAACGCTAAAGATTATATATAGGCTAAGAAGACTTTTACATGTGTAAAACGATCACAAGCTAAAGAACAGTCACGAAAACTATAAGTTCTTATAATGGTCAACCGATAAATACGTCATTACTGACGACAGGAAAATGAAAACACCACTTCCATTAATACTTCACCATTGTACTCTATAACTATAACTTCATTAGACCAGATCAACGTATTTGAACATCGATTATTTCTTATTATCATCACACTATATGACTATAGTAAATACCCATTAGCTAATCGACATTATTGTAGATGCTAGAATTGTTTTCTAAGATTACGACTTCAGTATAAATACGGATATATTAACAAACGGAGAAACATAATGGCATGGGTGCTACCGGTAGTATACGTATAGAAGAAAAATAAAGAGAAAAATATATAATAATTCTAGTTTCTAGTATTTAAAATTAATCAATCAAGTAAAATTTAGAAGAAATTTTTTTCTTTCTAATTCTTCCAAAAAGTAATATAAAGAAATTAAAACTTCCCACTACAAATATATAATTAAATAAATAAGAAGTTCTAATTTTTGTTTTTCTTTTTTTATATTTTCCTCTAACATTCTTTCTCTTTTTTCTCCTAAATTCTTACGAGTCTCAGCCAATGTAAAGGTAAAAAGGATTGAAGAACAAACGTGTGAAATGACACGTATTAGAACACAGTGAACACGAGGCCTGATGTCGGTCGGAAATAGTGGCAAACAATACTGTCTCAAGAGTCACGATCTTGTTCTGTTCATGTGACTTTTACCATCTTTCCAAGGTTATTTACGTACACGTGCGTCTGTACGTATATGAAAGCACATACGTAGACCTAGATACTACTCATGAGACTAGACCAAAATAACATATTCTAACCAATATATTTGGCCACTAAACTTTCTTAACTAGAGACATTGAGTTTATTGGCAATTAATTACCCAATTTTGAAAGGAAAAGTGTATTAAACTTTATCTTTGAATACTGCGTAGTTTACATGCATGTACCGTATAAATAATTATATAAAGAGAAAAAGAACATTAGAACTTGTGTATATGCATGCGTAGACACACAGATGTGATACAATGCATAATTACGAATATATATATACGGATCTTCTAACTTTATATACGTTTTTTAGTTCGTCTAAATGTATTTGAAAAATATTTACTTGAGAAAAATAATGTGGGATTAGTAAAGATGACATTATTTCAAGCAAATAAAAATTCAAATATTCATCGATGTGTGATTGTATATGGGACATACCTCTACGTACACATACAAATTAACGTACGTATATACGCAACCTGAAAACAACCCACCTCTCCTCCTTCATCTGTCTCTTTAATCTGTCATCTTCTTCTTCGCTGATCTCTGAACTCTTCAAGAAACATTGAAATTAAATCTCATGATACCATCTGATCAGAAAAGTAAGATGCATAATTCACATAGAACATATATTGCATGAAACAAAAAGGAACCGCATTAGTCCTTGAAACTGTGTGGTCCGCATTTATAAGAATTCAAAATTCAAGAACTTAATGCATCAGAGATCCACTGAACTAAAACAAAAGACCTCCGTTATCCGTCTTACCATAGTTTCAAATCAACTCAAAAAAAAAATTAATAATCAGGTACTACGGAACAAAAGATGAAGTGAGTTCCATACATACATATAAATAAGTATATATCATTAATTAATCAAGAAAACTATAATATATAATTCGATCTAAGGCGTTACGGCCTCGGCAACAGATGGAGCACCGACGTTACAATCGTCTCCGTCACTTTGTATCGAAGAAGCGACGTCAACTCTAACGGTGGTGACAGTTGGCGGCCGTTTCCGTTTCTTTTTCTCGTAAGGAATCCCTCGAGCCTTGGCCTGACTCTCTCTGACTTCCCTTAAGTAAATCCTGACCGCACGTGCGGCGAACGGGTTTGAATCCGGCCGTCCACCGTTCTCCTCGTAGGCAGCTCTCAACCGTCCGATCAGAGCATCGAGAGATCCCCAAGCTTGCTTGAGAGGGCATGAGCAAGGAGACGGAGGTTGCTGATGGCCGAAGTAAGGACAAGCCGCCACGTGGACTTTGGTCTTACCGAATTGGTCGAGGTACTTGAGGAATTCGATCACGTGCGCTCCGCTACAACGTGACAACGCGAGAGGCGGCTTGTGGTTCTTGAGGTACTGCAAGAAAGTGTTCCAGTCACGTCGCTTCTGTGACTCATACCTGCTAGGAGTAGCCGGTGGCGAAGAGACGAAAGATGGACCCGTGTCGTCTCCTTTTACCGGATCGGATCGTTGTGATCCGGAATCAGCCGATTCCATTCAAAACTAGGGTTTTTTTTGGTGCTTTGAGAGAGTTTGATTTTAGAGTCGATTTTTTTTTTTGAGAAGAGAGCGGATCGATAATTTAGTGTTTAGTAGTTAAAGAGAGAGAGAAAAAGAGTGTGAAGCTTTGTTAGGTTTTGAGGTTTTATTTATTTAATTTTCAAAACAGACAAAAAAAAAAGGAAAAAAACAGAGGGTTTTGGGGTTGAATAGTGTGAATTGTGAAAGAAGTAGAGGATGTAGAAAGAAGAGTGGGAAAATAGAAATGTAAATAAGAAACTAAATCACGTGGTCATGGCCCTACTCACAGGCCACTTGACACTTTTTACTATTCTATTTAGGTCAAGTGTGGGGCTACGCTTAAATCTTTTAATTTTTCTTATTTATTAATACCACTATTATTAGGTGATATTATTTTCTAAAGTTATTGGAATTATAAACCAATCAGGAAATTGCAAGTATATATGGAAGACAGATCTGAATTATTAGTTTTTTTGTAATTTAATAATTACTTGGTTTACATCTATTTAATGCTTTGTTGTTCATATTTTCTCATAATGAATTTTATATAGTAATTAAATATTTAGAGTAGATTATATGATGAGATCAATAACATCAACCCATGAAAAGAACAAAAGCAAATGCTGTTGTGTCAATCTCTCCTAAAGGCCATCCGAATACAACATTTGGATATTGTCAAATTGAGGAGGGCTTTATAATTTCTATGTATCCAAAGCCTTGTGTTTGAAAATGTGTTATACTATCTTGTTACTATCTTAATACTTGATGCTATTTTTCATGTGTATCTAAATATAATACGTATAGGTTAAATGTTATCAATATGGTTTGTAGTGTACGGGCGGATCCTCCTCATATTACATATATGTTTTACAAAATTACCACCATAATTACATATTTCCAAAAAATTACAAATATAGGTTTAAGAAGAGATCTTATAAGTTTAGGAAGGCTGGAAGCGCTATAAAACTATGTTAGTAACTTTTTCTAAACCTGAGTTTTCTTTTAAAAACTTTCAAATTTGTGGTTTAATGAGAACTAAATATGTTTTCTGATATTTGTTTTCCTATTTCTATAAATTTAATCATGAATTCATGAAACCAACTATACAGTATAAATCTCATAGATTTTAATATATGTTGCAAGAACCGTCATTATATCTCTATCAAATTGCTTGTATTTGTTAGGAAAAGGGAAAGATGAAGGGTTTCCTGATAAAACCAACAATAATCTAGTCTAATATTGAAAAATACATGCATTTATGTGTCAGTATGTGACACAATTATAGTAAAAGTTCATCTGTTTTACTTTTTTTACGAGTGAGGGTAGGTATAACTGTATTCTCAGGTCGTTAACATATCAAATCGTATGTTTGAAAAGATTAAAATCGAATACACACACTCGAACCTCTAAATCGTGATCCATACCAAATCGTCATTCATTTAATTATGTTTTGATTTTCGACCTGAAATTTCTTAGTTAGCAAATTTCTTAATTAGTTAGCAAATCGTGATCTGAAATTTCTTAGGTAGTAAACCGTTTGATGTTCAATGGTTTTGTTTTTTGTTTTTTGGCAATACCAAATTCGCTCTTTCAAAGCGCATCTGATTACTTATTAAAAGATGGACCACTGTGTTGAGTGATATCAATGAAATGACTAGTTATTTGGAATCTGACAAACATAAAAGTTCGAAAATTCAGAGTCGAGTACATCTCCACCATCCAAATATGGAAAAATTAAAAAACCTATTTGGTCCCACCCTGCACTACATATGCGTGCGTGTGCTTCAAATGTTTAAATTTTCTTGCATTTTTGATATTTTTAGAAAATATTTCCAAGGAAATTTATAGAAGTCACAGACATCTCACTTACCTTGTAACCGTTTTACAGGTTCCAAAAGCCATACCTTAGGACAGCACTGATCAAGCCATAGTTTTTTTTTCAGGGCATACTAATTGGATTTTCGGTCGACCCTAACCCTAGGTTAAATATATATCAAAAGGTTTCGGCATGGATACTTATTTTCATTATCTCTCAAATTGATTCCTTATTCTTTGAGTTTTAAATATATACATGTATGTACCCCCACATGTAAATTTAACATACTCGCATAATTATGGCTACCCATTTTCTCAATGTTTTGTTATTTGTTTTTTAGTTAAAATGTATTGTTGTTTATTTGTTTTATCCAATAACTCAATAATAAGAGATTAGGTACTGTCCTTTTGAACATATAACACAATATCATGGTATGCCCATTGACAGGACGTCTTGACATCTACATATGGATTTTTTTCTCAAATCGGAATACACTGCGTTAATTATCAAGATTCTTGCAAGAATACATATATAGTTAGAAAATAAAGGGTTATGACTAGTGTTCTATTTATAGAAAACAAAATTCCCGAAAAGATTTTTATTTAGCCGGGACACTAACCAAATGAAAAGGGAAAGAATTTTCTTTTCGGATTGACATGATTTACCTGATATAAAGTTATTTTTACACCAAATAATATTTTTAATCAGTTTCCTTCATGACAAACCTTGGTTAATGTTCATGACAAACCTTGGTTAATGATAATTAATGGTTAAAATGCATATCGTTTGGAAGTCATAATATAATTTTGACACAAAACGAAATACATGATATTAAGTCATGGAAAATTGAAATATGCGTGTGTAAATGATACTTGTATTCAAATTCTTGATATGTCACATTATTCAATTAGTTTGAAAGTTCAAACATACCTCAACAGCATTGTATATATTTTTTGTATACATGCATGGCGTGAATTAGAGATAAATAAATTACAAAAAGCATTTCTTTTCAATACCATTGTTTGTTTACTCAAAGTTCTAGAATTTTAATTAGCTGAAATTTTACTAGTATGTACATATATACTAATATTAAAACTATTATACTGTAGTCTGTACATATTTTCTATTTATTCTAAGATGGCTACTTGGACACTTTAATTTGAAGGAAATATATGGTGACAGAGAAGTATAGAACTACGATTTTTTCGCAGATGATTGAGCATGTTAAAGTAACATGATATTTGGAAACGATACACACAAACATAAAGCAAGAGTCATAAATAATTAAACTAAGGAAACTTACGTTTTCTTTAATCCAGAATTTTATGCAAATAAACATTTAGTGTATATAGTTATATATGTACTCTTTATCTATTACAAAAATTCAACACCAGAATATGTTGAGAAAATAAAAGAACAAAAAACGATCGGGATCCGATGCCTATTTTTGTCTACCACTATGATAATTAAGGAGGCCATAGAAGTCAATGTTGCAGCCCCCACAATGTGTTTACGAACAATAAAATATGTATAAAAATGAAAAAAATAAATTCAAATTATTGGTTGGTGACTTGGTGCTTACGACCCACCACCCACACACATCAATAGCTTTATAACGACTATTCAAATCTCATTTGTTGCCTGGTGGATGGTGATCATATCAAAACTATCGATTATCTTTCCAAATTCTATCAGTATCACAACTGCTCTCAAAGAATTCTTAGATGAGAATAGGAAAGTAAGACTGAATTATGAAATTTTCTTCGTACAATTTGCTCCAAAGGATCTCTTTAACATTTAGATATTATTTAACTTTTGTCACCTTGGTGTTGCCAATGGTCCCGTAGCTCAGTTGGTTAGAGCGTTGGTCTTATGAGCCGAAGGTCGCGGGTTCGAGCCCCGCCGGGACCATATATTTAGTATATGTTTGTCCCATTTATTATCGTCCATAACACATGACCTTTTTTTTTTAATTTTGTCATTAATATTATTACCCACACGTCGTTTCTAACACTTGAACACTCGGAGATAACGGTGGCTCTCGGTCATTAATATTATTACCCAAGTCCTAGCTCAACGAAACTGAACAGTATGCTAAAAAACTAGACGAGGAAGGTAATTTCAGTCGTATTTATAGTATAAAAGTGAATTATTATGAAGAATAAGTAACACTTTGAAATTACAGGACATCCGGGAGTAAAGAAAAGTATTTGGTGGATAAATTAAGAACTGGTTTACCAAAATGCAACCCAGTGATATCTGCTATCTGATTCGCAGAATATACGTATATAAATATTAAAAAAAAACTTTAGGACGAGAGTTGTTGAGAATTTGTGGTAATAGTTGTAGTTTGAATTCAGTCCATGAGTTTGTAGCGTTTCTCTTGCACACCAGAAACTCCCATCTGTATCTCTATTATAGTGTGAAGTGGCATCTGTTGAAACATTCATATATGTTATTATGTGTGTGGCTTGCATCCAAATCTCTCTGAAAGCTTATCACTCAATCGTTCTAAGAAGATACAGTCTCATATTTTCTAGTTCAGATTTACCTCGATTTGGGGTATTTCTTTGAGGGGACGATCCGCGAAATATGCATACAAGGCTCTCAGAACAGCCTGCGTAAACACCAACCAAGTGTAAGTGGAAAATTGGAACTTAGTGACGGGTTGCGTTTTTTTTTTCCAAAGTATTACACAGTTAAGCATCTCCATAGTTTGATCATATGCACGATTTCTTCAAACTCCAGAAGTAAAGGTTTTAAACATTAAATTATAAACAAGATCATTTGGAGTGTAACCTGGTGCGATATCACGACGACAGGAGCTCTTTGTCGTTCTAACTCAATAATCACAGGTTCAAGCCTGCATTGTCAAAGGAGCAATATTTTCCTGAGGTTTAGTTTATGACTTAACGTAGAAAGAAGTAGAAGAGAAGAACAGACCGTTGAATTACATCAAGGTAGGACTCTCCACGTGGGTATCGGTATCGTAATTTGTCCTTTTTCCGAGATCTGCAGTCATATGCACCACAAGATGAGTTAGAGAAGTCTGGGAGCTTATTTCCTGTGTATCGGTGTAACAACTAGTAACGCTTTTTTACATACTGTATACAGATTTGATGAAGTCACTTACTCGTACTCTTCTGGCATGTTCTTCTTTACCTCTTCATATGTCATCCCATCACAAACTCCA